GCTAAATATATACTACGCGTAATTGAATAAATTTAGTTACCTATGTTATATTATAATCTATACATCCGCATATGCAAATGTCAATGACATATTGATGACATAATTGGCATGCATTATATTAGCATAATATATCTAGTTTACGTAATAATTGTGCTTTTGACAATAATATTACCTATAAAATGGTCTCAATTTTTTATATTATATTTTGTACTACTCCTGATTTATAATCATAAAAATATGTAAATGAATTAATTAAATACAATGTCTAAATAATTAGCATAAAGCTTTAGAACTACATTCCTCTCCAATTTGTAAAATAAAGTTAAAAATGCTATAGTATTAAGTCCAACCTTTGTACCAATTTTACTGGTTAATAAAGGAAAGAAACAATGTTTATATATTACTTGTATTGATACGGTATATATTTTGCAACTAAACTATGCTTAAGAGTATATAATCGAATATCCCAATTGAATATCCCATAGGCTTTTTGTCAACTGCTGTACTGATAATAATCATCGATTTTCACATACCTACTTCGCTTATCGCTAAAATCCACATTGTAAAAGATACCGTTGTTTCGGAGTAATTGGATTTTGTATCAGCACGAAATGTCATCAAAATTTGGAAAGATATCATCTAACATAAAAATATATTTGTGGAATAAGTCAAAGTTTCATAATTTTGTAAACGGGGTCAAAATTAATTAAAAATTATTAATTGTCTACTTTCTGTTAGGTATTTGTGCTAATTATTTGTAGTACCTACTATTATTAGCATAACCAAATTCAATAGTAGTTAATATTTATATCTGAATTTAGATTTACATGATATTTTATTAATTAACAAAAATTGGATTACATTGAAAGCAAAACAATAAGAGATACATATTAAAAACATTTCAATCACATGTAACATTTATAAATAAAAATATAATCAACGCCTACATAGAATTTTTGTGTATTCATTTATTACCTACATAAGTCGGTTAAGGATAACATTATCTTACAACACAATAATGTATGAATATCCCTTACCAGAGTGACAACGATCCGTGTTGACAAAAACTTATCATCAATTTTATAACGAAATAGTAAAAGATAATTCAGCATATTTTATATGGCATATTAAACGTAAACGTGTGTCTACATATTTTTGTATAGGTACGACTTGAATGGAAACAAGTTGAGGATCTTAAGTTGTGACTGTTGCTTATGGACTAAGAACACCATGATCATCATTCTTCATATCGTGTACCATTGTATGCGTCTGTTATCTCAGACTATGTATTGTAATTCCAGAAAGCTAAAGTATTATGACCTCGAGGTCAGTCATTTCAGTATCATATATCGCACTTCACTACGGAATTTAACTCGCGTATTATGCTACTTCATGGCGGAAATATGTATATCAAACAAAAATATATATTCAGATGACTTTTAATGATAGCTGTTGCATACCAGTAAGATTTCAAATTAATTAAGTCGAACCTTATCTTAATTAAGCCTTACTTATGAGAAACTCTTGCAGTTTCATTGTACAATTCATTTTTTACACTTATTGTAGGCAGCAGTACAAATTCGTGTTAAATTAAGCTAAATTAAAATCTTTTAAAAATAATTAATATTATGTTTCATGTAAATCATCAATGTAATTAAATATTTTATGTACTGGCATATAAGCATCATAGAATATTTAAAATTAAGTAAGCAGTAAATAAAATATTTTTTTTCACAATTTATGGCTGCCCAATAGTAATAAGAGTCTTGTCTCTTGATATAAAACTTTTACAAACAAATCTCCAAGTTTTATTGAATCGTCTAAATTTCATATAGCCTTCTGTCAGTGAACGTAATTTATTTTGATTTTACTTGAGCCTAATCTTCATACTATATTATGTTTATGTGTGTTAATAAACTGTGCTAATACTATCTATATTACTAGGTATCTCTAACAATACATATTTCATCATATTTGCAAAAGTTATATTATCTGTGGCAAAAGGCATTCTTATATTAGTCAAATCTAAAAGACTTATTATGCAATAGTACTTCGATGAAGACTATTTAAATTTTGAGATAGGTAAGCTTTATTTGTAATGAAATAACCTTGAGACCATAAAGAGAAATAATAAATATCATTTTATTTAATATCAGGTAATAAATACGTTATCCCTTCTGTTATTGTTCTAAGTCCCTTCTGATGCTACATAATGACGTTGCCTGAAAAGTTTTAATCACAAAAAATGATCATACCTTTGTAGCTTTAAATTAATTATAAGAAATTTTATGATTTTCATATAGTAGGAGTCTATTTACAAGCTTTTATTTCCCTTGCTACGTTTATTATTATCTTTTTCAAATTGTTGAAATCTATTTAATATTACACATATTTTATTTAGTTTCTCAATAAACCGCCGTAATGATCCGTCAAATTGGTGTTAATTAAATAAATAAAAAAATACGATACCTTGTAGTGGCTTCCATTCTACTGATATTATAAATATAAAAGTTTAAATATTTGTACTCAATCACACTTAAACTACTAAATTCATTTGAAGAAAATCTTGTATACAAATAGATATTTCAGGTTTGCCGCAGTATATAGATTGTAATGTATAAAAATCGGATATCGTATACATATATAGATTGTACGTACATACATAGTATTAATTATTTTTATAATTAAATAAAAAAATGTATAATCTAAAAATAACTCTTGACAAAAGTGAAATCGTAAATAAAAGTGAGTTCACAATGATTATTGTGAATGCCAATATGAGGTCAAATATTTTTCTTTTCCATTTAACCACGTTAACCAGAATACAAAAAAGTTTCAACGATACATTTATTCCATACAACGTTCCACAGCTTTAGAAGAGTGCAAATTAAAGTGTAGGTTTCTATGCCGCGTCCATTGTCTTGCGAATTTTCGATGCTTTAAAATGCGACTAACGCTTTGAATGCTTACACGTTATGTCCCAGATCAAAAAACAATTTACTTTGATGTTTGTCTCAACTGGAAAGTACGTGAGGTTAAAACAAAAAGCGCCAGTGGGAGAGGTTACGATCATGGGCATCGAACACTTCATGGTATAAACCATACGCACTTGGAATTTCAATGGTCCGCATATTCGAATAAATCATTCGATTATTCGTTTCGACTGTGTTAACCAGCTAGTTTATCCATAAGGGAACAACTAGTTTGTTTGTTAGTTTATTCTGTGTTCTATAGAAATTCTAGAATAATGGATAAATTTTATCTTTATAATTAATATTATAATTTTAATTTCGTTAACGGAATTGGTTCACAGTTCTGTAATCGGGAAATATTTTTAAAAAAGTCTTGGATACTACAGATTACAGATAGTTACGATGTCGTAGCTATCATGTTTTCTAATTTATTTCTATTTAGTCACTGAATAAATGTTAAATTGATTTATAACAGATAAATAAAAATGTAGAAGACTTTTTACTTTCATGTTCTTACTCCTAATAGATTGAAATGCGACAAAGTAATTGTTTCGCCTATCAAATCTAGAAGATTCCAATTTATTTCTCTTCATTGGTAAATCACATAATATGCCATTTTCGCTTTTCACTTCCCTTTTATTCGTAACTAAGTTCATATACATAGGTATTAATATAATTAAAGCCTAAAAAATAACTTATTACCTACCCCTAAAAAACTATTGAAAATGTACATATTGTTTTAATCGACAAGTATTGTGCTGTCATGAGTTAAAAGTTTGATGTAGGCATGCAGTTTGCACAGTTAACTGCCACCTTGACAGTTTGGCAACAACAAATTAATCCTAAAGTACGAAGTAAATACACCACATTAGACATATTAGCACCTCGATATGGCGTAAACCATGTAGACTCTTAAAATTCATAATCTAAGATTACGCATGAAGGAATAATAATTGCATATCGTTATTTAATTAATCTTAACTCAGTCTACATTGATTTCCATATGAGTGGTTATACGTCAGAGAAATAAAAAAATAGTCCACAGGTCATCATTTAGATTTCATTTCGCAACTTACCACTTTTTATCAGACCTATCTGCAGTTTGATTACCTAGTCTTTAATATGAAATGCCCTATTCTCTTAATTAGACCATTTCTATTAATGGACCCAAAATATATTTATGAAGTACTTTATTTAGTTATTATAAGTAGCTAAACAAAATTTAATGTATTTCTTACACAAGACTACGTTAATACACAGGTAACTGTTAGTAAATAATAAACGCCTGTTAATCGAGTATTGTAATGCGATAAATTGTGGCTCTATCATTTTCATTAGGCGGTAAATGTAAATATACATAAAAGTAAAATACAGGTAGCATAACACAAATGTTAATCTATGCATTATTGTTAATAAAATACTTCAAACATGGAATATTTAAAACCTTTCTAAAACCTCTGTTATCTTAAATATATGTAGTCCTAATATAAACTAAGATATTTTAAGAAATTTATTTAATTACTTTAGATACTGGTCGTGATTCAACATAAATTAATCATCTACGTATATTACGTTTTGGATTGTGGATAAAGATAGAATTATTGTTCCATAAAAAAAATATTGGTATGCAATAATTATTATAGCACTCGTATGTGAACGACTTAAAAATATCATAATAATATTATAAATTCTAATATTATGTTTATAGATTGAAATTATCAATTAATTGAATAAAAATGTCAGTCATGGTAGGTAACACAAAAAGACGCACCTAGAGAAATGAGACAATGATATTTAGAAATCGATTGTGTAAAATGTTCAACCCAATAGACGCATTGAGAAACATTTTCTCTTCAAAGATAGACATGACACTAATGCACTGTGTCAATATTACTGTTGCCATTCAGTATCCAAGCATTACGCAGTTTATAACAATGTGTCCTAATATTATTTCCCAAATTACTTTAACAACTTACTACATTAACAAATAAGGATATAAAATTAAACAAATGTTATATTTCTTTTCAGGTGTCGCTGATGGTAGCTATAGCTACCGAAGCTCCACCAACGAAGGAACTTAGTAAGGAACCGGAAAATACAGAAACAAGACAAGGTCGACAATATGGTTCCTATGTGCAAGGCAAAGAGGTTGTAGTCGACATTCAAGACGACGAAAAGAATCAGTACTACGAGACGAATTACGATACGAGTTAGTACAAAATAATTATCGCAATTAAGTTACAAAGTAGACTTTGCAAAAAGTCATCTGCGTGAGTATCTCATCTCATCCATTTCAGCCATCCGTAGAGCAGCTTCTTTGTCTTGTGCTACGGTTGGAGGGTGAAATATGCGAATGAAATTAGAGAGAACGTAGGCATAATACATATCTTAACCCTCCGGAATGGCAGCTCATGAGAGGCACTACAGGAGTAATATCCGTGGCGATCTTCATATATGTATATAGAGAATGGTTGACATTACGCACCATCAAGTTGGCTGTTTGCCGTTCCAGTTTGTACATAAAAAACCTAGGATTTTCTATTCTTAATTTAACTAATCTAAAAACAATTGCAATCTTACATGAATGATTAATATTATTATAAATTGTTATTGGCTTTTTACCATGAAAGAACAGTATAATAAAATAAGCTTCTTTAATGGTAACATATAATTATTCCTCGATACGACAGTGCTTTCAAATCGCTCAGGCAAACAAACATTAATAAAGATGTATGTCACATAAAATTAAAAATGTTGTTTAAAGAATAACGATCGACAGTCGTTGAGCAATTTAAAGAATGAACAATAAAATGTAAATTTAGCTCTACATGTGTTCTCACATGGACGGAATTACAACTGTGATGTATTCTTTTAACATTCAATGTGTGTATGGTTGAGATTATCGAAGTCGTATTGTTTTTAAGGTTGAAAAGAGTTATTAATATACATTTCACCTAATACACTACACTACACGTCACAAAACTTATGAAAATACCACTCTTAGTTCAATTCTTGTACAGCATGACATCTAAGTTCTCTGGAATAGTACCGCATGAGTGGTATCACGGGGATGTCATATTATAACGTGATGTCTGTCCGTCCGTTCATATATATAGGCAAGGATTAGCGCTTACCTACCTACCATCAGGTGGGCTGTTAACTGGTTTGCCATTTATCCAATTACATAATTAACAGCTTCTTTTTACCGTGACATTTTTTAAAAGAAAACTGTAAGTGAATGTAGTAAGTAATAGATATGTGTATATTACCAAATTATATAAAGAAGATATTCTTTATATAATTTGGTAACAAGTAAATTCTTCTTACTGCTACTTTAATACGAATACTGTCATCGAAATGTGTTTCCACTAATATATATTTTCTACATTAAATACGGCGGGCGTATTATATATGAACATACATATTGCCATAGAAGTACATATTCCCATTATAGAAATAAACATTTTTGTTTTTCAGACGCATATGGTTTTGGATACGACGTGGGACCAAGCGGTCAATTCCACCACGAGAATCGTGGTCCGGACGGTGTGACATACGGCTGTTACGGTTACGTAGACACTGAAGGATTCCTCCGAGCAACACATTATGTTGCCGACAGCCATGGATACAGGGTAGTGGAGCCAGAGAAACCTGTAGAAGTTTACCCGGATCAGAAATACGAGTATGATGAACAGTGAGTATAACTTGAGGATGTTAATTTTAAATTTATAGTACCAAGAATAATTTCCTCATTAAATGAGTAGCCTGAAATTTTCTTTTGGATGTATATAGTTTTTCTCTTATAATTTACTGTGTGTTTTAAGTTTTAAATAGATAGTGTTGAACACTATCTGTTTAAAACTCGAATTTCTGACCAAAATTAAATTTAACGCCCCTGAAGTTGTAAACACACCGTGCTACTGAATACATATTCTACCGGTTTCTGCACTAGACGATCGAACTGTTTCAACCTTTAATAAAGACAAAATTACAGAAATTTCTTTCATCCACAGCAGAAGATCAACAGTATAAAATTAATATATCTTATCTTTTCGCTTTTCTATAACTGTTCTTATATTCATTTTTTTTCTTTCCAGATCTCAACCGACAGAAAAAGTACCGGGTCAAATCATTGCGTGGGAAAAGTTATATTTCCCTAAAGGTTGTGGGCGCACTCCAGGAGGAGTTCCAGCGAAGCCTTTACCTCCAGGACCACCTAAACCACCACGACCACCCCCCGATAGCACTGGACAGACAACCAACCCTAAACCTGGAGTCGTAACCCCTGGCCAAGGTATGTCTAATTTCAGTTCTTCTGAAACTACTATAGACAAAGAAAAACTTAGAGTTGATTTTAATTAAATAACCAATTAACGTGGTTAAGTCATACAAAAACCCGACATATAATTAAATTATACAATCTGATCCCATTATTGGCAGCTAATTAAAAATACGCTGAAAAAAGAAGACATAAATCTGTTTATTCCTTTATTTAGCACCTTCTTGCAATTAGTTCCTTTTGCATAGTATAATTTAGTATACAATTTTCAATTAATACACAATTTTCATTTTTTATTTATACAGATCCATTATCATTTAATTAAACAACAAGAAGTTTTATTTGTTTTACTATCTTATAAAATAGTCAATATAAATAAAATCTATTTGTTAAAAAAATAAAATCTACAAAATATAGGTATTATGTAAGGATATGTCCGATACGGACGCAAGCTTCTAAATTTACGTATATCATTGTTTACAGGTGGTGCTGGCGGTGGAGGCGGTGGATCCGGTGGACCTGGAGGTCCCACGGGACCTGGAGGCCCTGGTGGTCCCGGCGGTCCAGTAGGCCCTGGCGGTCCAGGTGGACCAGGAGGCGGACAATGTATGTAAAATCACTATAATTAAATGAATAAAAACTACCATTTTCCATTACATTCTTCTATATACTTGTTGACATGTTTGCCTAGAGTTTAGAGTTTAACATATTTAAATTAAAAATAATGTATATTACATGTTCGAGTATGTAATTTTAACTCAGCTTATATTCGTCGTTTTCTTTCTATAAGACAACATTTAGATCTCATATACAGCTCATTGAATATTTCATGTATTAAAAAATATATACTTTTTTAGGTAGATGTCCAGTTTGTTTGTGCGTTATCACGCAATTTCAGAATCGACTTAAACTTCTCGGGTGCTGTTGGTGTTATAATAAGCTTCATTAAAAACGTAGCGATTCGAATAGATAACAAACAAAATAGTTATCTAGGATCTAGTGTAGTTTATAATATACCTCGTGTACCTCGGTAAAATATCATAATGACTTTGATCTATTACAGGGCAAGGCGGCTACCCTGGCTCTCCAGGCACTCCCGGCACCCCCGGCACACCGGGTAGCCCTGGCTCTCCAGGAGGACCAGGTATACTTTATACATTACATACAATTAATAAAAAAAAATATTACTATCATAAACCACGGAGTTTGAAATTATTATATTTTGACGGCCTCGGTAATCTAGCGGTTTAGTACACCGCCTCAATTCCGATGGTCGCGAGTTCGATTCCTCTCACGGCACAAACATTTGTATTCAGCATTATGATTGTTTAGTATGGGTATGGGTGTTTCAATATATGTATTTACGAAAATAAAACTATGTATATGTATCAGTTATCTAGTACCCGTAAGACTAGCTTATTATTATTGTTAACAATTTAATAATTATTATTTTATGAATACAAATACTGGAAATGGTGTTTATAAAAAAGGAAGCTTATGAAAGAATTCTTTTGCATGACTATCAGTAAAGAATAATAGTTATTATTGCTGTTTTAATTGTGTTTAATAATATTATAATAGTATTATCTTATCTGTGGTATCAGAAACAAAAGATCTTATTTTCCTTTTTTATAATACCTTGATATACGTCATATCAAGAGTGAAATAAAGGACAAACTGATGGCCATAAAAAAACCTCTGATAGCTTTATGAAACTGAATCCAAAAAATAATGAAAAAATATTTTCTTGTCAGGTGGACCTGGCGGCCCTGGAGGCCCAGGAAACGGTGGCTATTATCCCGGATATCCCGGTATCTCTGGTACCCCTGGTTCACCAGGCTCTCCCGGAACGCCTGGATCACCCGGATCGCCCGGTACACCAGGCTCTCCCGGCACACCAGGCACACCAGGTCAGTTGTTAAGTATTCACTATTCTATACAGACATCGTGGTACATAGATTTTGAAAAAATTCGTCTATTTCACTCACACAGACGACTTTTCTCAGTCTCATTTATTTAAGCAGTTAAACCGACCAAGTAAACTCAATGGCAGAGTGAAGATGAAAAATTGTAAAAGTGAAATGAATGCAGTGTGAAATGTTGAAATTACACGACAGCGAAGCATGACATCTTAGTCCTTCGGAATGGAAAACATAAGCGGTATCATGGATGTCAACATGATAATGCATTCATGTATATAGGCAACGGTTACCACTTACCCTCAGGTGGGGCAACAGCAGGTTAAAGATTTTAATTGCGCAAAACATAATTGTAGAAATAATCTTAGTATACATACTCGTACATAGGTAATGTGACCAGACGTCCCGTAATGAACGGGACAGTCCCTTTTTATAATTACGAGTCCCGGTGTCCCCGAAACGGACTCTGGAACGCAAAATTGTCCCGATTTCGGTAACGGTGCGAAATTTTGGGTAGACGAGCCGGTTGTTAGTTGTTGGTAATTAAGGTGAGTATAAAAAAAATGTGCCAAGAGTGTCATTCTTACTTAAATACTTCTTAAAAAGTCAAATTTGTTCCTCCGATAACAAAACATTTTATTTTTATCAGATAAATATAAACTATCTATGAATAAACAAAATGTTTAATTATATTTATCGGATATATTTCTTAATTGATAACTTTTTTTGAATAGATAATTTAAAAAAAGAGTTTTTTTCATTGGCTGTCTGTTAAATGTGTCCCGTTTTGAGTCGAAGAATAAATGGTCACATTATACATAGGCTGTCTCCTTATACAAATAAACTTGTCCAATTTAGTTTAATTTTTAAATCTATCTAATATTTTAAGGAGGTCCAGGAGGTCCAGGCGGACCAGCTGGCCCGCCCGGTACTGGAAGTTACTACCCTGGCCAGCCCGGTAGTCCAGGCACCCCCGGCAGTCCCGGCACACCAGGCTCTCCAGGCGGTCCAGGTAACTTCTTTATTTATTCATGCAATTAGGCTCATAGCTCACTGTATTACAACATAACAGAACGTTTAAAATGCTTACTGACATATAATAAGCATAAGAAAAAAAAACTCTGGACAATTGACACAAAGCCATCTAGCCCTCAGGTAACTAGACAACCGATATAAATACTTAAGTACCTACATTTCGTCAAATGATGAAGTATAACTAATTATTAGAAACTTTTTAGACCTGTGGTATTCGTAAGAAAATAGCTGAATTATCGTTTTGTGAATGATTGGATTTATACAATTAAATATTACTAAAAGTACAGATAAGATAATATTACATCTAAAAGTTAGCTACGCTACATCTCATTGATGTCAAATCTATTAAGCCGTTTCTTTAAGTATGCAATAGGTTTATTTTAATGATACCGTCCTGTCTAGTAGTAAGTACTATTTCGAATGATCGGTTCCTTTAAAAGTGTCAATCAGAAAAGGAATCTGATTTTTCACCTTCGGTTCATTCTTTAAATTCAAACCAATGAAAATCGGTCAAAATATTATGTTGTACGAAGTTATAGAGACAAATTAAACTAATATATAAGATTTTTAACTTTTTCGTATAAAGCTAAGTGTTTTAAGGTTCAACACTGAACAGAATAGAATATTTATAATTTTATTGACTCGTTTCCCAGACTAATAACATAAACTATACAAGCAATAATCTACACATTAAAAAACAGAGTTAATGTGGATCACAACTCGGCATAAAGCTGCAAATATAGTTTCCAGCGCTGATTATCTGTTGAGCCTACAGTACGGACCCACATAAATTACAATTAACACACATTGCTTCTCTACATTAAGTAATTCACTTTACTTCGCTGTGCCTAAAAGGAAATTCAATCCTAATGCATTGGGGAGAACGGGACTGATAGTAATTTATCACGATGGGCTAGCTGACCTAACCTTATGCTCATTTTATCATCCTCCACTTGTGGTCCGTAGGAGTAAACCGTTAACGCAGGAGGGCGCGTTATTCCATCATCATCCATTAAAAAAAATCCCAATGTAGTCTCACTGTGTTACACGGAAAACAGATACCTATACCTGATTAATTTTAATACGACTCACATATTTTTTTATGGGGGGATTTGAGCTATAATTGTCAAGTACTTGGACCTGTAGCACTGCGACCTACATAGATCTACTTTGCCCTTTCTCAGAGTTCGCTACCTAGACCCCTCAGGTACAAGAATTCTTAGGAGAAGGATATTCTTAGGAGCGATGGTTCTTAACGGAAGTTTACAACTAGTGTCTAATTGATAATGTTTATCCAATTTTATCAATTTGTAATATTAAGTTATTGTCAATTATTATGTTTATTTCGTTAGTAGTAGTTTAGAACTTAACGTACTATCGTCGTCGTCGATCTCTTATTGTATTAATTTACTAGTAAAGGCTATAACAGAAGAGCAGAGAGGGTAGACTCACTGCCCCCTCTGGGTTATAGACCGTTTTGTCTCCTTCACTACTTTTAAATTTTATTATTGTATTAGTTTTCGTTTGAGACAAATAAAGATAATAATTATTATTATTATGATAATTCAGGAATTCAAATATCAATAAAATTATTTCCTAGGAGGTCCAGGGGGACCTGGAGGTCCCGGCGGCCCCGGAGGCCCTCCAGGCAGTTATTATCCAGGGCAACCAGGCACACCAGGCTCTCCAGGCAGTCCCGGAACCCCAGGAGGACCAGGTGATATTTCTTTTTGTATCTGAATATCAAAATTAATGTGAATTATATTTTTTAATGTCAACTAATCTGGAAGATTATCATAATTTAGTATCTAATATGAATATATTTGAGTATCTAATATGATCTAAATTGTATGCATTTAACCTTCACAATAAGTGTTCTGAAATAACTATTTATAGTTTATATATATTTGTAGAAACTGTATTTAGTATTAATTGTAATACTATTTTTTCATATTTACTATTTAATGTAGATTTATAAGTATTGTAAATTAATTTTGTTAATAGCGCCATCTAGTATTTATAGACTGAACTAAATCGTTTGTAATAAGATAACCGTTACCCACACTTCTCTCTCTACTACACTGACTTCGGTCTATAAATACGGAGGCCGGTAGTTGAATAGCTCTCCCCTCCGATCGATCCCCCGTTCAATTCAAACGGGGATCGATATTACAACGACCTGAGCCGAGGATCAAACCCCTAGTGGTGCTCTCAGATTAAAGTCGTATCCGTCAGGCAGGAGTTGGCCTTCAGCCACTCCATAAGTTCTTCCGCGGGTTTGGAGTGCCATCTGCACTTACCCCCTAACGTCCGGTGAATCTGTAAAGGCCAGCTGCGGCCAACAGAATTAGAGTAGTCCGAAAAAAAAATTGAATAGCTCTTTCGTAGAATAGTATAACCGCTTCACCGAATACTTCTTTGGAATTTCATAAAAGTGTTAATTATTTATTTATATTATCGTGCGATGATTCACCCGGTATCAGTACCCGACCTTACACATCATTATGTAATGTGATGACCTTGGTGGTCTAGCAGTCTAGCATACCGCTTTACGACCGATGGTCGCGGGTTCGATTCCTCACACAGCACAAACATTTGTATTCATGAGTATGATAGTTTGTATCAGTCTCGGTGTTTTCTATGTATAATATATATGTATTTACAAAAAAATATATATCTATGTATATGTATCAGTTATCTAGTACCCATAACACAAGCTTTAGCTAGCTTAATTTGGGTCTAGATGGCGCTGTGTGAATTGTCCTGAGCTTATTATTATTATATTATTATTATTATACGACGCAACGTTTAGAGTAATCAGAAAGAAAGAATCAGGTAGAAATATTTTTAAAAATAGTACTACGGAAATTAATACGACAGACCTAAAACTCATAACAATTATTTCGCAGTAGTGTCCAAAGTCACTATTATTAATTATTAACTTCATGATGTTATAAACTATTATTACAATAATGCGGAACATAAATGATCAAATTCTTATTAAAAAATAACTTATTGTATACATTTAGTACTAATTCAGTTACTATAAAAACTGTTTTCATATTAAAACTATATGAAAACAGGTTTTATAGTAACTGAATTAGTACTAAATGTATAAAATACAAGTAAGACCAAAGAAATTCACATTAATTGATATTGTGATCTGTGACGTGTCGTGTGGAATGAGTAGTCATGCTCACTAAAATGTCCAAACATGTGGCGGCGTGGTGGGCCGGGTCAATGGGCTCCCTAAAATATGGTCGAGCGCAGTGATGGCTGGCTCATCCGTCATACTCGTGAACGAGTGCTGCTTGTAGGGACTGGTCTGCTCTTATCACTACGACTGATTTAATCTTATTGCATGATTATATTTGACCCAAAAAATTAGTGCTTGTTGGATATGTCCTTTCCGGAATCCAGAATGAAGCTTAGGTAGAATATGCTTAGATTCCAAGTATTTTAGTTTGTATTCACACGTTTCGAACATTTGTTTTTAAATGTAAACTTACAAGTATTATTTAAAAGAGCAACACACAAGTTTCTTGCTCGTTCTTCTTGTGATGAGACAGCTTTCCGAACGAGTGGTATATAAAAAACAAATTGTTATGACTATTCAAAAGTGCTTAAATTAAGTTTATTTGAATAAATGATTTTCTATTTCTATTTCTATTTCTATTGAAAACATCATTATTATAAATGTAATAAAACTAAACAAGGTATGTTTGATGGTATGTTTTTATACCAAATATTCGCCTGAAGTCACCATATCAAGTCTGTGTTAACAAAATATCACATTATCTTAGGCTGAAGTGTATTTATTTATATAATGTTGTATTTGTATGTGCATATCTACATTATTATGTATTTCCGTATAATCGCTACATAATAATTGTTTAAATAGGGGGCCCTGGCGGACCTGGTGGTCCTGGCGGTCCATCAGGCATTTATCCAGGACAACCGGGCACAGGAGGTACCCCAGGTACACCAGGCTCTCCCGGCGGTCCCGGAACTCCAGGAGGACAAGGTATAGTATTTTTTCATATCGACACTTATATATAAAGAAAGACACAATGTCTGATAGTGCTTTTTCTATTATATTCTATAGTATTCTAAACATCGGTGTTGCAGAAGTTTACCATTGGTTACTACTATACATTCTCATTTCATCTTCATTGAGATTGTAATTTATTTCTTGTATACCAAGTATATACAACAAATGCAAACATTTGTAAATGTTTATAAGTAATAAAATACATATTTCTGTTATAGATGTTAGTTTTAAACACTCATATGTACTTAATTTTTATAATCATATATCTGTATATGATATAAATAATGAAAAAAATATTGACAAATTATTACTTTACAAGTCCTCTCACTGAGATTCTCATTATACTGTGAGAAAATATTTGTCCCGTAATAGAAACGTATTTACAATCTCAAAAGCAAAACATGATTATATGCGACCTGCACTAAGATTAACTTTGGTACCACAACTAACCTACCGCACCCTTATAGTACATGTGAGTGACATAGTTTTTACACAATCGCATGTGTTTACACAAGTAAATTAAAGATACGTCCCATAAAGAAACACTATCAATATGCATCATCGATGTCTAGCGTAACATTATTAAGGAACTTACTAAGCAAGTTCTATTGTATTCTAATTTTATTCAGGTGGCCCAGGACAACCGGGATACCCAGGACAGCCTGGTCAGCCAGGTAGCCCGGGCCAACCAGGACAACCAGGTTATCCAGGACAGCCTGGCCAACCAGGTTACCCAGGACAGCCAGGTCAACCAGGATATCCAGGACAACCTGGTCAACCAGGGCAACCAGGACAGACAGGCCAACCAGGACATCCAGGTGTCCCAGGACAGCCAGGCCAACCAGGTCAGCCAGGATACCCAGGACAGCCAGGCCAACCAGGTCAGCCAGGATACCCAGGACAGCCAGGCCAACCAGCACAGCCAGGATATCCAGGACAGCCAGGACAGCCGGGCCAACCAGGACATCCAGGACAGCCAGGCCAACCAGGACATCCAGGACAACCTGGCTACCCAGGACAGCCAGGACAACCAGGACAACAAGGCCAACCAGGAAAGCCAGGCCAACCAGGTCAGCCAGGATATCCAGGACAGCCAGGCCAACCAGGACAGCCAGGATACCCAGGACAGCCAGGCCAACCAGGTCAGCCAGGTCAACCAGGACATCCAGGTAGCCCCGGACAACCAGGACAGCCAGACCAACAAGGACATCCAGGACAACCTGGCTACCCAGGACACCCAGCACAACCAGGACAACAAGGCCAACCAGGAAAGCCAGGCCAACCAGGACAGCCAGGATACCCAGGCCAGCCAGGCCAACCAGGACAACCTGGCTACCCAGGACAGCCAGGACAAACAGGACAACAAGGCCAACCAGGAAAGCCAGGCCAACCAGGTCAGCCAGGATATCCAGGACAACCAGGCCAACCAGCACAGCCAGGATACCCAGGACAGCCAGGTCAACCAGGACAGCCAGGCCAACCAGGACAGCCAGGATATCCAGGACAGCCAGGCCAACCAGGACAGCCAGGACAGCCAGGCCAACCAGGACATCCAGGTGGCCCAGGCCAACCAGGTTACCCAGGACAGCCAGGACAGCCAGGCCAACCAGGACATCCAGGACAACCTGGCCAACCAGGACATCAACCAGGCCAACCAGGTCAGCCAGGATACCCAGGAGGGCCAGGACAACCAGGCCAACCAGGACATCCAGGACAACCTGGCTACCCAGGACAGCCAGGACAACCAGGACAACAAGGCCAACCAGGACAGCCAGGACAACCAGGACATCCAGGACAACCAGGGCAACCTGGTGGCCCAGGACAACCAGGACAGCCAGGCGGCCCCGGACAACCAGGACAGCCAGGATACCCAGGACAGCCAGGCCAGCCAGGATATCCAGGACAGCCAGGCCAACCAGGACATCCAGGACAACCTGGCTACCCAGGACAGCCAGGCCAACCAGGACAGCCAGGCCAACCAGGACATCCAGGACAACAGCCAGGTTACCCAGGACAGCCAGGCCAACCAGGATATCCAGGTGGCCCAGGGCAGCCAGGCCAACCAGGACAGCCAGGATACCCAGGACAGCCAGGACAACCAGGGCAACCTGGTGGCCCAGGACAACCAGGACAGCCTGGCGGCCCAGGCCAACCTGGACAACCAGGCCAGCCAGATCAGCCAGGATACCCAGGGCAACCAGGACAGCCAGGCCAACCAGGACAGCCAGGCCAACCAGGACAGCCAGGCCAACCAGGACATCCAGGACAACCAGGACAGCCAGAGCAATCAGTACCAGGGAAGCCAGGCCAACCAGGTCAGCCAGGACATCCAGGACAACCAGGGCAACCTGGTGGCCCAGGACAACCAGGACAGCCAGGCGGCCCCGGACAACCAGGACAGCCAGGATACCCAGGACAGCCAGGCCAGCCAGGCCAGCCAGGATACCCAGGACAACCAGGCCAACCAGGCCAACCAGGCCAACCAGGACAGCCAGGACAACCAGGTCAGCCAGGATACCCAGGACAACAAGGCCAACCAGGACAGCAAGGCCAACCAGGACAGCCAGGATATCCAGGACAGCCAGGCCAACCAGGACAGCCAGGCCAACCAGGACATCCAGGACAACCTGTCTACCCAGGACAGCCAGGACAACCAGGACAACAAGGTCAACCAGGACAGCCAGGCCAACCAGGACAGCCAGGTTACCCAGGACAGCCAGGTAGCCCAGGCCAACCTGGACAACCAGGACAGCCAGGATATCCAGGACAGCCAGGCCAACCAGGACAGCCAGGATACCCAGGACAGCCAGGCCAACCAGGACAGCCAGGCCAACCAGGACATCCAGGCCAGGTTACCCAGGACAGCCAGGCCAACCAGGTCAGCCAGGATATCCAGAACAGCCAGGCCAACCAGGACAGCCAGGATACCCAGGACAGCCAGGCCAACCAGGACATCCAGGACAACCTGGCTACCCAGGACAGCCAGGCCAACCAGGACAGCCAGGCCAACCAGGACAACAAGGCCAACCAGGTCAGCCAGGATATCCAGGACAGCCAGGCCAACCAGGACAGCCAGGATATCCAGGACAGCCAGGCCAACCAGGACAGCCAGGATACCCAGGACAGCCAGGCCAACCAGGCCAACCAGGACAGCCAGGTCTACCAGGACAACCAGGACAACCAGGACAGCCAGTGCAATCAGGACATCAACCAGGTCAGCCAGGCCAACCAGGACAGCCAGGCCAACCTGGCTACCCAGGACAGCCAGTACAACCAGGACAACAAGGCCAACCAGGAAAGCCAGGCCAACCAGGTCAGCCAGGATATCCAGGAGAGCCAGGCCAACCAGGACAGCCAGGCCTACCAGGACATCCAGGACAACCAGGGCAACCTGGTGGCCCAGGACAACCAGGACAGCCTGGCGGCCCCGGACAACCAGGACAGCCTGGATACCCAGGACAGCCAAGCCAGCCAGGTTATCCAGGTGGCCCAGGACAACCAGGCCAACCAGGTTACCCAGGACAGCCAGGTAGCCCAGGCCAACCTGGACAACCAGGACAACAAGGCCAACCAGGTCAGCCAGGATACCCAGGACAACCAGGCCAGCCAGGTCAGCCAGGATACCCAGGGCAACCAGGACAGCCAGGCCAACCAGGACAGCCAGGTAGCCCAGGCCAACCAGGTCAGCCAGGATACCCAGGACAACCAGGACAGCCAGGCCAACCAGGACAGCCAGGTAGCCCAGGGCAACCAGGTCAGTCAGGATACCCAGGACAGCCAGGACATCCAGGGCAACCAGGACAGCCAGGACAACCAGGTCAGCCAGGATTCCCAGGACAACAAGGCCAACCAGGACAGCAAGGCCAACTAGGTAGCTCAGGCCAACCCGGACAACCAGGATACCCAGGACAGCCAGGCCAGCCAGGATACCCAGGACAGCCAGGTGGCCCAGGACAACCAGGTTACCCAGGACAGCCAGGTATCCCAGGCCAACCTGGTCAACCAGGACAACAAGGCCAACCAGGCCAGCCAGGACAACAAGGCCAACCAGGCCAGCCAGGATATCCAGGCCAACCAGGTAGTCCTGGACAATCAGGACAGTCAGGCCAACCAGGACAGACAGGCCAACCGGGACATCCAGGTTACCCAGGACAACCAGGCCACCCAGGACAGCCAGGACAGCCTAGTCAACCAAGCCAACCAGGATACCCCGGACAGCCAGGCCACCCAGGACAGCCAGGACAGCCTAGTCAACCAAGCCAACCAGGTTACCCCGGACAGCCAGGTCAACCAGGCCAACCTGGATATCCAGAACAGCCTAGTCAACCAGGCCAGCCAGGATACCCCGGACAGCCAGGCCAACCAGGCCAACCTGGATACCCAGGACAGCCTAGTCAACCAGGCCAGCCAGGATACCCCGGACAGCCAGGCCAACCAGGCCAACCTGGATACCCAGGACAGCCAGCACAGCCAGGTGGCCCAGGACAGCCAGGTAGCCCGGGGCAACAAGGACAACCTGGTCAACCGGGATACCCAGGACAACCAGGGCAGCCAGGTCATCCAAGTGGACAAGGACAACCAGGGCAACCCGGACAACCAGGCGGTCCAGGACAACCTGGACAGCCAGGATATCCAGGTAAAGACTGAAAACTATTTGCCAACTGTTTTCAACGAAACCCTAAGTGCAAAAAAGTGTATCCATAATCATGCTTTAACAAAAAAACGCATTACATAGCCTTCCAGAATAGCAACGTATAGTAGTGCCACTGTCGTCACAATAAGTCTGTGATGTCCATGGTGCCGTTCATCTAAATATATATACATATATAGGCGACGATTGCCATCTATACCTATAGACATTAACAGCATTACGAATAGTACGTTATTATTTGACAAACCTAATACCGCTCATGCAATGATGGTAGACATCATGCCTATTCTATAGTTGAACAGCCTTAATCCTTCAATTGAAACACAGCTTCAGCTAGCTGCTTGCCAATTATTATATTATAGTGAGGAAGTCAACAAAGCATCAATGTATTCATCAATTTTACTATTAAAAAATTGTGTCTAAAAAGTACTCAAATTGATGTGACGTAATTTACACATGACCGTTACGGTATTCCACTGTATCTAAGACCATGCTGTATGGGTATAAGTAGACATTAAAGCAAAGCAATATTAGTAGACTTTTTTAACAACTTTGATTTTTGCGTTTTTAGCCCTATCGTCCAAAAGAGTTTAATACACCAGTATATGGTACATTCTTTACGACGTTGATAATCATACTTTAGATATTTAACTTACTTAAATTTTGGAATGAATACTTTCTTAGCTTTAACAACTGGCTTTAAAAAAAAAACTACTTTTAATATTACTGCTTTCGTTGTGTGACAGTACTATGCACAATATAATATATGCAGTACTACGCCGCAACTTATTACATTATTTTAAATGGATTATTATTTTAAATTAGAATTGGACTTCAATAACAAATTTTATTTCATTACAGGTGGAGATTCAGTCGGTGAACCTACCGGAGTCCAACCACCAAACCAAGTACCACCTGGTAGTCAAGTACCACCGTTCCCTATTTACGTAATTCCATACCCATTGCCAATTGTACCAAGTCCTGGATCATGTCCTTGCTATCTTGTAAACCCAGGAAAGAACGATTCCACGGCAGTCACACCAGGACAAAATGGAGGAACGGCTGGTCAAGGTCAACCAACATATGCACCATACGGTATAATTGGATTTGTCCCGGTAGTATTCGTTCCTTATTGTCCAGGAAATGCCTCAAGTATAGACACTGCTCAGCAAAATTTTCCTAATGCAGTACCGGTATCATACAACTGCGCCCAATGTCAAGCAAACAGAGATGTATACCGTTACCTTGGTAGGTGGAACGGTGCCCGGAGTTCAAATGTCGGGGATTTAAAAGTCATAAAGTCACTAGGCGAATTAGACCATCTTATTAAAAATCAAATAAAACCAAGAAGGAAAGATGTAAACAGAATTAATATGCACCCCAGAATGCTGGAAAATAGAACGAGCAAAGAACTAAAAAACTGAACATGGATCCATCATTATGACACAATAGAAATTCTATTGAGGTGATCGTATTAATGTACATAATTTTGAGATTGTCTGATAGTAATTCTTGGACGGTCTCAAAATTTTTCGATCCATTTATTTATTATCCTATTCCCTACTTTTAGGATAATTTTAAGATACACTAATTAATGATACTTAAAAATGTTTTTTATGATGCCACAAACGCGCAACAGTATGTAATATTTACAAATGTAATTTTACCAATTTTACTGTTACACACCTATAAATAATAATTATAAATATTTATAATGCTTGTGGTCGGTCATAACTTTGTAAACGGAAATTTGTTGCCATTGTAGTGAATAAACAAATAAGTCAAAATGATATTTTATTTTATTCTTTGTTTCCAAAAAGTGATTTATAAAATTTCCCTATTAGGAGTATTTAAAGTATTATAAATACTAAGTAGGACTGTATTCTTAAGTATAAGAATCAAAATTTACTTATATTATGTAGTACATCCCTACGACATAATTATACAGTCCTCATATATTACAAATTGTATATCGGAGGAAGTGATTAGTTAATAATGGGGACTACTGTGCTCATTCCATTGGTGGTATTTAGATACCATATCAGGTCGAATTTCACACGGTCCGTACAGGACACCACTACTACAGCCACAGATAAGAAATAATAAAACATCTAATATAATCCTTCTACGACTAGCTCATTAATAGTGAATGGTGGACTAATAGTTTATTATCCTGATTCGGAATTAAATATCTTGTGTCAATTACAATGACTTCATAACTGTTATCCCAGATAGCACAGTCAGAGGTATTATTACCCCATCCGAGATAATACTCATGAATATATATTTGTTAAAATACAATTAAAATGCAAATAAAAAGAATTCTAGTAATATACATGGAATAAAAATGAATGTCCTATATATTCACCCAGAATTTATGGTAGATATCTTCGTTCGTTCAATAAGATTGACTCCTTCTATTGAATATAAAATCATCTTAAAGAAATACGACGCGAGTTACGAGTACGCGACCATGACTCAAATGCGTCGTCACGGGTCACAGCTAGCCTCATTAAGAACCACTACTTGTAAGACGTAAACTTGATACATGGCAACTACTTATATCTAGAATTCTGTTTTCTAAGTTTATATTGTTCTATTTGTGTGTACATGTATATCATAGATACGTAAACGTTCCAATCTACTGACAATAAATGATATGAGCACTAGCTGTGCCAGCGTTTTCAGCCGCTTTAAAGTAGTATTTATCGTATTCTGATGTACATATAAGTTATATTACTGTACAGTTTCATCAAAATCCGTTCCGTAGTTTTTGCGTGGAAGAGTAACAAACATCCCTCCATCAATCTATCAATCTATACTCACAAACTTTCGCGTTTATATTATTATTATGTAATATTATCATAACTGTGACATTACGAAGATACTCGTAGGAAGTCAATAAAATAATAGGGCAAGTTTAATTGAATTATATATTTAATATCTATAGTAAATTGTATTAAATATTTTTAGTTGGCAAATCAAATTCTTTAATTTAAATTTATTATTATTATTTAAATTTTAATTTGACAGTGATAGTCAATATTATCTTATCAAACTTATGCGACACACATCGAAGTAATATATATATGCACTTATTGCAAAATGAGCTGCGTGCCAGCCCACCACACCACAAATTGTCTCATAAATAAAGAACTTTGAGTACGGGTCAGTAGTTTGAGTAAGAATTACGTCGGTTTCCTTTTCCCTTAAGTAGACACCTCATCGTAAAACAACAGCCAGCACTTATTACGACACATTATACATTATTACTTACTTAATTTTGACCTTATGTGAGCACGGCTCATAGTGAAGTTTTACTAAATACATAATTCTTATACAGGCTAAGAATACTAGGTCAGTGTGAATAAAAACCATATATCACAAATGCCTGTATTAAACTTATACGAATAAATATATTTTGATTAAGTAGAAATAGTATATTTCTGACAATAAGTTACATACCATTGTCGTTACTATCTCTAAGAGTATTGGGATTCTCGGTGTCGACATCTCTAGTACAGTTGAGTTCCGCAGTCACCTGGAAGAAAAGGTGAAGCTGACGTCCAAAAAGCTCGGTGTGCTCAATAGAGCGAAGTACTTCACTGCGGACCAGAGACTTCTCTTATATAAGTGACAGATTCTGTGGCACACTGCTCTTATCTTTGGCCAGGAGCACCTGGATACCAGCTCGGTCCTTTTGACCCGGTTCAGAGACGTGCTATAACAATTGTCGATAATCTCAATCTCTCTGGCGGTATCGAACCACTTAGCATGAGGTGAGACTTCGCTTCGCTTTGTTTGTTCTATCGATTATACAACGGAGGAATGAGGATGTTCTGAGGAATTGTTTCACATGATGCCTACGGCCACCTTTTACCATCGCACTGCTCGCCATCGACAGGGAATTCATCCCCACACGCTGTAAATTAAATGGTCTCGGACAGTGCGGTTTCAGAGGAAGTTCTTCCCGCGTACACTTAGATTATGGAATGAACTTCTTGCCGAGGTTTTGTCACTATACTACAGCATGGAGTTTTTCAAGAAGGATATATTAAGGTTTCTTAAGGGTCGGCAACGCGCACGTGATACCCTTGGTGTTTTAGGCGTCCATAGGCTATGGTAACCATTTACCATCAGATGGGCCGTATGCTTGATTGCCACCATCGTAGTGTATATAAAAAAAAATACTCGAATAAATCATAGTTCGATTATTTTTTAAGCTCGAAACAATTCACACTCATTCATTATCAAGTCCAAAATTATGTAAACAGATCTTGTATCATGTGTACTAAACAACAAATGACTTATAGAAATACTGAAATACGTTTTTTTTTCTTAAATATATATATGACTATACCATACGTAGAAAACACTATTCATTACGTTGCAAATTAGCGGTAGTCTATCTATTATATTTAGTACGAGTACATTTGGAATCACTAAGTTCTTCGTGAAATGAGTAGATAGGTACTGAACATCGGTTTTCCTGGTTCTTTTAATGACAACATTTGCATAGTTTCTTCTAAATAAACCATGACCACTAAACATTAGAGCCATATACGGCGTCACATTTAACCTTGGTATCTTGTCACCGACCACCCATTAAAACCAATGTTAAAAACTACACATTAGCATTATTGCATTTTGAAATTGTATCATGTCTTTCGGCATATATTAATTCTATCGGTTTGAAGGAAATAATAATACTCTGAGTCTGAATGTAATACAGAAACCTAATACCATGATCGTCAAAAACTGCTACATATTATTGGGCTTCAACACTATATGGAGGTAACACGTATTAGATACAACGTATTATTAGGTAACATAACTCCCACTACATGTACCTAATACTAGCTATAAATATTGACTTTACATCAGTTGCGATGTACTGTCAGGAAAGTCTGGAATATTATTTTTCTGATGACATGCAAGTGAGCATACAAATACTTCATTTTTAAACTTTGAGTAGGCTCATCATCTTTCACTTCCAAACAAACTAATAAATCAACATCGCATGAAATTAGACTCCATAGTTGCATTTAAACCTGTACGCAATTATATTTCAGGCTACAAAACTATCTATAAATTTCCCGGCTGAATTTCAATTCAAATATGCGAAGCCACTGACCCCGCAGTACAGTTTACAATGTCTGAACCGTACATATCCGTAACAATACTTTTATTTGGTATTGTTGAACTCATCGACTACCATGGTAATGGGCTTATGACAGTCGTTACATGAGATTGTCTGATTTTCAAAATACTCGATACCTATGGTAATTTCAAAGACTGCGCCTTATTCTCGGAGTGCTCTGCAACAGCGGAGTAGTAGACATAAGTATACACAATATATTAATGAGTATATGTTAAAAAAATACCATTATGAATCTACAGGTTTATTTAATAAAAATACTACATTTACTACGTGAAAAACTATTATTACGTCCGGACGTAATAGGGCCCAAAAATAAGAGAGGATATTTGTCCATTTTGTATATGCATTTGTACGCGAAATTTGCGTGTAGTTTTTTAATATATATATTGTTATAAACTTCACTCAAAATTTTGTGTTTGTTTTTACCAATTTACCAATGGATTTACACACAAATACCTTACAAAAATACTGTCACCTGCTCTGTTAGTAGTCAAATACATTCAGCAATTCTATTATATGTGCACAAACAATATGCATTGTATAAAAAAATAAGAATTATCCAATTTAGCAAAGTATATTTTGTGACGTATAGACAGAGAGACATACTTTCACATTTATTATATTATATATATTGAATCTGTCACATAACTGTACTCCTTATCACAACGGTTTATTGAATTGAAAAAGTAAACCATGCGATAGGTAACAACAAGATATAAACACCTAAATGAATACATACCCATCAATATCTATGTAATAGTTACCTTGGTACTTATACATAAAATGTATAATAGTAATGATTAAATATCCTTTTCAAGTCATAAATATGGAATGAATCACCCGCCTGCGGTCACAGCGATTATTGGCGGGTTCCCATTGAAAAATGATGGGATAAAGATCATCAAGAATCAGATCGTTTAGCCCATCATGTCGAATATATAAAAAATCAGTCACAATGGTTTCCAAGTCTCCATTACTAACCACCTTCTTATCCGTTTGATACTCATTAACTTTTCAGTTTTAAATTCAAGCCTATTATATAATTTTTAGGTTTCCCAAATAGAAGTAAATAGAGGATATATGTATAAGATGCGAATCGCGACCTTGTACACGTGGCCTCGAGCCAGCCGAGCATGAGAGTAATTTGAGACGTCACCACAATCATTTCACCGATAATTTGCCATACCTCACACGCTTCCGTCTAACATTGCGACGGCATGCATAATTGTAAGAACAATTTACTAACTTGCGGGGAGTAATTCAATGTCTTTAAGATCACTGTTATTATTGTGTGCCTTGTAATAATTCACGATGCACCAAAAAAATAGCTTTGAACAATATGACATTCTCACGGTATAGCGTAAAAACGTACGCGTTACAGTGTCACGCGCGGTTCTTAGTACAGCATCATTTTCGACCGACTTGAAAAGGAAGAGCTTTTCGATTTGACTGTATTATAAATTGTACGTGACAGAAATAATTTATAATAAAAGTAGCCAAATGTCTGCGGAATAATTTTTTATTTACTACTTCTTTATTATTAATTTTTCTAAAAAAAATTGTTTAACGAAATAATTAATTTTTAAAATAATATGATTATACGTTTTCTACCATAATAGGCCATTGGTACTTATATTATTTATAATTATGTGTATACCCAATACGTGTGATTACGTAGTAACGTGTAAACAGATAACCACAAACTGAAAAATAAGACACAACTGAGCTGGACTAGTAGTCCCATTACCTACACGTATTTTATTATTTTTTTGGAAATGACAAATAATTTATTTTCTATAATTACAAATAGATATGTGAAGACACCAATAGGTGAAAATATTGTATCAGAATTTTTAAGCGTTTATATAAGACATCTATACAGATAGTCTTTTTGCACATGGATATATATTAAACACACATAGCATTTCTGTAATGTTATATCATAAAAACGTAAGAATGAAATGTACAAAACGTACTTCCACCTGTATTTTAAAAGTATGTAATTATGTGTTCTTACGATCTTGCTTTAAAAAGAAAATCTATTCTAATAAAAATTTACGTACATACAGATGTAGAATTTGGTATATAGTTTCGTATGATGTGTTTGGGACGAAAGGAGAGTAAAGAACAATAAAAAGTACAGAATAAGAGGCATGTTAACGTGATATCAGTAGTGTCACTTTGGCGATGGTTGGTATGCGGTAACCAACAGGTAGGTCGTCAGCTTATTTGATATTCCAATTACATAAAAAAATATTTATTTATTGACAAATTAAGTAAAGTCAAAGTCAAAAAAGTCAAGTAAAAAAAGTAGTCTTATATATTATATATGAAATTAAGTTTTTAATAAGTTGATTGCGAATAAAAACTTTACGAATAGGTAGTACCAGCAAAGAGTTCAATGGGAAATATCAATTGCACGCGTGTGTAACCTAGGTGCATATTTCCGTCGATTGTAGCATAGTGTGAGATCACATAGACCCCCAGAGAACAAATCCGTTGTCGGACAATAAGTGCGGCCTGCGCACTGCGTCACTGCGCCTCGGCAGAAGGACGGGTTGCCTACAAACGGACTCATTACCTCTCCAGTGACCATTGTCAATTATAAGACAAAAACTCCCACGGTTTATAAAGGTTTGAGCGTACGTGTGCACACGCAGAGCGCATCTTCGCTCACAACACACAACCTGTGTTTGTGCTATTGTTTGTGGCTGTATAATATATTTTTATAAAGTAAGTACATTAGCTAATACCATAATATATTAATTTACCGAACATGATATAAAAAGTATATATATTTAATTAATTAAGTAATAAAATAATGACTCCAGGAGTAATTTGTATTTTATAAACAAGGAAACAAAAAGAATCATCGTAATCCGTTCAATATATTATGAAGATATCGCGTAACATACAAGCTAAACAAATTAATATTTTTCAAAGAAGCATGGATTGAAAAAAATAAACAATCACAATTCAATTCAAACGTATTAATTACAGAATAGTAAATATTATGTAGTATTGATTTTAATGGTATTTTAGTAACTATTAAAAGTTATCATTAATTTCATGGTATATCTCGTATGAGACCTGGCGTGAAAATGAATAGCCATAATATATAAAAGATATAATATATGATAGAAATAAAAGAATTTAATAAATATACGGTAATAATGAAATAATAACCTTCAAAACAAACCCAAAATTTTAACTGCAACATATGGTATGTTGCAGTTAAAATTTTGGGTATTTTGGGTACTACTGGTACTACTGGTATTCAGTACAATATTTAATATCGTACCCAAAACGGTTAAGCCGTTTCTGAATTTAGCGCGAATGAATGCACAAACAAAACAAATAAAAGTCTAATAATAGTTTTGGATTTTATTATGATGATAAATTTCCTCATTAATATTTATTCTCATATAACTCTTATGTATATACAGCGATCACTTACATTTTTATTACATATATATGAGTTCTCAATTCGTGTATATAATCTATACATTAACCCAATTCGACATCGAGTGTTGATTACTGCTGACGATCCTTTTTTGCAATCGTTTATTTCAAACCTGTATAAATATCCAGAAATTCAATATTGTGTTTTCGACAGCACTGGAATTACCTTTAAATGAATTCAAAACATCAGTTCAAATCATATTTATTAAGCGACCCACTAAACGATTACTTGAATGACAAACGTACATGGCAATAGTAGTCCTTGCACGGGCTTTTCAGTTCATGTTAGACATAAGAACAAAATGTAAATACTCATTTCCTTTAAAAAAAATCAGTTGATCTTCTTGCCAGTTCTTCTCAATTGAATCTGTATAGGTCTGTATATCTACTGAACTGGAAAAAATATATTACGAAAATATTTATGTTCGTAAGCGGCTAAAATGTCCTACAACAAAATATTTTTTTATTAGATTTGATTTGATTGTAAAACTGAAAAACTTACATATAGGCTGTCGACAGTGTCCACTAAAAGACGGAATATTCGTGAATTAGTTCATGAACCAAAAGTCGCTTCCTAAAAACTAAAACAACGAACTCCTTTTAAGTTATCGGATAAAAGTATGTGTCGAACTATTTATATAACTAAAATAGACTTTAGAATCTATGACTGGTACCTAATAATTGAGATGACTTATTTAATCTTACCTTGGCCAAACTTTGAAATAGAACGCCAATATTCACACAACAGTGCACCCATTCCGTGTTAAGTAAATATAATTAACATTAGTGTTTGAAGGTAACTTAACTCTAGTTAAAGACTGTAAGTATATATGTAGTAATCCTATTTCGGACAATAGTAGTCAGTTTGTTAGTTTCTTCTCACGCTAATGGGTTGACCTACAGTTGCTACTATGGGTGTGTTCAAGAATTTATTATCGTAGTTCAAGATCTGTACTTAGTGTAGACATAGTGATTCTAGCAGAAAATTCGGGGGATTGATGGAGGGCCTAATAATTAATGGTGCCCCCATTAATAGAAGTGTTACATATTAAGTTGACCTTTTACGTGGTCCACTCTAATAACCATCGTGATTAATTCCTGATGAAATCAGCACATTGGCCTGATAGACCCCAAACCAGGGCCTAATTTCGTCATTCATTTCCTCCCGGTTGAAGACTTCTAAAATGATTAAAGTTTCCTAGAGTTCTGGTCCTCAACCCACCCTTGGAATTGGTTGACAGAGTGGACATTTGGTTGTTGCTGTTCATTCTCGTCTTATAAACACAGTTCCGTTAAACTGAAACATTCAATTTAACTGAACATTAATACAATATTCTCTCTCATCTGTATCGGTACCTGGCTACCTATTTCAGCCACCAAGCAACTTACTTTGTAAGTTGGGTTTCGGTTGAAGAGTTGAGATAAGGCAATGAAATCACAGGATAGGAGCCATGGCACCTTGGTCCTCCGAAATGTCAACGTATGAATGCTATCGCGGGTGTCACATGCTAACGTGATGTCTGTATATATACAGGTGAGCCGTCAACTTGTAGACCATATGCATTTCATGTATGTTTTCCATTTACAGATGGCGATGCGTGCATTATTCTTCCTGTTGATGATCCTAGGATACAAGTGTAGTGTTTCACTGAGTGAAGCTGTAAAAACAGCAGTAGCTTCAGAAGAATTAAACAAAGATGATCTGAAAACTGACGCCAGCACATGTACATATATTCTTTTATTTCTTATTATTTAAATTTAATTCAATTTAAATTAATCATCCCCTGGCTTTATGTACAAGTAACTTACCCGTACATCTTCGTCTGAATCACTCTTACTTGTAATTTATCATTATATTTCGGCAGATTCACATATTTTTTTATAATATAGCCTGTGTTATTCGGATGCAGAAGCTATAATATTACTTGTAAGTTTTCATTAAAATCCGTAATTTTTGCATGAAACTATAATATACATCCACCTATGCATCCATATTCACAAACTTTCCCGTTCATAATATTAGTAAGATGTATTTATTTTTATGTTCATAGAACAAATAAAATACTTTTTAAATGACTGATTACTATTACTATGCTTTAAAAAAAAATGTCGATCAGTGGAATTATTATAACACCCGACAAAAAAGGTATGTTACTTATAAGTTTGAAGTGTCTGTTTTTACATTTGATGTATGATTTACAATTGGTATATTTCAGACGACCGTCGATATTCTGACTGGGGTGGATATCCCAGTGCCAGTGGCTACAGCGGTTACGGCGTAACCGGACATGGTATTATTGATAGTAGGTATAATTCCTATTACGGCGGTGGCTACGACAATACATATGGATATAATGGCTACAGTGGTGGATATAACGGTTACGCCGGTAATTCAGGTTATGGCGGTTACAATGACTATAACTATAATGGATATAAAGGTTATGGAGGGTACGGATTAAGCGGTTACGGGGGCAATGGTGGCTACGGAGGCTACAGCGGCAATGGCGGTTTAATCTCTTATTATGGCTACAACAGTCCATATAATCAAGGCGCATATCATTTGGGATACGGATATTACAACAAAAAGCCCGGGAATATCTACAACAGCGGCATCACCCCTAACTTGGTTACAGGATATAGAGGCTATTCTAGGAGATAAATGCTAGTGTAAACGAAAATACACAAGTTACTATACGTAGTCCTGCACTGCATACCAGTACCTAGTGCTCCGATTCTTCTAAAATTGCACTATAATAATGACTACTTGTAAAAAAAACATAACATACTAGTAGCGTTTAACGCTACAGAATAATAAATTTGATACATTATCATTTCTGATTACTGTAAACGCAGTTACAGCACGACAGTTACGGCAGCTATTATGCAAAACTCAATTACAATCAATGAAATTATTATTGTATTAAAACTGTCTACATATTATTAACTACTGTTATCAACATATTAGAAACTAAATTGAACTTTATATATATACCATATTTAAAAAATCCTCATCACTAAATTTTATATAGGATCAATCAATGTACGAAATTCTTTAACATTTTAATTAAGTAGTAAAGATGCCTAAAATATTGTTAATATTATATAAACATAAGATAACCAAAGTAATTCCAAAGTTAGGAATAAAATAATTTATAAGTGCTTCATCTTTAATTAGATATATTTTTATTTTGTGTAGCTTAAAACCTGTAACATATTTGTAAAATTGTTCCAAATAAAAACCATATTGCATATTTTTAAAACTTTATTACTAACAATGTGACATTACACAAACTTAAGTCAAAGTACATTCTATTACATTTCTGAAATAATTTTAGAAATATTCCTTCTATAAAATGAAAATATTTACCCCTAACTGACTAATTGTAAATTTTCACAATCAGTTGGGATAAATTAGTGCCAGGGCTAATCTGAACCAGATGCACTGGTTTGCTTTTTCATTGACTTTAGTGCTCTTTCACGAAGCTTCTTCTCCAAGTCTTCGTTATTTACTCTGCCCTCTTCCTCTTCCTCAGCTTCTTCACTATCGGAAGAATCATCTTTCTTTTTCGAAGATTTCTTATGTTTTTTGTGTTTCTTATGTTTCTTTGAATGCTTCTTGTGTTTCTTATTTTTCTTTGACTTTTTAGGTTCATCACTGTCTGAATCCGACTCGGTTTCAGAAACCTTCTTTTTTGCTTTTTTCTTAGCCACTTGGTCACTATCAGATGATGATTCATCTTTTTCACGCTTTTTTGCTTTTTTTTCTGTTTCATCACGAGACTTTGTTTTCGTCTCTTCCTGGTGTTTGCCTTTTACTACTTTTTCATCTACTTTTCTTGACTTTACCAAATCGGGAGAATTTACCTTTTCTTTAGATGACTCCACCTTTTTACGCTTTGTATCTTTTTCAGAACTAGAAGTTTCTCGTTTTGTTAACTTCTTCTTACCGGACTTCTCATCACTGTCAGAACTATCATCTTGAGAATCCTCCGAATTATCAATTTTCTTTGACTTGGCTTGTTTTGCATCAAGTTTTTCCGATCTTGAACGCTCGATACTAATATCTTTACCACGTTTCTTCGACTTTTTCTCACTATCCGATTCTTCTGGAATGTTCTTTTGTTTAGATTTAGAACTCTTATGTTTAATTTCCTCCTCTGAACTTGATTCTGAGCTAGATGATCGTGCTCTCTTCTTCTTAGATTTTTTTGCCAACTTTTTCTTGGCATTCTTTTTGCTTTTCTTCTTTCTATCTTCTTCTGAATCACTAGAAGAGGAGTCATCCGATTCACTGTCACTAGATGAGCTCTCTTTCTTAGGTTTTTTAGGTCTCTTTGAGGAAACTTTCTCTTTACGTTTAAGTTTTGATTTACTCTTTGACTTCGAGACTTCCTCACTACTTTCACTTTCGGAATCGGATTGATGCGTTTTACGTTTCCCTTTCTTAATTTCTTTACTCTTATTTTCCGTTTCAATTTGCTCTTTTCCAGAAGCATCATCTCCAGATTTGTCAGATTTCTTATTATTCTCTATCTCATGCTTTCTTAAGAATGGCGATGGAGTACGGGAAAGGCTCTTTGAATACTCCCGTAACGTCGGTATAGATATAAAGTCGTCCTTTTCATCATCATCCGATGACTGAGCTTTAGCTTGCGTTTCATTTTGAGCCGTCGATTTGTCGTGAGCTACTGATGACTCTCTGCTTGAACTTGAAATTACACGTTCCTTAGATATTTCTTCTCGAGATACAGATACACGTTCTGATGATTTCTTGCGGATTTTGTCCACGTTATCTTAAAAAAATATATAAATATAAGTGATAGGTGTATCTAATGTCGCATTAATACATTTCGTACCGACACCGCTAAAATAATGTTCGTAACATATTTATTGAAATCCACAATTGAATGAAATAATGTAAGAAAGTACTATTATTATTATTTACATTATAAAAACAATCTAATTCTTTCTGTAGAAAATTAAACACATTGCCACCCATGTATGATCTGATATTGTTTCAAATACATACATATAAGTATAAAAGCCCAACATAAAAACTAATAAAAAACGCATAAGATGATGTATCATTAACTTTCAGAGATTTTGTTAATTCTATAACATATTGTGTAGTATATTTATTATAATTGCCAACAAAAAGAATTACTAACCTTTTCTCGGAATTGAGACAGACTTCTCCAAGCGTTCTTTAATGAGATCGCTGGATCTTTTGTCGCGTGACCTTCTATCTCTTGATCTTCTATCCTTGGTACTACGCTCTTTAGATTTTTTGTCCCTGTTCAGAAAAATGAAATAAATATATTTATTTTCAGTACGTTCGGATATTCTTTTAAACATATATTGAATTATATCCAATCTTGTGAAACAGAAAATTTTAATTATATCGAATGTATAGATTTACGATTTCTACAAGCATTTATCTCTAACCTGGATCTATCCCTGGAACGTCTGTCTCGAGAACGTCGATCTCTAGAACGACGGTCGCGAGATCGCCTTCCAGAGCGACGTCTCGAACGAGAGCGCCTGCGAGATCTTGACCGACGACGATCGCGAGACCTGACGAAACATAGTCGTTGGTATTAATAGATAATTCGCATTAACTGTATTGTCTAATATATAGTACAGTTAGTTCAACATATTTGATATTATTGAATCTAAGTTTAATTTATTTAATATATGTTATTATAATTACCTATTTATAATAACTAATTTTAAGTCATGATATGGACAAATATACCAAGCTTAAGACCCTGGTAAAGGCCTGACTAGCAGGATAAGCCGGCATCATAACATCCTAAACATTATTTCCCGTAAAATTAAATATTAATGGGAAAAACATCTAAGTAAGGCATTTCTATGTAAATATTTACTTTCAGACCAGACTTTTTTATTGTATTTCAGACAAGGCAATAAATTCAATATCATGCAAGTGATGTTAAGTTGATACTATTTATGAACTTATGTATGCGTGGTATGCCTGCAAGACTGAAAACATATCACGCAGCCTCAAGTTCATTTCAAATCATATAATCGCAGTATCTAATTATCAATTATTATACTATAAACGCATCCCGCTTACATTTATCAGTGATAGTAGAAACAAGGTTACATATTTCAAAATCACTATTCATTACTTTTCCGTCCACGTTGAAATTTTCAACTGTTATCAATTGTTCATTATTAAAACATTCTTATTATAAACAAATAATATATGTGGTAATATTTTAAGTGACTGCTTATTACAACAACTATTTTGACAGAATAGTAAAAAAGAGTAGGGAAAAATAGAGAATGTTTTGTTATACACACAGCAATACACAGCCAAAAATTTCATGCAAGCGCAACATAAATATGTAAATTTACCTGTCCTTTGAACGTCGTCGAGAGCGTGAACGCGATCGTCTACGTCTTTCAAGCGATCGGCGACGTTCTCGTGACCTTTAATAGTAAATTTTGTTACTAAATATCTTTAACGATAAAAAGAAATTATAAAAAAGAAGTAAACTCAATAACAGATGACCGTAAAAAAGTGTATATAAATAAATATACATTAAGAATTCAGCATTTAATTGAAATAGTTATTATATTTGACACAACTGATGAAAACAATTATTGTTTTCATTAATACTTTAAATTTATTCAGAATATTCCGTACTTTAATACTGTCACTTTTCATGGCAAAGACACATTTATATCTGAAATTACGAACTAGAATGAATTATTTTTAATATCTATATATTTGTTAAGGTATATCAATGAAGAGTTAACTGACCGCTCTCTTCTTTCCCTCTCTCGACGCCGGCGCTCTCGCTCCCGCTCGCGCTCGCGTTCTCGTTCCCGCTCCCTCTCTCGATCACGGCGGTCTACCGATCTACGACGACTGCTGCGTCTTCGTGACTTGCTCCTTTTAAGGCGATGTGTGAATTGTCGTGAGTTATTATTACTATTATGGTTATCGACAATTGGAAGTTACAAGAGCATTGTTTTACTATAATAAATAATTGATTGTTTGGATCTGAATATACAATCTCTGAAGAGTCACATATATGGTATTCTCAAAATACACAGGTAATGTAGAAACTAATATAAATGTCAACCTTTACAATAAGAAGTCAATTTAATATGAAGATCACCAATAAAAAAGCTAACTACGAATAACATAATGTCGACACTAAGGTCGCAACCTGACGCTGAGCACTGAAATGTGACTGATATCTCAGTGCCTGACAAAAAAAAATTAATTTTATCAACATATTAAAATAATTATTAGTACCTTTCTCTGCGAGAACTGCGTCTCGGGCTAACACTGGTAGAGGAGTCACGGTTGGAGCGATATTGACGTTTTTTGTGTGATGATCTCTTCTTTGCACTTCCGCCTTAACAGAAACACAATATTAAAAATACAGGCCTGGTTTTCGTTAATATATTATTATAATTTTGCTATTACTAAATTAAAAACTTACGCGACGAAGCCGATGAGGAACGTCTTTCACTTGACGAATGACGGGTTTTCTCTGCAGGTTTGTTCTCCTCAACTTCCTTCTCAGCGGTGGACCTACGACGTGAAATAATGATTCTGCCATGAGTGTGTATCAAATACTTTTCTAATATTACTTTTATTTTTTTATGCAATGTACTCATAAAATCTGTCGGCTTGTTACTACGAGCTGTCCATCTAAATTTAAAGGTGGTGTTACCATTTACCATTAATAGTAAATGGTAACACCACCTTTGCACTATATTATAGCACAGCTTAGATATCATATTACAGGTCTGGGTACCACAGACCTGTATCCATCATGTGCTGAATCCAGTAGCATGTTATTGATGCCTCTATGCAGCTAGATATATAAATACTATGAATAGTCCCCTTGTAGACAAACAAAAGTTACAATACATACTAATAATATTTATTAATTATTCTTACTTTGCTGGCGATGCAGATCTGGATTTATGACCATCTCCCTCTGCATTATCTTCTTTCACAGTGGTATCATTATTTTCTTCTTTTACATCCTGAGAATTAGCTGTGTGGTTTAGTTCTTCCTTAATTTCTTCATCTTCTTTCTTCTCTGGTGATTTGCCATTTTCTATAAGTAATGCTGATATATCATTATAAATTTTCACTAGACCCGCATACTGGAGTAATTTGTAAATTTTTATGTAAAAAAAGAAAAAAAATACTACTAAAAGAAAACTACTTTTTTAAATTTCTATATGCATTTTTATTTACAAAAATGAATCTTTTTTAATTTCTAAAAAAGTAGTCACAGAAAATTTTAACATTCCTGATAGAAATTAATATAACAGGTAACATTCATAATATCAATAAGATTTTATTACCCTTATATTAAATGTTCAAAATAATAAGACTTCAAATATGAAGTTGAAATATTTTAAAAATAATATCATATATCGTTTAAAAGTTAAAGATCTAAAATATAGAGTGTGTAGAAACAGGAATATGTTTAAGATATGAATAGTAATAAGATAATATACTGCTGTATTTATAGACACAAGGTTACCTTTGGGTTCAGGTAGCTTAATTTCCTCAACAAGGGACGGCTTTACCGGGCTGCTCTTTTCCCGGCTGCGTCGTCTGGAACGCCGAGGACTTCCTCCGTTGCGGTGTCTTAATAAATAAATATATTATATAGAAACACGGTAATCCAAAGATTAAAAAAAAAAATAAAGTAAATTCTACTATAAGATACATTTTATAAGAATAGTAACGTTGGTGTAGATTGCAGACAATGAGAATGAATTATTTATCATAACATTGACCTCAATTCTATCTCAATCTATTTTTGATCATTTTAATAATCTACAACTCTCTAATCCCAATACAAATATTGTTTGTTCAAGATAATACTAGCATATTTGATAGTGTAGATTTATCCACAGATTTTTTTAAAGGTTTCTATAGGTATAGAAATTTATAATAGATTTAGGCTAAAAATGCAAAATCTATAATGCAGAATATTTCCATAACATAAGTGTTTGCAAAACATGAATACTGACTTCCTGTCAGAAGATCGATCACGAGATCTGGAGCGCGATGAGCGACGACGTTCCCGTGACCGGCGACGAGACCGCGAGCGTGATCGCGACCTACGACGATCTTTATCTTTGTCCTTTTGTTCTTCCTGTACATTAATAATTCCAATCAATACCATAATAGTTTTCAATATAAAACTCAATAATTAGTGAAATATCATTACATACCATTCTCTTCTTGATTTCTTCTTTCTTCTGCTGTGTGAAGGATTCTGGTATCCCAGTCTCGCTCGCTTGAGCACTCAGCAACAGCTCCCACAATTCACCCATGAAGAGACGAGCATTTTTCCCATTCAGGAATCCAGTCAGGTTGATCTGCATTTTCTTAGGGCAAGGGAACTGATACGGGAACCAAGGGTACGGGATCGGGAAAGAAAATATCATCATATTATTATCAGTGTTACTCTAATGAAACCACACCCTATATGTACATTCCCATATTGCTCAGATATTTCATTATCTTTGTTATTTATATTTTACTTTCATAATTCTCTTTTACAAAGAAGTAATGGAAGAAAAAATAAAATTTAAAAGCCGTTAAGAGCGCTCTGTGTTTAAATACAATTTGAAAATCGTACAGCACTGAAATGACTCTGGTAGGGAAGCAGATATTTTATACATCATAGAACATGACATGATGGATTATTTTCGTGCAGTGGAGTCAGCTGGTGGAGACGACACCGCGATGGCCGCGACACGAGGCTGCGACGCCGACGGCCGGTCGACGCTCAGCAAACGGTGCGACCTCCTATCACGAGACTGCTGACGTTTCTTTGTTCTTTCTTCATACTCTTGCATCTGTAAGGGTTTTGCGAACACAACCATTATGCTGAACGCAAAGCCTACGCACGGAACTTCCCTACCTCGAGTCAAATCGATCTCTTAACGGCTTTCACAAAATTCATTTTATACATTTAGTGTTTTCAAACTAGGGAACTCCACTGCTGATATTCACTTATAATGAGTTAGCATTGTAAGTATTTAATTTCCCCGTAAATACCGATTTAGTATGCTAAGGGCCTCCGAAAGAGTGGAGCACGCGGGCGGCGACGGCTAGCTGGCAGCGGCGGGCGAGGGGCAGCAACGGCGCGCTAACCGATGAAGACCATAAAAATATCCATACGCAATCAATATACATATGACACCATCCTTCAATTGCAGTTTCTTTAGCACAATAAACATTTTTGGTTGTCAATAAAGTAAATTATATATCAAATTACTGTAAAGAAACTGCAATGATTACATTAATATGTATAACAGAAGAAAGATATGTTATAACCACCTTTTCCTCAAGTTGATTGTTAACGTAGTCAATGACAACATCATCTTCCATCTTCAGTATTTCAGTAATCTTCTGTGTAATCCATGGCTTCAGAACATCCAGCTTCACCTTAGACATGTCCACCTAAATAAAAGTTATTATTACTATAATAGAAATCTGTGGATATAACACAAAACATGGAACCAAGACAAGAAAATTTAAAATTATAGTTGCAATAGACAAGTCTTGAGTGTGTGAATTAAAATATGAAATATCCTATATTATTCTAGATGTGTATAGGATCCATCATTCTATAAATGAAATGGTGAAAGTTTGATACTTGAGCTATTTAAAGCAGGATTCAAGGATATATATCAGCAGATTGATTTTTATCTTGATAAATATCAATTGATTTATTCTTGTCATCTGAACTAAAAATTTTGGAGTTTAATGTTTACCCTGGCAACACATAGTGAAAAACTACAATTCAGAATAATTGTGATTACCAAAATGGCAACCTCATTTAAAGTTGGGGAAATACCCTTTAACTTACCAGGCTGGCTGGTTTTTTATTGAAATTCATACCTTAACTTCTAATTATATAAGGTTTATTTTACGAAGATGATGATGTCTGACTCATAGATCTATGCTAAAGGCCTGAAGCTGAATGATTACAAATTATTATTAAAAATTGTTGATTTATCTCACAAATAAATGACGATTATTATTATAATAATAGTTACTTGTTTTATTTAATTGTTCCTTAAAAATATATTACTCAAATATACACTAAGCAATTCTTTTGTTACTTATTAAAAGTTTTTTTAAATATTAAATGTAGTAATAATTTGATACTTATTTTATTTTACAAATTCCTTTCACTTTTTTAACCGTGTAATCCCCTTACATTCTCCCTGAAATTCTCTTCTTTCTCTTAACCAAGATATATATCGGATATATATAAAATAAATCGGATTTATTATATTTATTATAACAATCAGATTTTTTCAAACCCTGATCTAAAGCATTTGTATTCAATCAATTTGTGGCATTGGCAGTGAAGTAATTTTTCTTTTTCTCAGATTGTTTTCAATTCATTAATTATACCCTTATTTTATTAGACATTATACCTGTTGAGTTAAACAGTCTCCAAACTTCATTTGCTTCATTAGTTTCTTCTCCTTGTCGCTGAAGCGTGTATCTTGCTCAGTACTAGTTCCCTAAGAACATGATGAATTTATTAAACATACTTGTTAAAAAACATTTCCCATTCTTTTTCTCGCGAAATGTCTTAAGATTATTAATGAGGTGGAGAGAGAGAAGTTTAGAAATCAACAAACTCAAGGAAGTACGCCATGGTTGGGTGTACTTCCTATAGGGTATCCAATCAATAACAAAAGGCTTATGTTTACTCTTATGAGGCAAGACAAATCAATGGATAGGCTTTTGAATAGGTTATTGTAAATTCAAAGGTTAGATATAGTAATAAACTCAAATCAAAGGAACTGCACTTCCGGAAGAAAAAACCTAATAATATTAGGAAGCAAAATATTGTGAACAATCTTGACAATCATTCTCAACTGAGAGTAACAGCTAAACCGTGTATTGTACATAGTTGTTAGCATAATTATCTCTGTCTATTTCTGCTGCCAAACAGCTTTCTTTGTATGCTCACTATGGCTTTAAACAATGCAAGGAATGGTAGTGAAATTACAGGGTATGAAGGTAAGACACCATGTTTCTTAGGAATGAGAAATGGGCGTCATGTGCAAGTATGATACCTTACCACTTTCCATCATGTGGGCCGTCATTTTATTAGCCATATAAAATTTAAAAAGTGATAGAATATAAATTATGAAATAATCTAAAAACACCAATGTGCATTGGCATTTTAATTTGGACGGCATACACATTCTTTCTTTAATTATGTCTATATAAAATAATTAACCTAAAAAGTAAATTGAAAGCACCTGAAACACGAATCACTAAAAGCGTGGTACTTAAGAATTATTTATTTCAATATTTTGTGGATTGTAACTTAATAAAACGAAAAATATTACATTACTAACTTACCGTGTACATCATCATTTTGAAGAATTATAAATCAATACATTCACGTTTAGCCGATCAATAGTCCCAGCCGTCACCTTCAGGAAACTCAGTCCTGCGAATAGGTGAGGCAAAGATATTTACTGCACTTCAATTTAAGACAGCATCTGTTATAATAACGCGTAGTAACAAAACACGCGATAGTGTTTTGAGATAGTTTTCACAAAAATATGTAATGAACACGGCCAAAACGGATAGAAGCCATATTGATTGAATGATAGAACGATTGAATGAATATTGAACGGAGTCGGACGGAAACAAATAAGTATTTTATTGAATGATGGAATGAATGAAACATTTAGAGCATATTGATATATTTACTTTACTCTTTGGCATAGATGCACTATTTTATAATTTCGAATGATATATTGAAACAGTTTCCACAATAATTATGATGTATAAAATCACTATTGAGCTAACCTAAAAGTCATAGAAAATAAAATAGCTAAGTTATTATAAAGCCCCACGTACAGAATCTATCGATGGTGTTAATTGTCAAAGTCGATATGATAGTGATAGAAAATTTTAGTTAATTCTCTAAAATTTTAAGATCACTATCATATCGACTTGAAATTAACTATTTATTAATATGCTGTTTTCTCATTATCTCATTATCATTGTACACAAATACACAAACGGAATAAATTAACAAATTTTAAGTATTTTCTTATTACTAAATACGGCAGTATAAAACATTATAATCGTAAATGATACATAGCAAAGTAGTGATTACTGATGTAATAGTAACTGATACACTTCGATACAATTTTCTAAGTGAAGCCACTATTTACCTTCGATACTACTTTGCTCTTTGAAACTCCTCTTAATCTCATGAAAAACTACCTCATTCTCAATTAATTATAATTGGTATATTTGGTATTCGTCATAAAATACAGTTTGTAATGAACTAATCATTCCTGAGGTTTGCGTGTTCAACCAAGTAAACAAAAATTTTTTTATTCGAACTATTCTAATGGTATTGGAAGTTGAAGTTGCAGTTGATTGTTACAGTTACGTTATTAGATAAGTGAAAATATCCCTCCAAACCAAAGTACCTGTGGAGCGGCTAACTCCTGCCTGGCAACATACGACATTAGTCTAAGGATCATGACATACGTCTTTAGGAGGAGGAGATTAGAACCTCACTCATGCCAGCGTAATTTCAATCCTTGTTTAAATTGGACAAGGAATCGATATTTGATATTCACGAGCCATAACCGAAGTAAAATGAAGAATCGAAAAATAAAGACATATGGCTTTATAATCCATTTGCCTATCCTACAGGATAAACAAAACCAAAAACAGTATTGTTAGTCTATAGTCGTATTTTTAATTAGACGAAGTCAACTGACGTTTACTGTGTTGTCAGTATTTGATGAAATAAAAATAGTGTTGTGACAAAGTGAATCATTGAAAAAACTCCTGAATTAATGGAATTGCCTCGATTGTCTAGTGAATAGTTAGTGTGCCGAACTGCCGATATCGGGTACGGGGTTTGAATTTTAGCCGTGCTTTATACATACCAACGAGTTTACGACGATTATGTTCCTATTGTATCTACCTATACTGAATACCGAGTATTTTAAACGTAAAGAAAAAATTGCGTGGAAACTTTTAAGACTGTCCTATTTACAATTCATCATGTAATTGAAACTATAGATGTATAAAATATAACAATATATAACATAATATAGTTAGGTAATAAAAATAAAAAACTGCGCTTATTACAAAATTTGTTTTTATTCATCATCAGATAAAAAAATCATTGTTGCTTTCAGTGACATTAATTATAAATCTGTCTAAAAATTGATAATAATTTATCTTTGAAACAGTGTTTCGATCCACGTTTCTCCGGAGACTTAAATTGTTCACTTTGTATTATTTTAATACATTGTAGACTGAGGTCACACCAATTCCCAAAATGTCAGCTGTTTTCGAAATACATTTGTTTTTTTGGGAGCCTCAATAGGTAATAGTGAAGCAGCTTTCTCAAATACGTATTTGTAGACGTTTTGTATCATAAGTTTTTCGGTAACGTCTTTCTTGGAGACAAGCTTTGGCTTGACGTGCTTGGTTGAGCATCCATATTGTCTGTATGAAACAATATAGTAAATATACAATATACCCAACAATTACCACAAACACAACATGAGGAAAAACTTAACAAAACAGCGTGTGCTCTCAGACCAGAGGTTAGAAGCCGAATTACGAACAAAATGGCGACAGACGCTCGCGACGTTGATTTGTGTTGGCACTAGTAGCCGCGCGCTTTGTAATAAGCCGTCAAAAAACTGATTGTAGTTACTAGTAACTTATATCAGATCACTTTTATACAATTTTCTTTTGTAGTTTTGAAATGATTAACTATTCTCACTCATTGTTCATTCATCTAACTGAGAACTGAACGCATCACTATTACTTTAAATATGGCAACATTATTTTACAAAGTGACATTAGCTACTGTCAGCTAGCTTCGTCTAATTAAAAATACGACTATATGTCAGACCACGGATGATTAATGTCAGTCTTTCAGTTTTCATTTTTAACATATATCATGTTTGTTTTCGTTTTAATTATGTTATTTTCTATTTAAACTTGTGTGTTCTAAACTAGTGCAAGCTATTTAATTGCTCGTTGTTAATCAGAAAAGTGAAGTAAATTATAAAGCGTCTCATGTATAGAAAATTTGGTGAACAATAAAAATACTAAATTGAGTAATAAATTGCAAAATGACATATTCCCAGTATCCACAACTTATCCAACAAATAATATTAGGCGTTGGCTTGTACGACAAACAAAATGAAACATTAAATTTATTAAAAAATATATATAAATACGTTATAAATTCCCCAAGAAGATTTGAAAAAATTGCTACTGTTGGACAGCTATTGAAAGTTTTAGAAATCAGAGATGTACTAACGGAAAATAACATAGAACCTTTAAAAGAGATAGCCCAATTTATAAATGACGGAGGTGAAATTCTACGACGCATTAATGTGTATGAGAATACTCATATTAAGAAAGAATACTGTAATCACTATGGTAGGTGAAATTAAATACTTATTAAAACTATTTTTATTTCCGTTTAAGTAACTTGAAGTTTGATAACCTCAAACTTCAAGTTCTAATTAGATTTGAAATAAGATTTAGTAATTCTATGTTAATTAATTTTTTTATTCATTTGTGTACTATGTATAAAATATCATCTCACTATGAACCACATAATTAAATCTTTAACTTGTTTGTTAACAGATTCTGAAACAGTTCTGCCAGAATCAAAACCTAAACATAAAAATGAAGGTTTAGAAAATATACCTATTAATGGTGGCAATCCATACATTCACATGAGCAAACAAAAGAAACAAAGAATTCTTGAAACTGTTATTGAACAAATAGGTATTTTCTGGCGTGACTTAGCCAGAAACTTGAAAATCAGAGAATGTGTTATTGATGAAATTGATAAAGAATGTGATTCACTTTACTCTAAGGCATCAAAGTTATTGGAATTATTTGAAAAAAGAGCAGATCCCCAGAAATGGTTCAGTGATCTATGTAATGGACTAGAACGAGCAAGACGTAGAGATTTGACAAAATCAATACAAGATGTTATGATGATGAATATTTAATGTAGGTACAGTGGACTTGAGGTAATCCGGCCCCCCTTGTAATCCGACATGGTGTATTATTGTTTATTATTGAATATTTTTTAACAATCTTTGCTAATGCATGACTGAACAAGTTTGAACTTGTATGCATTTACCACTGTTGTACTCGATGAATAGGGTATTATTTTGATTAGGATTGCTTATTTTGAATTCGACTATTGACATGTGATGAAGATAGTGGTGCAGTGTTCATTATTTACTGTTTATACATTGTGTATTATAAATCAGCTGAGAAGCGAAAGCACATATCACTGACAATTAAAGAAACATGTGGTATTGTAGATTGCCTAAATCATAACGAATCCTTTACTGTACTTCAGAGTGCATATACATACATACATATATAACATAGAATCCCCACCACTGTACTTAGATATTTTATTGTAAACTTGCTGTACTCATGACTTTGTCGGTGTGGAAATTAACAAAATAAAAGGAACCTAAGTTGCTCCTAATTACATCACCTACTTGCTAATAAAAGTCCCGTCAAAATCAGTCCAGCCATTTCAGAGATTAGCCAGAACAAACAGACAAACACAAAAATAGTAAAAAATGTTATTTTGGTGTATTTACTATATTTATATTCATATGCATGTATAATAGTACAAAACGGTTATATCAATATTACATACAGACACTCCAATTTTATTTATATGTATGGATTGTGTATTGTAATCTTACAAGATTTTATTTAAATTTTGTACATAAAATAAAATAATTAAATATTATTAAACAATTTAATAAAATAACTTAATAAATTGATAGAGGGATTTCAGTTATTTGTTAGTCATTCCCTTTATTAGGGAATTACCAATAAGATACCAATTACTTCCAATGAGTATGAACTTTGGTTTGATTCAATGATATGAGAAAAATGTGAGAAATATTTTTTCATTGTGATCTTCAACTAAAACTGCTCATATTCAAAATTGGTTTTAATCAAGTTTAGAATCTAATCAAGTCTGCCATGCTGGTTTCAATGCATAACATTTTCATATTTTATACATGAACTATTGCATTAACTTTAAAAAAATCAACAGGTATATATTATAACAGCAATTGACAGCCTCGGTGGTCTAGTGGTTTAGTGGTTCAGTGTACCACTTCACTGTACAATAACATGGTATGTATGTAGTATGGTACAAACATTTGTATTCATGAGTATGATTGTTGGTATTGGTCTGGGTATTTTCTATGTAAAATACATATTTATATCATCAGTTTAAGCACTGCTTAGCTTGGGACTAGATGGCGTTGTGTGAATTGTCATGGGATATTATTATAACATTGTCATTATGGCTGAATCGCTGTAGGACTTACAACAGATGCTGAATAGCCTGAGTCATCTCAACACATCTGCCTTTGGATGAATTTGGACAAAACCAAGAGAATGTTCAACTGAGACTGCGAATTGGCAAGTATAGTGTAGGACACCCCACAGCTATATGGAGCGACAATATATATAGGGTTGCTGGTAATAATTGGAAGAGAAGGGCTGAAGATTGTGCCCTTGGTGTGCTTTGGAGAGGTAAATGTCTAGCAGTGGACTGCAGTAGGCTGATGATGATGATGAATAAGTATTAAAAACAAGTTCACTTTATTAATATTTTATTTGATATACTTATATAATTACATTTCTTAGCAATAAAAAATATATAAAATCTTACTCTCCTATACACTTGTAGCATTATGTATGTTCAGCTATCATAAGTTAAAAAACATGACACTTAGTGGATTTGTGTAAACTATAATTTCAATTTGATTTAGAAAAATATGGTTAAGTATTAGTACCTAGTACAGTTTTTTAAATATTTATCACAATTATAATAGATTATCTATATACATATATATATCTATGTATCTCAGTGATTGGATGGATGTTGCCATTTTCTATTGAAAATTCTTATTAATCTAAATGATTAATAAGAATTTTCACTCATAAAATAGAAAACATTTACTAAATATAGTATATATAGAATACCTTATTCCAGAACAAAGATCCCTACTGATCAATGTCGAAGTATATTATTAATGGATATTGCTATTGACTAATAATATTGTTAATGTATTATTATCGTCATCAGCAGAATATGGCTATTCTGCTTCCTCCTTGTATTAATAAAGAAGAAGCAGAATGCATTCATTATATAAATGATATTCGCAAATCATTTGGGAATATAATTAATACAAAATACTTAAATTTATGTATTTAAGGCACTAAAAATATGTACATATAACTACAACAACTGATTTACAGTAAAATATTCCTTAACAGGACATTTTAAATTTATTAATAATTTAAATTCTAACCTGATCTTTTTTTGCCAAACTTGTTTTCATACTGTGGAAATACTGCATTTTATACATTGTTATTCAATATTGGCAATGCAGACATCACTTGATTTCGATACTAACGCCGTTAATTATATTTAGCTGGTATGCTGCGATGCCCATACATATGCGTTCTGGAAGAGTCGAAGCCATGGTGAGGCAAGTGACTGTGGGTTTTGCGGTGTCTTGTGAGTAGACGACGAGAACGGACACTGCCACTGCAGCACGCATCGCTCGGGATGCGGCATCATGGCCACGTGCCGTCCGTCACGAGACACTACGCCCGCTATTCCTTCTGTAAATGTAAACAAACTAATAATAGGCTACTCATAAAACACAATTACATAATTGGGTTCTTTCAGTGCATATATGTGTTATGTTGTAGAACCGAGACTACTAGAGTAGCCAGCCAAACTAGTAGTAAAAGCGCTGAAGCATTTTAGTGTCATCACATGTTTCATAAAGTTATTTATTTTTGCCTTCAAAGCTGGCGCCAGTCATTACTTTAACTACGCACATGACACAAAATAGCTAATTTTAGTAAATGTTCAAAGCTTGTATAAAATTTCACACTGCACTTCCGTGCAATCGCATATTTAAATTCATTCAAAGTTTAAATATTTGTGTAATATCTTTGCGTAAAGAAGTTACTAGAAGGAATGTAGTTTCAAGATTACTTTAATTAAGATATAAAGTTAAAAATCTAAAATATGTTTTAACAGATTTATTTAATTTTTATAAAACTTCAAACCAACATACCAGGACTTCCGTTTGGATTCATCGGATATGCCTCCGTTGGAACTCCATCATCATCAACATACTGCATAGCAATTTGGCCGTTCTTTCTTATTTTATCGAGTAAATAAGATTCGGACGTCGTAAACCGTCCCTCTCCATGAGCTACCCACACTCCTAATACACTACCGCCCATGCCACGGAACCATACATTTGATTTACTTGTATCTTCAGTAATCTTCACGGTACTCCAACGGCATTCAAACCTAGCGATAAAAATAATACCCATCGGCAAAAGAATATAAATGTCTAATAATTAAAGCACTCATCACAATTTTTTTTTCTTTCTGTAGATATTTACTTTTTTAATATGTATTTATTACTTCTGTCTAATCTATTTCATTAATAAGGTAAGGTCAACAGCTGCCTTTTGTGTAGCTGTATTTCTGTTGAAGGATAAGGTTAGTATAGGAGTAAAATTACAAGTTAACTCTTTCCAACAGCTTGTTTTCCATTCACTTTGCATTCATTTTATATTCACATTTCACAGAATATTTTAATAAAATAAATACCTTTCTGACAGATTATGATCAAGAAATATTTGTGTCTGGTTGGCTGTATTGGAAGATTCTTGTGGATCAATCCATCCTAAGAGGGCCATTAATTGACACCCATTGCAAACACCAAGTGAGAATGTGTCTGTTCGTTTCTTGAAGTGTGAAAATTGTAATCGTAAGGACTCCGAGAAGAGAATTCCCGCAGCCCAACCTTTTGCTGATCCCAGTGTGTCTGCGGATGTAAATACAAAAATGACATATAATATAAATTTATTTCCTTCTTCCTATAAAAGGGACTTCGTTATGAACCTTATGTATGTTCAATAGTACACATTAAAGTGTCGTGAAAATTGCAATTTCACGATACATTAGAAACAATGTGAAAGAAATATGTAAAAATCTGAAAACAATTTAAAAAATGTTTAATGTCTACTATTGAACGTACATAATGTTCATAACGAAGCCCCATTATGAGAAGTAAAGTTGGTGGTCTCGGTACATTATTAAGAATATGTTTATACCTTTATGTGAATATACTAACGTCGTTGACACTTTTTTAAGCATAATGCCCATTCTAAAGAATTCAGTTTAATTTTTTGTTCTTATATTTGTATTATATAAAAATTAAATTGTATAATACATTGACTATGTGTACAAAAATATTTATATGGACTGGAATAATATCTGTGTTGTGCAAGGGTTAGCCTAACACAGAAAAATAAAAAACAAACAAAGCCATTGTTCCTTACCAGCATAACTGAAACCTCCGGGAAATACCAAGCCTTGAAAAGCATCCAAGGTAATCTTCTTATTTTGCAAGTCACTCATTGTCACGTCAAATACATCGAAATTAGCCATTATTAAGGATGCTATCATCTCGCGATCCCCATTTGTTCCTGTAATGGGTAGATAATATAGTATATCAAGATTTTATACATAATACATCTTTTCTATGCAGTGTTTGTACCTACTGTATACCATATTTTTCGAACTATAAGACTCACCACAAAAGTTTAAATGAAAATTTAGAAAATTTGTATTTTAATGTTACACATAATATTACCGTGAAGCGGTTATTTCCAAGACAAGTCTTGTGATAACTTCATTATACTTAGCTGTTTCTAAGTAAAATGTGTGACTTGTACAAAAAATACGTTATTTGATCCAATTACCTATAACATAACTACTCTACTTGCCTTCTTCACGGAGAACAGCTACTCTCACAGGGTTTGTTTTTATTAATGCTATGGAAGGGTCATAGGTGACCTTGTATGTTGCTCCCCTACGCTTTTCGAGATCTGAAAAAATTGCTCGTTATTTGTATAATATTACTTTCTCATTACATAGGTGTCGAATACTTTAAAATTGTGACTAAGTCTTTTAAATCAAAATACTTTCATGGAGAAATGTCCTCATTTATCAATGTAATCAGAGAAGTCAAACACTACACAATAAAAAGGGAAATTAAATTGCCTATAAAATTAAATATCATCAATAATCAATAGCTAGAAAGATAGATTGGTTTAATGTTTTTTTTTACTAATGTTGTGATAGTAAAGCAGCAAAGTAAGAGAAAGATTGGAAATATAGTATAGATAACTTGTTTCTAGAATCAACTGTACCATTTTATATTTACCTCTCCATTCTTGCTTCACGCAGTCAGAGTTAGCTTGTAGACACTCTAATTGATAACTTGTCTCTTCCCACATCCTATATATATCTATGAGCTCAGTGTCTAGTACTTTTTCACCATTCACTTTAATAAGCACCTGCAAAAGGAATTATAAAATTGATACACAATTACAATTATCACATAACTGGAATAGCAACCGTCGCCTAACACGAATAGCAATAATAACAACTCCAGAGGATTAAGGTGTTATATAAGGACAACAATGTGTAACATAGCCTTCAAAACAGAACTGCCTGGTGCGTAAGATAAACCTGAAAATATTGTCTTGTTTTACTTTAATACCTATCATAAGTAAACAAGCGAATTTATATTACATCAGTATCCATAACTTAAAAGTAAAATTAAAATCATACCTGTGAATTCATGCCATATGTTCCTGTGTTACCAATATAATATGCATTTACATTATTTTTCTTATATTCATTAAGAACATAAGACAAATTGATTTGATCAACTTCAACCACAATACCGAGTTCCTCATTGAACAGTGCCTCTATCCCAGATATTTTACTGTCTATTTGTAGATCTAAATTTAAGCCACGTATACCTCCTATGCCTAACTCTAGTACTGTAGTAATAAAGCCTCCTTCACTGATATCATGGCCCGACAGCAATTTATTCTCTGTAATTTAATAAAATATTTTATTACAAAAAAAAAATGTTTTAATTATACTAGTTATGTATTTGTATATAATATATATAAATTACCTTTTATTAATTTTTGTGTAGTTTTAAATAGTGATTTAAGAACGCGTGGATCATCAAGATCAGGCGGATTGTCACCCAATTGTTTGTAGCATTGTGCTAGAGAGGACCCTCCAAGTCTACAAAAATAAAATATAACGATATAGAAACAAAACAGTAAATTAAGTTCTATATATTAAAACTATTGCACAGTCTACTCGTACCTACTGAAGGCTATAACTGCTTGTTTTTCTTTCAGGGCTAAAATAATTCTGCCCTACGGTGCTTTTGCGCAGCAGCACACAGAATTAAGTAACATGCACGCATTGCGTGATACTTGTGTTGTGGCATACAGTTGTTTAGTTTAGTTGTTTTAACAGTTGTTTTTTGTCTTTAATTTCTATAAAAAAATTCATTTATCTATCTATCATCAACTATGCTAGCATTGTTAGAAATTTCTAATTAAAATATAAAAGCATTAAATTAATACATGATACATAATATGTAAATCTTGCATTGTTGTATGATTTGAAGGTGATGTAATATAATTAAAATTTATAATAATTTCTCGCATAGTATATAGTTAGTTATATTCTAGCAATGAGTATATTAAACAACTAATCGTAAAATGCTTGCTTTTTGAAATTACTTTCATTTTTGGCTGAGATAAAAGTTAAACATGAGGTAATAGTTAAAAAATAAAGTAAATTTAAAACAAATACAGAAAGTGATTGGCTAATGTTTTTGCCAATTTTCAAATGTATGAGAACGTAATCTGAATGCTACTAACCTATACTTTCCTGGAGTGACGGGAACATGTACAAGTGCAGAGCCTTCTCTTTGTAAAACTGGCTCTATTTTCACTCTAATATCAGGGCATGGAGCATATGTTGACATTACCAGAGTTCCCGGAGATTTTACTATCATACAAAAAATGACACTATTACACAAAACGTCTAAATATTTGTAGTAAAAACTCAACAATATGAATTAAATAACATTTTAACATGTAGAACACACATTGTATATTCTGGTGGAAATGTGGAATTATGTTGCGGTTGTGCAAGGACAGATTGATGGTGTACAGGGCTTAGTCATATATATTTACAGTTACAGAGTGTGAATGTTATGGTTAGATTTGTATTATTATCATAATACAAATCTGTAAATTTATGATTACATACCTAAATGAGATTTGCAACAGTACCACTTGCAAATCTTTGCTATATCTTATTTGTATAATGCCAACATAGCACAAAATCGTAACGGGTACCTCTGTCTCACCTATGCATTTCAGCTATTTGGTAAGCTATGCTTCAGTTGAAAGGTGATATGGCAGTGAAATTACAGTGTATGGAAGCATAACATTCATATCATATGGTTGCTTCTTACAGATGGGCCAAATGCTCCATGCAATTCCATTTACACAAAAATAATCTTGTTAGATCTATTATTACTACATACATTTGCGTGATGTAGAAAGCAGCATAATAAATTTCGGTAGATATCTTTTATTTGGCAAACCTTTTTCGGCAGCAACCTGTGCAGTCATAGAGAGCGAGTCCTTGCCGCCATCGACAGCGACGCCGAGGACCGCCATAGCGGCGCAGAGTGCCTGGCATGCTTCCACCAGTGTGCCTCCCTCCACCCCCGTCTTGCCCGGCCACATCCAATTTCCAGAACACTTCACGTCTTCCAACTCCGATATGACGACGAATACCTGGTTTGTATGGTATGCACTCGTATAAATCGATTATTTATATTCTGTATGAGTGCTATTAAATATATTTAATATTATTCATACAGAGAATTAGGAGACTTCAATAAATTTCTAATTAACTAATTTGTATGGACGCTCTTCTCAATATGTAAAATTTGTGTTCTTGTAATGTCATGGTCCCATTATTCTTTAGCACACATAAAAGTTTGCTAAGTTTGTGATTATATCAAATCATAATGAAAGATATTAGATTTCAGTCGCTTATGATCGTTTATTATTAAAGCTTTTTTCATTAATATTTTTTCTGTGTTACATTACACTCATGTACAAAACTATTTCTATTAAAATTAGATACTATAGTATAGCCAAAAATACTAACCAAGTTAGTGAGAGCTTCCCCGAGTGAGAGTCTTGCGCCGGCGGCTGGACAAAGCAGCCCCTTTATGTTCTGTGTACCCAGCGAGGTAGCGGCGCCGTTGATGGTGGCGTGCGATAGCGCCACCACGCCGCAGTCCGCTAGCGGCGTGTGTAGCGGACCTACGCACTGTTGCTGAGCTACAAGGCCCGATACGCACCGATCCACCTGAACATCCATAGCTTATGTAAATAATGAAATCGCTTCCACTGTCTGTTAAAAAAATTTAAACTACGCAACGGATTTTAAGCTAATGATTTTAATGACATATATAATAATAATTGCTTAAATACTAAATAAAAATAGTGTAAACACAACAGTAGATTAATTACCTTGTTAGTTAAGTATCGTTTGCTAGATACGTTAACGAGCCTTAAAACCCTATCCAATGCACTTTTGACAGTTATATCGGTGGGCAGTGATAATGGTGTTTTGGTTCTTTTATCACTTTTCAGATCAAATGTTTTTCTTGGCATATTACCTAAAAATTGTATCAAAATTTTTATAAGTTGCCACACATACTCTTTCCTTTCTTACTAATATTAGTTTGTCGCTCTATATTAGACAAGAACAAGCAAACAAATCCGAACAAAATATATGTGCATTTGAGTGTTACATTAAGTTTAATTTATTGTATCTGTCTACATAAAGGGTCGACGTGCGTCCATAGGCTACAACTGTAAACGTTAACCAGATGGGCAGTATACTAGATTGCCTCTGTAGTAGTGTAAAAAATTGCAAATAGGCACGACAACGACCAAAATTACTTCAAAGTATGAAAGGTGCAAGACCTTTTCACTTTTATATTTATACAACTTCAATTTTGTTTACATAAGGCGAATTTCTGTCGAGGTACTTATTTGAGGTAAAGCAGGTGTTTTATGTGTTAATATATGTGTGTGCAGGTGAATATTATACGACTTACAAAACATCCAAAATACACAATGGGAACTTTACTCAACTGTAATATTGATAATGTCAAGAAAATATATCCATACATACCTAATACTGCTTCTAAATGCAAATCAAAGGGCAACTTAGATTTAATTTCTGAGCTTAGTCTGACATTTCTATCGAGGTACTTATTTGAGAAAGAGTCTTCAATTAGACTCATATATCCATCTCCTGTAACCTCACCCACGAATGAAACAGGGCAACGTTCACGCCGACAAATATCTGAAAAAAATAACACACACCCAATTAATCTGAAAACATGTGTCGTAATATGGGTGTAGACTCAATAATGGTCGGAATTCTATAACCATTAGAGAAGGTCATAATGGTAGTTAAGTTTCCGCACTGAATATTTGTAGTATCTCAGATGCTAATTGTAGCGAAATTAAATAAAATAATATAAATCATTAAGTAGTAAAACTGCTAAAAATTCATAGCTTTGTATTACTTTTCACAGGTATTATTTTTAACGGATTTATTCTTTTATATTCTTTTACATGTATATACATACTTTACATGTGAGGTATTATTACATATATAAATTACTATTATTTTATTCCCAACAAATTGTTTGTTCTGACAGTTTGTCTTGTCATGGTAGAGATATAATAATAGAAATATTAGACAAAATCACAATAATTTATATTGAACAAAATAAAGTAAAGTAAATACCTACAAGTAAATTTTAAAATATATAATGGATCAATATTAATGCATTACCTTCTAATATCGCCCTATTCTGTTTGGTACAAAGCAGAGCGTCATTTTCCTGATACTCGGCACCCCACAACTCGAGGGTAGTTATTGTGGGGTCACCCAGTTGAAATTCCTTCGTATACACTACTGCGCCCTCTGGCTCCACAAGCTCTTTTAAAACGTTTCCATTACCGCCAGCTCCTTGGTCATGTATTGCTACAATTTAATTAATAATAAAATTAAAAATATATATTATACATTTTTCATACAACTCAAATGAACATATTAAGTATATTTCCAATTCATTTAATACTACTCAAATTTTTACGTATTAATAATTATTCTTAATATTAATTAATCTTTAATATATGCATAGATATTTGTTAATATACATATGTTATTTATAATGGTTAGAGTAACATATTTAATTTACTTACATTCTACTGGATTTACTTCTGCTTCTAAACAGGCACGTACAACACGATTGAGACGGTTTCCCATTTCAGCATCACCTATTAACAATATACAAAATAATAAAGTTGTATGTTTGCATATTACTTTATTCTGAATAATACCAATGGGTTACAAGGACACAACACTACAGCTTTTACGTAATATGTAGCTATTAACAATATTACACACACAAAACACCTAGACTAATACAAAAATTCATACCCATGGAAATAGATATCTGTATTATATGTGGATTGAACCGCCGACCACTGAAAGGTGAGGCAGAGTGTTATTCCGATGTACGATCCAGGGCATCTTAATCTTAAATAATGGAAGCATTTAGAAATTATGTACATTCTAATTATGTACCTCTTTGTACAGCACCGAAGTCTAGAGCATGATCTCTGCTATCACCGCCTTGTACTGCCACTGACGAAGCAGCACCGCCGCCCACTCCGATGCGGTATACTGGTCCACCTACCTTTACCAGTAACATACCTACAATTATAGATATTCTAATTAATTAAACATCGAAGAGCAAAGAAATACAACAAATATTGTAAAGTGCTCTAGGGCTATAAATAAAAATAATAAGCAAACCTTTACAACCTGTATAAAATGATATAAGAAAATATGAGTTGTGAATGTTAATCTATACATATAAATAAGATTGGAGTGTCTGTTTGTAATATTGAAATAACCGTTTTTTACTACATGCATATGAATATAAATGCGGTACATACACCATAATATTTTTTTTACAATTTTTGTCTGTGTCTGCTAATCTCTGAAAAGGCTGTACCGATTTTGACAGTATATTTTTCGGCAGGTATCTGATGTAATAAGGAGTAACTTAGGCTATTTTTATTTTAGAAAAATTCATTTATTTTAGAACAATAAAGTTAAATTCCACGAGGACGAAGTCGCGGGAACAGCTAGTATCATATACAATATTAGACAGCACACAGGACCATGTATGTACATTTGAATAGAACACTAGCTAAACGAAATGAAATAAAAACGGAAACGACATTACGGAATACAAGAAATACGTGAATGATGGATGGAAATAAGATATTTGATTTATTTTCAGATAAAAGTAAAATTGGTTTCTTGTTTATTTTCTAAAAAAGAACATCCCATTTCCCTCCTCGCTGATAATGTAAGCCTTCTGTAGGAGTTGTGTATTTCTTGAGTAATGGATTTAAATACAAAGAAAAATTTAAATACTTTCTTTTTATAATATTATTCTAACTTAACTCAGAAGAAACTAAAACTTGTGTTACCTTTCTCTGGATTCTGTTTCTTTATCATAGAGTGAGGCATATATCCAATACCACCACTGAACATTATCGGTTTGATAAATTCTTCTCTCACTTTATCAGCATTTTTCAATCCATAGGATTGTACAAAACCTATTGTGATAAACATATTTACATTAAATATGACAAAAACATACATATGACTATAAATTTTTGGCAATGGATTATACACTATTATTGTCATGCTTTATATGTATCTTTTATAATATTACCTAATATTACTGGCTCTCCAAACTTATTTCCATAGTCAGAGGCTCCATTGCTAGCATCAATAATAATTTGTAATGGACTTGCAAAGTTTCTCGGATACTCCCATCCTTTTTCTTCCCATGGGAGATCATATCCTACAAGAAATAATTATTGTGTCACTTTATTATACACAAATACAAAATATTGACTTGCTTTAGTCAGGTCAGATGTTCAGTGTTAGTGTATTGACGTAATACATAATCTAAATGTTTTCAAATCAATTTTTTATGATTATTTTCAGTGTCATTTATAGATAAGGAGTAGTAAGTACAAAACTAAGGCGTATGTACATCGTGTGACGAGCTGGGCACGCCAGCTCGTCACACGATGTACATACGCCTCTATTTTGTAAGTGTAATGGATGAGTCACGGCCAGTATGGTATTTGATTCCGAATTTCCCTTACGAAATGTGTTAAGTTCGGATAACATATTACAATTCAAGGTTTCTTTAAATTCACCTATCAAAATATGGTGTATAATCTGAATTAATTTTAAACGGGTTGGGTATAAATTAAGATGTATATATGTATGTTAAATCACATTTCAGGTAGTGAGTGAAAACTTCAAGCCTAAATGCTACGGTCATATTAAATATGTGATATAAAATATGTTACGTTAGTATACCATACAATGAAAAATTCAAAACAAATCTACAAACCTGGTATGTACAGATTGCCAACACTGTACCCGGCTGTGCCCGCAACTGTGTGACCCCCTCGACCTACACCTTGCACATCTCTTATACGACCCCCAGTACCAGTTGTAGCACCACTGAATGGAGCCACTGCTGTGGGCATATTATGAGTTTCTGCTGTAAATATTATATCAGATTCAGTTATCTCTTCTAACACCTGAGAAGGAGCTCTCACATCTTTGGGTCGTAGTTTTATATGTTTGAAACCTTTGACTGCACTGTAACAAATGAAAATTTTCAGTAAATCCTCAAAGATGTATATACCTATGCATACAATATTATTAACTTGTTTATCACCTGCTATTATCACCAAATTTGATAACATTATTGTCGTTTGATGTTTTTTGTGTATTTGCAACCATATCAATAAGAGATTCTCTTATCTCTTGATCATCTAAAATTAATTTACCCTGAAAAAGAATACAAGTTTAAGTTTTACCCAACAGAATAAATTATTTATTTTAATTATTAAAGTACACATTTATAATCTGTGATTTCAATATTGACATCTGATAAACAATATCACAACAGAAACAATGATTTGTTTTAAATTTATGAAGTTTTGGTTTTAATTATATTATTTTTATCTTATTCGTACCTTGAAAAACCAATGTCGCGAGTGTTCACTATTACTCTGAGCGAGATCAAAAAGTTCAACACTTGTTGGATCCCTTTTCAACTTATTAACAAACAGATCCATATAAAAATCCATATCCCATACATCAAATGCAAGACCTGAAAAAAAATTAAACCCTAAATTAATAATACGATGAGATTCATATATTAATAAATAATTAGTGCTTTCCGTCTAGGTAACTTGCTCGGTACTATTTACTACCTGTGAAGATATATATATGTTAAGGTTCTGCAGTGAGTTATTGATTAACACTGCAAAACATACCATACCATTGATATACAACTTAACAAAACAAGCAAAGGTTGGTTAAGTAAAATTTTTTTTAAAAGGATTGATTACAAGCCCATGATAAAATTTTATTGTAACTCAATCAGCCGATTCATTTATTACGTCCTATAGGATAAAATTATTATGATTACATAATACATATTGTACATGGGTAATTTGACTATTGAATTAGTATTTGAAAATGTAGTGATGATGAATCCAATATTGCAATTCCCTGTTATGATTGAATAAAATTGTTTATCAAAATGAACACAAAATTGTATATATAAGCAACAGAATGAGGTCAAATAAAATGCTACATAATTCATTCAATACATATTCAATACATAATATAAATTAAAGTCACTTCTGCAGTCTGTTCATTTAGATCTTTAAAACTGTACATTGGATTTCGAGGCAGTTTTTAGCAATAGAGTAATTCAAGAGGTAGGTTTATATGTATAATAATAGAGGTTTAAGTACATATTTAAACCTTTATTATTATAGTATAGTATCATGAGGATGGGCTATCATTTATAAAAAAACAGATGAAGTCAGGGGTAAAAGCTAGTTAAAAAATTACCTGTTAAATAATTTCAAGAAGACCAACTACCAGACTATCTACCAGAATTTCATTTTAACTATTGTAGTATTTCTTTTAATTAGATTTATTAAAAGATTTTCTAAATAAGCGGGATATTGTTTAATGCCATTAAGATACTTTTCATAAAAGAATATCAATGTGAATTTTCAATAATTGTGTAAGACTGTTAACTAACCTAGTTTACAAAATCGAAATATCTGGAAGAGACGAATGGCAAAGATACCATACACCGACTCACTCAGAGCATGACCTAGTCTGGTTTACAGACGAGTCCAAAATAGGAGATGATGTAGGATATGATGTGAGATGATGTGGAATATGCGGTGTAAAACCCAAAATCTGCAACTATATAGGCTTAGGAAAATACGCCTCAATCTTTCAGGCAGAGACTTACGCCTTAATTAGATGTCTGGAAGTAATCCTAAGCCTCAACTAGATTAATCAGAACATATACATTTATTCGGACAGTCAAGCTGCTCTACTAGCTGGCAAAGTTAGGGGCAAAAACCGTCCCACTGGGCCCCGAACCCTACTGTGGTGTGCCTCGTTGCCTAAAACTGGGACATCTCAAATTAATAACCAAACGAGAAGCACTGAATCACTGGCAAGAAATGCCAGGATTAACACATTCAAAAGACCTAATATCGGGCTTCTCGACCAAATACTCCAATAGACTACTGCTATTGAGTAAAAACAACATATGCATGATGACTAGGGCCCTCACAGGACACTGCAAATTAAACAAGCATATGGCTAAACTAGGCCTATGCACGACAAGTATCTGCAGATTCTGCCAAACTTAAGAGGAAACGCCGCTTCACATCCTATGTGGTTGTAGCCCACTCATGCATAAACAAAATATCTCCTTTGGAAAGTTTACACTCTTTCCTGAGGAGATAAAAACGATCGCTCCTAAGAATATCCTTCAATTCTTGTCCCTGACGGGTCTAGGTAACGAACTCTGAAAAGGGCGAGCACAATAGATCTATGTAGGTCGCAGTGCTACAGGTGCTACACATCTGACAATAGCCCAAACAATCCAATAAAAAAAAAAAAACTAACCTAGTTTCTGATTTACTCTTTCCATTGCTGCCTTGCCTTGTTTTTGCAAAGGTACCACATACCAAGGTTCCAGGTTTTTTGGTAGTCCTTCATTAAAAGTGTGTCGCGGAAGATTCTCTTTTGTATATATACATTGAGTCATTCTATCATGTAAGGGTGTTGCGAGATTTTCAATTAAGATTTCAGACACATTTTTCAGTTTTGCAAATGTGATGAGGTACCTAGTGGAAACTTCAACACGAACAATATTGCTGAGTCCAACACTCTCACAAATCTGAACTGAGTTACTAGAGTCCGCTGTAGAAAAATTGAACCTGAAACATATTTTCATGAGGATTAAAATAATTTTTATAAAAATATGGTTTTAATTATTACTTATGGTTTTAATTATTACTTTTAACTTGAACAAATTTTACCTGGGTCCAATTTCAATTACAAGTTGCCTTTCACTAACAGATTTATAAACTGTTTCATTTCTTAATGCTTGAGGATGAAGTGGTGAACTTAGTAGCCACTTCAAGATTTTTATCTGGTTTATGTTCAGATATTCACACCCTTCAGCAAGTTCCACATGATAACAAAGTTCAGTTGATAACTCTGTTACATCTGAATCTATTTGTTTTAATTTATGCAAAATTTCTTTTGTTCTATGAGTACTAAATCCATCAGAGGAAAAAAATCTAATAATGCACATCCTGATAATTTACTGTACAACTCAGTTGAAGGTTCCTAACAAACTGTCAGTTTTAATAATATAAGATACAGTAGGCAAGTAGTAGATAAATGAGTCTCTTACATCAATGTCAAAGATCAAATAGTATCAATGACTATATCTGAAACAGACAAACAACTTATGCAATAATAACAACAGAAACTAAATTAAGCATAAACTTAAATAAGATATAGTAATACAATGAACTTCTTTCCCAGTGGGTCAACATATACATACCTACATCAATCAAAGTTAAGGAAAGTTCCATTCCATTTCATTTCCATCACTTTTGGATATGTCAAGAGTCTTCAGCAATATACATCAAATATTTTTATTATATAGAATAAGTAAATACATACATAATCTCTAAAAACCAGTACTCATAAAAATTATATAGCTATACAAGATGATTAATATTAATATGGTAATATTATTAAGTAATATTTCTTTAGTAGTAATTTTGGAACAAAAAACAGGGTTAGGTACATGGTAAATCAGGTGATATGATAATATGATACATAATAGGGTTTATACTAATATTACAACGTAAGTAGTCTCAAAACATTTATTCAAATAAGAGAAAGTATGTTACATTTCAACGACTATCTGGCTGAATGGATCTTAAACAAGTTTTAAATTAAGACAAGTTGTATCACGTGCACGGATATAAGCTATATTTTATCTCAAAGAATATCTAGAAGGGGTGAAATGAAAGTTTCATGCAGACGAAGTCGCAGGTAGTATTAGATAAAAATATAAATTTACTAGTCTAAAGCATAAGTAGCAAAGCTAATGTGTCTGTAATATTGACTTTTACTAATATATTCAGTTTCAATTACTTTCGATACAATTGTACAAAAGTAAACATAAGTTTATAAAAACTAACACAGAACTATTAAATAAGTATTTAACCAAATTTTAAGTTTGCATTTTATACCTTCGTACTATTCGCAGCGATTTTGCAGGCTTGATTAATATGATATAAATTGTATTTCCAACTTATTTAAAAAGTAAGGTTATCAGAATACCGTATATATAGCTCGTTGCTTGTTTACTTTATTGTCAAAAATGCAATATTAACATAAGGATGTGCAAGCGAAACAAGTACCTAAATACAAATACTCGATAGTGTTGTTCGATACTTTTGGTATCGAATCAATCTTACGACATAGCATCTAAAGTTCTAAACATAAAAAAAATTGTTGTAGATAGAACAGATAAGAAAATCTTACAAAGTTACTTAGTTGTGCCGAATGCATGAAACAGATAGAAATTGATACGATGACTATAAAAAAGAACCTTCACAGGTTCTCAAGTAATATTAAATAGTTGTAAGGCACCAAATTTAAAACTTATATGTGTGTGTACTTATATGAGCAGTATCGAAGTGATTTAAATTTGTATGAATCGGAAAATACCTAATTGTATAGTTATGATAAAAAAATAACGTGTTCAGTCAAAACTATAAATGATATGTGTATACGTTACCCACGACTTTGTCCGTTGTTTTCACCTATGTAATACGCCGTATGTTACGTAGTATCATTTATTTAGTTTGTGCTTATATCTGTTCTTATTCATGGACAAACAAACTTGACTTCAAGTCAAGTTTCATTTAAATCTATTCAGACCAACCGTCTGAATAAATATAAGTCGTGTGTCGTCAAGAATGAATAAACCCCGCTTTTATAATATAGGATAAATAATTGCTATTTATTTTGTAGGGATAACGGAATAGTGTACTCACCTACGTCCTCTACTAGTAAAGGATTATAGAACGTGCACGAGATGTCTTTCGTCGAAACTAGGAATTAGATAAATTGATTTACAGGGAGCGCCGCGTGGAGATGGATTCATAGCTAGCAATAGATAAATTTATTACTAGACCCTATTACTAGATGCTATTATATCCTAATAATTTGCAATGATTTCAATACCTAGATGAATTGATCGAATCTATAAATCAATTCTTAGAATTAGAATTCGTTATTACATTGTCTATGGTAAGGTTAATAATTTGAATTTGAAACAGTTGTGATAGTGTTGCCACCTTAACACCTTAGTGGTATTAGCAAATAATGAATGTTTTTAGAACAATTTGCTGTGTATCAAAATACAAAAACTTATGGTTTTTATAAAATGAAAAATAATGTATGTTTCTTTTGCGCACAAAATTATATACATTGTGGACTTAATGCCTGCATTCTTTGTCAGCCAACCGTCGCCTTTACAAAGATAATTAAGCGGTGTAAGTTAATAACTAATATTGAAGTATAAAACACAAATATAGAAAAGTAATATATATGCAAAAACTAATGTACTAGAATATATAAGCTCATGGATTACATATATTATATTAAAATTAAACTATGCTATGCTCTATACTCATAGAATATATCTTCCGACATGACTTTTGCTGTTAAAGAAATTTCGAATAATGTTGACGCAAAGATCTTTACACAGTGAATTTGGTACGACATCATGTGAGGCCAGCATTCCAAAGATTGATGGCAGAAATAGTAACTGATTGATTTGAGAAATTACAATGATGAGGAGTATAGAGCAGGAGATTAGAAGAAGAGGGAAGGTCACGAGAATGTGATGAACTTAGAAATTAAAATATTTCTTTGAGGTTCTGAGGATCTAGTGGATCATATAGAACAGAAGCGTTTGAATAAAATTCTAACACCTGCACTGGTGGATAGGATGCTGTTTCAGCTTCGAGTGGAAGCATATAATATAGTCATACATACAAACATTATATACAAATAAGAAAATCAGTTGATTTTTATTTTTATAGGTACTAATCACATTCAGTCAATAATGTGTGCTTGTTTATATTGTGCATGTTATAGGGTTGCTAAATTGGACAATTCATAACCCTTATAGGGATACCTGAGAATTTTCTGCATCAACATAAAAATAGCAATTGACAAAGTATGGTAGCAGTTATTGAAGATTATTGTTGATAGTAGGAATCTGTCTCACTGGAGATTTCACATTAAAGATATATTGTTAATACAAATGATTTTATTTTACAAAATAGTAATGAAATACATTATTCATTATAAATTCATCAACAATTATCACAGGTAAAGTAAACAAGATTTTATATATTTGTCTTCCTGGGAGGATGTTTTCACAGAGTGAACAATACAATATTGAAAGAGACACACATACAGTAAGAGTTATTCCTTATCATTATTGCTTTGAAAATTTAACTGATATTGGTTACACTGTCCTTTATTTCAATTTGTTAATACATATGAAAATTAATATAATACATATTAGGAATTTCCATATGGCAATTAAAATTGTGTTATAGGATTGTCTGTCTGATTAGGTAGAATCGTTGTTGCTTGCTTTAGAGTATATTTTATGTATCCTTAAAAACTTTATACTTTCAATACTTTTAACTTGATTATTATGATAAGTATTAACACAGCTTTTTCGTCAGATTTATTATTTTATATTATTATTATATGTTCATCATCATTATATCCTGTATCTTTTTGGTCAAGTCTTCCCTCTTGGCGTTGTCTAGAGCATGACAAAGAATAATGAACCAATTTTGTCTATCTGCCTTTACTTTATATAAATCCATTATTTTTGAAGCCTTCATATAAAGATCATCATTAGCTTTATTAATTTCATCTATAGTGCATTCTCTAATTTGTAATTTTCTACCAAGAATACACCAGTATGACCCAATTTGTTCTTTAATGGTTTCATATATTCTATATTCTTTCTGTGTCAAGCTGTTGTCCAGTGTGTTACGATTGTTAAAAGTATGACCCATTTTCTTTTCTAATGTTATATTTTCAGGATCTGAAATAAAATATGGTAATTACAGAAATTTATTAATTAAGGATATAAATACTGAATGTTGAGGATTGGTTTATATTTGAAGAAGCTCAACAACATTGAATTTATTTATGAATCAGTAATTTCATAATATTATCATAGATATAAGCTACTTGTAACAATGTTTTTAAAGGTACACATATAAGATATATAAGAATGTACAATATATATAAGAATGTACATGGAAAAAAATTGTAATAAATGATAATAATAAACTCAATAAAACTCACAATAGTGGTGATAATCGTGTTGGTTATTTCTTAATTCGTAATCGGTTATTGTTCTCAGTAGATCACTGCTATTATTTGTTCTTCGAGCCATTTCTTTCAAGGGTTCTATATTGTCTTCCGACAATACATCTCTTATTTCCAATATTTTTAGCAATTTTCCCAATGTGTCTATCTGTTCAAAACGTCTAGGGGAATTTATTTGATCTTTATAAAATTCTTTCAAACTATTCAGTGGTTCATGATCATGAGACAAGTTGCTCACAAACAAAGTTAGGCTAAATGCTATTTTTTGTTTTAATTCTGAATATGTAGTTGCGATCATTTTCTATTATAAGCACTTAATTTAAATTAGTACACGTCACAATAAACACAGATTTCAAATAAAATAAAAAGATATTACGACACCAAATACAATTACTATTTTTCAAATGACAAAAGTGACAGATTGATATTTGATAAGCAATAACAATAATAGAATCAAATATAGATTATAATAGTTACGTGCCGCCATCTATAAATAAAACCCGAAAACATTAATCGCTTGTTTACTTCACACGCTGTATTATTATATTTATGTACATATATTATTCATCATATACATTATCACATATGAATCAGTGTTTGAATTTAAATTTGAAGTAATTTTTCGGCTGCAATAAAATAAAATACAGTTAGTTGCGTCACGACTAAATGTAATCTTTTTTTATGTAATTAATTACAACGTAACGGATAAATTGGCGGATAATATGGCTTTCGTTCAAATAGTGTGAACGGTTCGTTTTAGGAAAAGAAAATACTAATAGAAAAGCTGAATAGAAAAATTATGTTTATTGCAAAAATTTCTAAATATCTGAATTGACACAAAAAAAATACGTCATTCTCTCTTTTTAAAATATTGACAAAAAAGAATTGTACATAAAACCTCAACATACTCCGCCCCTTGCGACTATATCGCAAGACAGACAAACAAAATAAATTTCACATTACTTCTAAAATCACAAACATAAAATAACCTATAAGTTTAGGCGGTGAGGTATTTTTACGACACGACCAGTGCGTGTAATTGGACTCGCACATTTTATCAGTCTCGACACAATGTGTATTGCTCTTAGTATCCGTAAAATCTCCTGAACTAACTTCTAATGCATACAACCGTTGAACAGGCCTTATACGATCACCCATAGCCGTTTTAACTTTAGCTACTCTACAACTACCATCAGGACCTGGATAAATCTCTACAATTAAACCTAGTGGCCAATATAGACGTTTGGTATTATCACAACCCACCAAAACTACATCACCGACTTTATGTATCTGATTCCGATGTTTCTGTTCTCTTTGAATCAAAAGTGACAAGTATTCATCCCGAAATCGTTGCTTTAAGTCATTGCTTAACTTTTTTAAATATCGCCAACGAGACGTCAAAATATTGCCATCTATGTGACTCAAATCATTGGTTTCATCTTCCTCCATATCTAGCTTCAGAAACATTGCGGGTGTCAAAGTTCCCAAAATCTCTGAACTTTCCTTTATATAAGTCAATGGTCTCTTATTAACTATACTCTCAACTTCACACAAAATCGTAGCGAGTTCACAATAACTAAGTGACGCCTTTCCAAGCATTCTACGTAAAATTTCTTTGACAGTTCTCACCATTCTCTCCCAGAACCCTCCCCACCACGGCGCAGAGGGTGGCGATAATCGCCATTCAATTTTTTGAGTGAGGCATAAAGAAGAAACTTCCTGCCAATTCATCTGATTCATAATATTCGCAGTGCCTCTAAAATTTGTCCCATTGTCGCTATAAATTATTCTAACTTTTCCCCTTCGTGCTAAAAAACGTCTTAATGCTAAAAGGAAATCTTCAGTTGATAATGAAGTGCACAGCTCTATATGTTGCACACGTAAAAGGAGCAATCCAGCACTTTTCCCCTGACTTCAGTAATAATGGTCCCGCAAAATCTGTACCTGTTACTTCAAACGGAGAACCACATGTTATTCTATTAAAAGGAAGTGGAGCTGGTGGTGTAAATCCAGCTTTCGCAGAATAACGTTTGCAAATAACACATTCTCGTACAATTTTCTTCGCAATTCTTCTGATTCCTACAATCCAATAATTTTCGCGAAGAATACTTATTAATGTTTGAGAACCACAATGTAAATTTGTTACGTGTGTTTCAATGACAAGTCTCATAACAATCACATTGTTGCTTGGCAACAGGATTGGTGTACGAAAATTTTCTGTATCGTTCGACAATGTAAGTCGAGTCTTGATCCTTATTAAATCATTATCATCCTTAAATGTATTTAATTTAAGATTCAAATTTGTATTATTAAAACTTTCTTTTTGTATAATGGCCAGTATAACCTTTTCAGCTTTAATATATTCAGTAACTGATATATCACCTTGGTCTTTTCTATTATTTACTTTACTACTATTTTTATAAAATCTTAAGCACCAGCTGACCATTCGAACAATCTTTGAATATTTAGAAAAATAAAGTAATATATTAGAAAATATCCCTACAGTAAGAAAAATCCCTACAGAAGGTAAATCAGCAGGATTTAAATCTCCAGATATATGGTGCCAGTCATTGACATCTGTTTTAGTAACAATTTTATTCACTCTGTTATGAACAAAAACGCTTAAACCTGTCTGTCTCCGAATCCAAGCGATAACTATACTCGAATCAGTCCAATAATATTCTGGACAGTTTTCAAGCTGTAAACCCACTAGCTGTAACAGCTAGCCTAGTTCCCATTAATGCTGCAATCAATTCGAGCCTAGGCACAGTTATGGGTTTTGTTGGAGCAACTTTCGTTTTCGCTATTACAAATCGTACTGTAATGACACCATTATATTCAGATCGCAAAAATATACAACTAGCGTACGCGGTTTGGCTTGCATCACAAAATATATGTAGTGAATTGTCACTGATTTCAATTAAACTTTGACTTAAACGTCTTGGTATCCTACATCGTTCTAGGATATCTATATTCTGTAACCAGTCATGGACTCCCCTTTCAATATCCTTTGGAAGTTCAATATCCCAGTCAATATTTTTCTCCCAGCATTTTTGTATCAATAATTTGGGGATTAAAGTCGTAGGACACGAAAACCCTATTGGATCATAAATACTTTGTGCTAATGATAATAAGGTCCTTTTTGTAATCTTTGTCCCCAAAATATTTTTGAAAGGAGTTTTTAGGCCAAATTCATCATGCATAGGATACCACATAAGACCAAGAACTGATGTTGTCGTTACCTCTTCATCCGTAATAATAGGTCCCGTTACCCAACATCGTAATTCGAACTTGCCTTCATTCATAATTGCCTTGGAATTTGAAATAAATTCTATCATCTTGAGTCTCTTGTATTAATGCAGATGCAACATTTGGACCTTGTCTTTTGATCAATAAATTCAGAATCATCTCACGTTTTTGTTATCATGTTCCTCACGTGCACATGTCAACTTATCTCAACAAAGGAAATATGTTGAAGATTATCTAGACAGTTAAACTCTCTTATTTGAATCATTAAAACAAATTCAATTGTTTGTCGTGGTCTGATGATTGTCATATTTATCATAGAACTGCGTCTTTGATATAATATGGTCTTGCTGGAATAATATTCCGCCTCCATTACGTGCTAAAACCACAAAATATAGTTTTAGTAAATGTCTTAGAGAACATCTTATTAATAGTCAAAAATTGTCTAACTAAATTAAATTACCGATCTGCACGATGGGCACGGTGTTATGGTCTTGATTCCGGAGAAAACTGTGTTGTGTTTTTTCTTGTTGTGCTTGTAGTATTTTAGTATCTTAGTATTTTTCTGTTCCTTAATATTAATTTTAAAATTGTAATTGTGTACGTGGCAGGTCTCGAACACGTGTAAAAATTTTTGTCAGTAACAATAATGACATTGACAGATGTCAAAGGATGATATCGAGCTGTACGTGTTGTCACTAATGGCAGGCACGCACCTTTTCTACAGTTAATTGTCACGGCATATGCTGAGTGTCAGCCATGTTGCCAACCTAATATAGAAATAATATAAGATAAATTATTATTGTAATTGTTCTAAGTGTGTATGTATGTATGTATATATGTATATGTAAAAATGGTTTAAATGTTTTTCTTTTTTTTTTTTCTTTCTTTCTTTCATCTCACTTCAGTATTAACACTAACTATACAATTATCTACACAGAAACTTGTTTTCAATTGTTTAGCTGTGATATTGTCATATTTATCAAGATGATATTATGGTTGCAGAAGCACTTGTAGTTACTCCGAAAACTAGCATGACGATAAACTTAAGTTTTTTATCACACGTGTTAACGTCTTTCCACCATAAAAACTTCAAGTACTCTCGATCTTCAGGATGAAGGCTAATTGTAAGAAGGCCTTTTTGATAACTGATGTTATACCTATCGCACCTTTTCTAAACTGTAAGCGAGGTATATCTTCAATTAGATTAGAACCCTTTTCAAGACACGAGTTGAGGCTGACACCTTTCTTAGTAGAAGCAGAAGCATCGAAAACTGGCCTTATTTTGGTTGTAAGACTGCTATTCTCTACAATTTCTATTATACCGCTTTCTAACCACTCATTAAAAACTTGGTCATACTCTGATAATAAACCTATTTTGCTAAGTTTTGCAGTCATCGTGTTCAGCCGTTTTAGAGCCACCTCATAATTAGGTGATAAAATATCCCCAGTCTCCTTCCATGGTAATCTAACTTCATATCTATTCTCTTCGTTTATGCATATGGTGTCCCTAAAAAAATTCCCTACTTCCTCCTCGCGTCTTGTTACCGTTTTGGTTTGTGCATTATCTATAATATAATACCCAACGTTTCTAACTTCCAAAAGTCCTCTATATTGAACGAACAAGTAAGAGCACTTACAGATACTGAAGAAGAAGTCGAATACGAAGAGCAATACACACCACACGCGTGGCCTTGTATAGTCCACCCAAGTTTCGTTTCAGTTGCGAAGAGATAGTCCTGCACCTGCACTAATCGTCCGGTTAACAAGGTACCTAAAAAATCAGAACCAATTAATAAATCTATTTTAGAAACATCATCTATAGGATCTGAAATAAAAACACCTTTTTCTTTTAAAACAGACAAAATATCATTTCTCTTTTTTATCATAGGTATGTTACTACATATTGTCGCCTTTTCAAATGCTCTCATTTTACATTCATATGTCCCATCTAAATTTTTGACTGTTAAATTGTAAATTTTATGCATTTGTTTTTGAGTAATAGTTCCACCAAACAAGTTTTGACTCATTTCTTGTATGTCACATGCCTTTAGTTTTAATTTATAAGCCACATCCTTAGTGACGAATGTTTGTTGAGCACCACTGTCTAAAAGAACTCTGACTGTAATATTCTCATTTCCGTTACATATTTTTGCTTTCAAAGTCTGCAATAAAACTGTTTTATTAGGAATACCACCCTGGTTGGGTACTGATTGTGACGTGCCGGCGGTGTTTGTTTCCATATTAGGCTTATTGACATCACTGCACATTATAGGAAAATGTCTCTTCATACATACAACACATTTCGGGTACTTTCTACACTTTTTTGCAGTATGTCCAATGTTAAGACATATGTAACACGCATTTTTCAGTCTTAAGTATTCTTTCCGCTTATCCAAGTTTTTACAAATAGCAGTAGCACATTCTGAACTGGCATGTGAATTCTTATCGCACCACACACATATCTTTTCTTTACGCTTAAAGTGATTCCTATCAGGAGATCTTTTCTTTTTATCCTTACTATTTGTCATATTCAAACATGCAGCAGAAGACATAGAAATATCCTGTCCCATATAATTATTAGATGTTTTAAAACGAGACAAACGTATCCTTTCATCAGATTCAACCTCCGACTTGACAAAATTCAAAAGCCTGGATAATGGACTAATATTTTTATTATTTCGTTCATTAATATGTGACCTATTCCATGCTTTCAATATATCTTCAGGTAATGAGGATTCCACCAATGGTAATAAAAAGATGAGTACTTCTCCTGGGTTACTCCCATAGATTCGAGTGCCAAAATTTGTGTCGTCAGCGCGTCATATAATGTACGAATTGACCCCTTCTGTACACCTTTTGCCTGTGCTAGAACCAGATTAAGTAACTCTCTCACATAGTATTCTATTATCATTTCATCTTTGGCAAACCGATACTTAAGTTGTTCTATGGCTACATTATAATTCTCGCCTGATGGTGGAAAACTTTCTAAGAATTCTCTCGCTACTGACCCTGTTTCCATGCATTGAAGCAGGTAGTGGAATTTGTCATCATTATCAATCTGGTCATCAAGGTGTATCTTTTTGAACTGGGACCAGAACCTCAACCAATTCCTGATCTCCCCATTGTACCTCGGAAGTTCAAGCTTTGGAAGGTGAAAGTGTCTATTGCCATTTGTTTTTGACGACAACTGACTTTCTTCTATTTTATTGACAGCTGACTTCGGTGGAGAAATAGAAAATTTACTTGCCTTTTGCTTCAACATATAGTAACGTGAGTCATAGATATCAGCTTCATCGATATCTTTATTGAATTGTTCTTCATCACGATTATCATCATCGAGCCATACACTAACAATTTTATTCTGCGTCAGTGTAAGTATGTCGAATAATTTATTCAGGTTCTCAAACTCGGCTGGGATAAATTCGTCGTTGCTCTCCAATAGCCCTTCCAACTTTTGAGCACACAATGAGAACCTACGACGCGCTAATGTCCTCTCTGCCTTAATCTTTTCCATTTTAAATACCAGTATACAGTCCTGTCACGTGGACGGTTCGTTTTAGGAAACGAAAATACTAATAGAAAAGCTGAATAGAAAAAATATGTTTATTGCAAAAATTTCTAAATATCTAAATTGATACTAAAAAAATACGACATTCTCTCTTTTTAAAATATTGACAAAAAAGAATTGTACATAAAACCTCAACAAAAAGGTCAACTGAAGTTGCGAATACTGCATTTAATCAATAAAATAGCAACATACACTGACAAAAATGAAAAGTGTTTGGGGGTGTCCCTGGACTTACAGAAGGCTTTTGATTCCGTGTCTGCACGAATATTATTAACAAGACTTGAAAACATCGGAATAAGGGGTAATGCTTTTATGTGGTTCCTTGGAATACCTAACAGGTAGGAAACAGTGTGTTACGGTCAATGGTCGCTGTAGTAACTACAGAACAAATACATACGGCGTGCCGCAGGGCAGTACGCTTGTTTCCAACATTGTTTTTAATCTGTGTGAATGAATTGTGTAAGTTGATTATACCTGGGACAGATATCCAAATGTTTGCTGATGACCTTGAAATAATTGCACCAAGATGTGCCATGAAAATTATTTGATATTGTAGTACAGTATTAGTATTAGTACTATTTCATGGCACCTCTTGGTGTAATGTTCGTTAGCTTGCTGAAACAGGATTATGCTTTGTAACTTCCTGGCTTGAGAACAGTTTACTTACAGGTAATGTCTTCAAAACAAAATACGTCTGCTTTAGTAAAACTAATAAGGGATTATTAGTAAATTTATATATATATTTAAATAATTACGCCGAATCTTAGAACATAAAGTCGTGATTCAGGTTTATAGAGCCTTGATGGCAGCTTGATGGTCTTGAGCAGCAGCTAAAACATATCTTTTAAAACTTAAGAATACCCAAAGGGCAGTATTTAAAGTAATGATGCGTTTAGAATAGAAGAATAGAAAATAATTTATTCAACTAAACTTTCATTGAAGTCATCACATTTTGTTTTTTAATCTACCGCTCATTTGGAAAGCTGTCTCATCACAAGAAGAATGAGCGAGAAATTTGCGTGTTGCTCTTTTAAATAATTGTATTGTTACTTTACATTTTTAAGTTTAAGTGTGTGTGAATACAAACTACCAATTAGCACTAATTCAATTAAATAGTCAAATAGAAAAAAATATTAAATGTACAACCAACTGGTTAAACAACTAAATAAGAGGAAATCAGTCGTAGTGATTAGAACAGACCAGTCTCTACAAGCACCCGTTCACTAGTATGACGGTGGAGCCAGCCATCACTGCGCTCGACCATATTTCAGGGAGCCTAATGTGCCGGCTAATTTACCATTGAGACACTCGACTTTTGAGGTTTACTTAAAGGCTAAAGTTCTTACAGTTCGTAAACTCTTTGTATATCAATGTATACGTAAGTATCATAGAGGTGCACTCCCATTAATAGGAACTGGGAGACGACCGCATTGTCCTTTGCCTAATATTAGAAGTACAACAGTACACTTTTTTTGCTCCTAAGTTTTATGTATAATATATAATATTTAAGGCAGATTTTAATTGTAGTGTGCTTAATAACTTTCAAATTCGACAAAAAATTAAAATATGTCTAGAGAAATTAAATGACAGTGAGACTGAAGTAAGCAGAGTATAGTGACACTAAATCAATATACGTTTCTGTAAGAGTATTTATAATTATATCTCTATATTTGTATGAAGATATGTATATTATGTAATATACTAGACACTATAATACACACACACACACAGGCATACACACACACACACTGGCTAAATTGTATAAAATTAATTAAGTTTATGTCGACATGTAAATTAAAACTGTTATCCTTGTTTTGGGAAGGAACTGCCAGCTGATATACAGCTCACGCTAGTTTGGGAGTCAGGACTGCATAGAACTGTACACTGATGAAGGCTTAAATAAATAATTTAAATAAAAATGACAATATCTATAAATATGTTTAAAGCATGTTTCTAATATATACTTAGAATTATTCGCGCGTAGTAATGAATACTTTTGTGATTAATAGAAATTCCCGATATAGACCTGATTATTGATTGATAATGTCATTATTAAACGATTTCAAAACTCTATGTTTGCGAGAGGGTGAGATAATTACCGAACTGTACTAAAAGTTAAAAGATTCGAATTTCAGAGGGCGCTGTTAAGCAAAATAGTTCGTAGTATTAATGTCACTAAAAGGTGAACAGTTTTTTTGAAGTTTTAAGTTTTGCTAAGTACCCATGCCAAGAGATGAGAAAAAAAATACCCATGAAACGTCACTCAGAGTTGCCAGATGCGACATTATAATTTTCTCAGTTTATTGAATTAATTCAATTGGCTATTTGACAGTTGTAGAAATATAAAATGAAAACTATTTTTTATGGTAGCTTCTTACTAAACAGTAATCATACAATATGTTTTTTGCATTAAAAAACATTATTAATATTTTATTTTTGGAAAATAAATCTGAGTTTTTTATCTGTGGTTTACATGGAGCGGCCATGATTGGTCATCGTATGACGTCATAATTCAATAAATAAAACGTTGCTAAGTAATCTCATGTCATTTGTTCTATAGTTTGCTGAGAAAAATCGCTCAAATATTTCTATTTGTGTTGTCTAAAGTTTCACTAAGTGGAGTTAGGCTATATTGAAATGGATAATGCTAATCTGCACAGATTAGATTCGTTTATAATCGGAAATCTCTTTGCTTGTATTCATGATTTTTGTTCTGCCGAGTTTATTAATTAATGTTTATTTTACCAATAGAACCAATTATACTGTATTGGATGTAATTTTCCATATGATTAGGTAGTTATAAAGAGAAACAAAGTGTCATTAGGTAGAAATTAAGTTTGTTAAGTTCTAAATACTTACATCAAAGTGATCGTTAATTCACATAAGAATATCGCAGACATATCAGACGTAAACATTGATTTCGACGTTTTGGGCATTTAGGAACGTGTATAAACAATTTGTTAGGACACATAAGCACCGCATACGTATTGTAGCTTGGCACTTTCACAATTCCAACAAAATCTGTATACTTATCACTCAAAACAGTTAGAGCGCCGTATAAGCCTTATTTCGTTTATTGAAATATGACGTCATAGCTTGGAAATGTCATGTAACATAGTGTTTTATCGCGAATTTCAAACCAAGAGAAATAAAATTCATGATTTCTCTATCAAATAAAGCTTATTTTAAAAATTAGATAATTGTAGGGGTTTTAAATAAGTCTACAAAAATTATAAAATATATTTCAGAAAATTGTCAGGTAGCCAATTGTAAGTGGTGTATATTTACACTAGCGTGCACGCGGTTTCACCCGCGTAAAATTTATAACCTATATGTTATCGCGATGTACAACTTATGTTTCTGTAAAGTTTCATCAAAATCCGTTCAGTAGTTTTTGCGTGAAAGATTAACGGACATCCGTCCATACTCACAAACTATCGCGTATATAATAATAATAATAATAATAAGATATAAGAGCAACTTGACTTGAAGACTGGCTAAAATGCATAAAAATAGATACAGAAAATAGGCCACAAAGTATAAAGGCGATGGTGATTTTGGTCACCGTAATAGAGAACTACACCAACTAGATTGAATACTTACCTTATAATAATAAGTAACAATATTTAAAATTTTGTTACGAATCTAAAATACTATAGGTATATGATGGAAAACAAAGATTCCATCGCAGAGACCGCAGTAAAGTGAGTATAACCTTACAACGAAATTTCCAAAAAAAATTATAAAAACAGTCTACGCTGTAGAAGTAGGAGTAAGTTATAACAGAAATTTCTCTATAACCTGTCGAATGATGTTGGCTAGTCCGGCAGAATGGGAGTAAATTATGTATTCAAAACGATTATGTTGCATTTAGTAGGTTCGTACCAGATTTGCAGGAAGGATAAAACGAGTAGTAAAAGGTGTAATGTGTATCAGGAGCAAAAGGGGCAGAGATGCTACAAGTCTCAGGATCTGTTCGTTGAAGTTTTTCTTTCTGCTATATGATGAATTTTGCACTTCCACTCTCTCACTAGACCAACGAGGATGTCATAATAACATGTCTAGTCTCTGAATTTGGTCTACGTTTAGATCAATTCATATATCTATCTAGAATTTAGAAATATGAGTAAAAATACATGTATGTTGTTGCAGTTGAGCATTCAGTATTAACATAGTTACCTACAGAAACATATTTAATGATCCTACTTATATTAGAAACTCAAACTTTTTCACTTCGTGCTGGAGACTTACTTCAAAGACAAAATAATATATAAGAAGACTTAATAATTATCATTGGGGCGGCAAGATTGCCAGTAGTGGGATAGATTGCCACTAGGGGCCACCTTACTAACAATGTAGTATATTAGGTTGATTCCCACGTCTCTCTAGAAAACATCGTGGTTAATTACTAGTGAATTCACCACGACGGACCAATGACATTATGCTCACCCTATTATCCTTCTCTGGTGCCCCGCCATCGTATAACATTACCGCAGCCAGATACACCGTTCTATTATCATTCATTATAAAAAATAGCAATGTTAATTCTGCATTAATGAATACATTAGTAGAATAACTGTTTTCTACTGTGTAGTTACTATCATTAGGATGTATAATTACCTACCTTAATCTAAAATATTAGTTCTAAAAACTATATACCTATATAGATGATTTTAAGAACAAATATTTTAAGTCACTAGTTACTATTGTATTCTGTGTTATCTATACTTTTCCATCACAATTCTTAAGATTACATTAAATAAGTACCATATTTTGTTTAATTATGTTTACTTACTATTGATATGTAAGTAGGTATGTTATCTTGCTTAAAGAATTCTTGACCCCTCTATCAATCAGTATACAGAAATCGCTTTTGTCCGACGGACAATAATATGACCACATTTTTCAAAATAGTGTAATAATATAAAATTGTAATAATGCATATGGTTTTAAGACATCGATTATGGCCAGAAAGTGGAGTGTTTCAGAAACAAATTGGAGTGACGAAACAAAATTTATTTAGTAAAAATAAAATCCGTTGTGTGACTACTCTGAGTTCTAAATCGGATAATTTGTTCCCGGAAAGAGTTGATTTTCCAAGTAGGCATATTGGACCCAGAGATCAGGATGTGGTGACTATGTTGGATTTATTAGGTTACAAGGTAAGTTGATATTAATCTGACTTACTTAGACTTATTAGAAACTAGCTATCCGCACCTGGTTCGCACGGGTGTACATGTATTAAACATATAAACCTTCCTCTTGAATCACTCCATCTATTGCTAAAAATGCATTAAAATCCGTTGTGTAGTTCAAGAGATCTAAGGGGACAGACAGCGGGAGCGACTTCATTTTATACTACGTAAAGATAATTCAGAAGTTATTAGAAGCTTATATTCCTCTGTGGAAACGTCAGCAATGTAGGTAACTTATTTTATATTTCAGAGTTTGGATCAATTGACTAATGATGCAGTACCTAAGAAAATTAAATTACAAGAACTTATGAATATCAGTGAACCGATGAGTAAGTACTAGTTTACTATTTTCTAGATACTGTAAGACATGTTTCTTTATGTTTTTTTATGTACTTACCTATTTTATCTTTAGGTGAATATGACCTTATCGAAAGGGTGCGACAAATTGCTGAAAAAAATCAAATATGGCGGTCTTACATTGGAATGGGATATCACAACTGCTGTGTACCTCACACTATTATGCGAAATATGTTCGAAAATCCTGGATGGTAACTATTAGACTTTATATATTTAGTTTTAATTCATTCCATAAAATAATAACAAAACTGAATAATAAAAAATATATGTATTATTCCATACCCAATGTAATATAAGGTATTTTGTTTATAATCGTATATCTATATAGATATAAAAAAAATAAAAAATTTTAGGACAACTCAATACACGCCCTACCAACCAGAAATAGCACAAGGGAGACTTGAGAGTCTTCTTAATTATCAGACGATGGTGAGTGACCTCACGGGTTTAGATGTTGCTAATGCTTCATTACTTGATGAAGGTACAGCAGCCGCCGAAGCTCTCTCATTATGCCACAGGTACGAATCAGAAAATATATAAAACTTAAATAATTAAATTTTATACATGAATGTTGAAAGTCATAAAACATAAACTTATAGGCACAATAAAAGAACAAAATTTGTTGTTTCGGAACGTCTTCATCCTCAAACTTTAGCAGTAGTTCAAACTCGGCTGGATGCATTTGGTTTGGATTTAATTGTTTTACCGGATGTGCGTGAAGCAGATTTTGCACAAAGAGACATATCAGCTGTCCTTCTACAATGTCCTGATACAAGAGGACTAGTATATGATTATTCTGCATTAGCTGCTACAGCTCAAGAACATGGGGTGAGTTAATACAATCATTTTGCATTCTTTCATAATGTATTAAACAACAATCTTGATCTTTTTTTATACTGTACCAGCATAAAAAGGTCAATACACGAACTCCGTAATTTTTTTAGTATAGTATTAGGAACGTATTTTATCAACAATCGTAATTTACTACGTTTATTTGTCAGACTTTAGTAGTAGTGGCAACAGATCTTTTGGCTCTGGCCCTGTTACGCCCTCCAGCCGAATGCGGCGCTGCTCTTGCGGTAGGAACATCGCAGCGTTTGGGAGTGCCTTTATGTTATGGAGGACCACATGCTGGATTCTTTGCAGCCGAACATCCGCTAGTACGGCTTATGCCTGGTCGTATGGTGGGTGTAACTCGAGACGCAGCTGGAAGAGACGCCTACAGGTAAAGTAAATAAATTCAGAATATGGTAATAAAATATTAGGGGAACTTTTACAAACTTTTTATCAATACATATATTCATTTCTAGGTTAGCTCTTCAAACAAGAGAGCAACATATTCGACGAGATAAGGCAACTTCGAATATATGTACAGCACAGGCTCTTCTTGCAAATATATCCGCCATGTACGCTGTATATCACGGTCCGCAAGGACTGCGCGATATTGCAACACGCGTTCATAATGCTACTCTGGTTCTTGACCATGGTAAGAGTTCTGTAAATTAATTATGCTACTGATAATATGAAACCAAAAACAACAACAATTTTATTAGTCGATTTTAAATTTAGTCACCATAATATCTGTTACAATTATTCTTATAGCATTGTTTAATAAGGATGCTCTCTGTTTTTTCTTTTACTTTTAAAGAACGTTAGATACTAAAGAACTATTATTATCAGAGGTCTACGAAATTGTACAAATTAATATAATTGGGATAAATAATATAATAAAATGTACCTAAATAGTATAATGAACAAATTATGGTAATTATAAAATGATATTATTTATAGGTATCCGATTACGAGGTCATAAACAATCAAACGATATATACTTCGATACATTGCATGTAGTGCCGCTGTCAGACCACGATACTAGCATTATCAAAGCACGAGCGGAGGAGAAGAAAATAAATTTAAGATATTTTGATGATGGGGCAGTAGGGGTAGCTCTTGATGAGACCACAACAATGCAAGATGTTGATGACCTTTTGTGGATTTTTGATTGTAAAAATGTTAAAGAAGTATGTATGGTGATTAGCATTACATCGCTTACTCTTTCTATGAATATTTATTTATTTATGATTTAAATGTTATAGGTGATGCAATCTGATAATGTAAGATCACGAAGCATTCTGAAGGGATCATTCAGAAGAACTTCACCATATTTAACACATCCAGTGTTCAATATGCATCACTCAGAAACACGAATTGTTCGATATATGAAAAGATTAGAAAATAAAGACATATCCCTCGTACACTCTATGATTCCTTTGGTGAGTAATTAATATGAGTTCAAATATTACACGAACACGACAAAAAAACTAGGAAAATAAGTAAATATGTATTTATTTCCAATTTAATGTGTATTTTCTATTATAAAATTATATTGGCTTCAGGGCTCCTGTACAATGAAACTTAATTCAACAACAGAGATGATGCCATGTTCTTTTAAGGAATTCACTGACATTCACCCTTTTGCTCCATTAGAACAATGTCAGGGTTATCATACATTGTTTGAAGAGTTAGCCAACGACCTGTGCGCGATCACCGGCTACGATCGCGTTTCTTTTCAACCAAACAGGTATTAATACAATTAGGTTGCAAATTACCTTTTATGTTTCAGTCTCATCTCGAATAAAATCGAACGTGCTGAAATTAGAACTCGATACATTGTTTTATTATAGATTAGTGATTTATATTATTTTAATTTGTACTGATAATATTTCATATTCAGCTCTATTGGTAGCGCGGAACTATTATTAAATACCGTTGAAAGATATTTTTGATACAGATGAAAGTTAAATAATTAAAATCGTAAATTAATTCTTTATATATTGTTATAAGTTATGATATATAGATATGGAATTTTATTTTTATAAGAACATATAAGCATTAATTTCGGTTAACTTCTAGTGGAGCCCAAGGAGAATATGCCGGATTACGAACTATAAAACGCTATCATGAATTTCGAGGTGATACTGAAAGGAATATTTGCTTGATCCCTGTAAGTGCTCACGGTACAAATCCTGCATCTGCTCATATGGCGGGCATGCGTGTTTGTGCTATTCGAGTTACGCCTTCGGGTGATATTGATATGGAACACCTTAAAGATATGGTAAGAAACTTGTATAAAATTCCAATGTAATAAAAGCGCCTTTTTAAAACTATTGCTAATATTGTAAATAAATTAATTTTAGGTATTTAATAAAGTGAATTTAGTAGATAATGTGACGTCGTCCTTTAAGAAGTAGATGAATTATTTTATAAAACGATGTATATTATGATATTGTACGGTATTTACTTTAATAGTGCGTATAGACAACTTGTCAGTATAAACCTTACCTCAGGATTACTTAGATTATTGTAATTTCATCAGGTAGAAGAACACAGCAAAAAACTGTCGTGTTTAATGTTAACATATCCTAGTACTTTCGGCGTGTTTGAAGAACGTGCCGCAGATGTATGCGATTTAGTCCATGCCCATGGTGGTCAAGTTTATTTGGATGGCGCTAATATGAATGCTCAGGTTAGATAAAATTCTTTTTGATAAAATAAAACTAATTGTTTTTTAAAATTTAATTAATGTTATTTAACAATGCCTGATTTATAATATAATTATGATACATATTTCAGGTGGGACTTTGTCGTCCTGGTGACTACGGCAGTGATGTTTCACATTTAAATTTACATAAAACATTTTGTATTCCTCACGGTGGTGGTGGTCCTGGTATGGGACCTATAGGAGTGTAAGTCGATAAAAAAGTTGTTTTAACTGACTGTAACTATAACATCTTTTTGTAGGTACATATACATATTTTTTTAAGAGTTCTTTATTTATTTATTCTTTAATGCACAATATAACTTGTACAAAGGCGAGCTTAATGCCGTATGGCATTCTCCACCAGCTAACCTTTAGGAATACAGAAAGCATTATGAGGCAGTTCTTTCAAAAAACAATCACAAGGTTACTAATAAATATTATATAATATATATGAAATGCAAATAAATATATACATATAATAATATATATAGTATACCTGATATTATATAATGTCATACATTAATGCTAAATATAGATAAATATAATACTAATACAATGCAATACAGTTATAACTCATTTTGGTGATTCAAAAGAAAATTAAATAATTTCTTTTTAAAAATGGGCTTACTCGATGCTTTTCGCAGGTTCACAGGTATTCTATTCCGTTAGTAAGTTCGTTATAAATGTAAGTTTATTATCATTTCTTTTTTTAGAAAAGCACATTTAGCACCTTTCTTACCATCACACCCAGTGGTAGATCCTCTAGCAGATTTGGGTGATGCAGCACACAGCTTCGGATCGGTCAGTGCTGCGCCTTTTGGCTCATCAGCAATCCTTCCCATTTCATGGGCCTACATTAAGGTAATATATCACTTTCTAAATTAATAATAGAAGCAGCGAACATTAGTATACAAATTGTATCCAGTGATCAAACGGCAAGAGATACGTCCTTAATTTCAATACGTTGTGGTGGTATGTTATACTTGTGATTTTTTATTGATTTTAGATGATGGGACCTAAAGGTCTAAAACGTGCAACTCAAATAGCGATCCTTAATGCCAATTATATGTCAAAAAGATTAGAAGATTATTATAAAACTTTATACAAAGGTGAACGTGGGTTAGTTGCACATGAATTCATTATAGACGTACGGGATCTCAAGAAAACGGCGAACATTGAGCCAAGTGATATTGCTAAGCGGCTTATGGACTTTGGTTAGTGTATTAAAAATTATTTCTATAGAATTATTCAAATGTGTAATAATTTAATTACGTAATTTGTGTTTTATATCTATAGTTTAGGCCTGATTACTTGTGTATATATTATATATATATTCAGTAGCTCTAACATTTTTATATCATAACTCCAACAAAAATAGGTATTAAAACCTTCTTAATTATTTACTTCATAATATTTAAATATAGAACGCTGTGTTCTAATAATTACGATTGTCATTTGTTTTTAATGTGCTTCAATATTTTGTTACACCGCTAATTATATCGACATTTTAATAAATATATATAATTACGATTTAATTTACAATTAGGTGTTTTATAATTATTTACAACGAATACATTCACGCACCTCGTTGAGTTTCCAGATTCCACCCCTAACATTTTATTTTTTGGATAAAATTAAACTATTCTAAAAAAAAACTATCGCATATAAACTAAAATAATTAATTATGAATATGGGAAATTCCCGCGTTATACGAATATGAAAATACGTTGTAAGAGTGCCTTGTTATAGGAGGGATTACTGTATATTATGTACTTCAAGTCCATAATTATAATATAATTTTACATAGGTTTCCATGCACCAACGATGTCTTGGCCGGTGGCTGGTACTTTGATGATTGAGCCCACAGAATCCGAAGATCTTCTAGAACTGGATCGGTTTTGCGAAGCGCTTATTGTAATAAGGAAAGAAATTAAAGACATCGAGGATGGTGTAATTGATAAGCGTATAAATCCTTTAAAGGTGAATTTTAAAACTTACCTTTTTGTTTTTATAATTAGTGTTAGTGACTATTTTATAAAATATAAAAAAAACACTCTATTTTTAATTAGATGGCACCTCATACCCAGGAAGAAGTTATGGCAGAAGATTGGAACCGGCCTTATTCACGTGAACAAGCTGTATTTCCCGCTGTAAGTAATCTATATACTTTTGTATTTTTTTATTTGTTTATTTATAATGTAAACAGTAATTACCTAATTTCATTTTCAGCCATTCGTAAAGGGCGAGTCCAAAATATGGCCAACAGTGAGCAGAATTGATGACATGTACGGTGACAAACACTTAGTGTGTACCTGTCCTCCTGTGATCGATGATTTCTAACTGTATCTTATTTTATGTTAAATTAATTATATTTGTCATCATTATTTACTGGTATACACTTTATTGTTTACTGGTTCTTTTAATGAAAAACCTGTCAGTAATCGCATATTGTATATATTTCGTCAATATTGTCGTAGAATAAATAATTTTTTCCAACAACAAAATCATTATCAACTGGCAAAGATAGAACTTTAAATCTATAGCATAGTTTGTAATTATTTTGAAATAAAGTATTTTAACTTTAAACAAGTAGTATCTATAACTATTTTATATTTATAATTACATTGTATTGCGATGCATTATTTATTACATTATAACATTTAAATTGGATTAAAGGCAACATGTTAATCTTGTTTCTAGCTCAAATATTTACTCTGGAATACGATAGCTTATGAAATGTGTGTTAATAATGTAAATAAATATTTTCATTGCTTGAGCTTAACGTATTCCGAGAGTATCAATAAAAAAAAATCATAATTAAGATTCAACATTAAATTAAATAATTTAAAATTGTAATAATTAAAATTATTTACAATAAATTTAAGAAATGATAATAACTAATTTACATTAATCATAATTATTTTACTTTTTCATTAAACTAATAAAAATATCATAATTAATAAAAATATACTTTGTCATATATTAACTAGATCAAATAAAAAGATTTATTAAAAAAAATCGTCAAAATTAAATAGGCAATAATAACTCTCAACAAAAGTATACTTTATTTAGATGGGGAATTCATGGTATCTTTTGGATACATGCCTAATTTTATGCCAAGTTCCTTTGGCAGACGTATAGATGGGCGCGTTGGGAACGGATGGTAGGAACTTGATGATGGACTACGTGGATAAGAAAGAGATGAAAGTGGATCTGTTTCTAAAACCGAAGTGATACCACTATATGTATCATCCGATTCCACTTTTGTTTTATCACTTATTTCTAACATGTCCTTTGGAGTATCTCTAGGAAAAACCTTGGGCGATATTGGAGTGGATACCTGGTCAAGTGACGTAATTTGACACAATGTATCGCTAGAGTTGCTTTTGGCTCCCATTGGTGAGTCATCGTCTACTGATCGTTCATAAGTGAAACTAATAGAAGAAGTTACTACATTAGTAAAATCACTAACTTGGCTGTTTTCAGTCTTCGATAAATTCTCACAAACTTTCGGGCCCTGGTCGACAGTTTGACTACATATATCACTTGCTTTAGATAAAATAAAATCATTATATTTAGTAGAGAGCTGATAATCATAATCTCCTTGTATAAAAGGTTTATCGTATAAAGACAGGTCTTTCGGTTCTGTTAATGGCGGAATAGGACTTCTTGATTCACCTGAGAATGAATGTTGAGACCATTCGGATGTTGTAGGCTTTAATTCACTACTGTGCAAGTCATCTTGTCTAGATTCAGAAAGTAACTTGATATTATAATCGTATTCGAATTTGGATTCCGGTTTCATTGACGAGCTTTTAAATTCACATTTTGCTAAAAATCCCTTATTTTCCCATCCATATAAATCCGTTTTATTACCTAAACATTCAGTACTGGGAGTCTTTGAAGTTTTTGGGGGAAAATTTTCACTTCTAGATGCAATATTGTGTACTTCTAAAGAAAATGGGTCATCTATTGATATAGGTCTGATTCGCACAAATTCATTTTTTTCTGTAGTTACGCTATTTACCCTATTTTTTCTATACCCTATCAACGAATCTGAAGTTGATTCTTTGAGTAATGGTGAATCAATCTGTTTACTTTCAATATTGTTATCAATTAGGCTTTCATCTTTCTTTGTTTTCAGCATCTCTAGTGACTTTTCATAAATTTTAAAATCTTCATTCTTTTTTGTATTATTAGTTTCTGGTATATTTTGTTTTGTTAAAATTCTACTCAATATTTTAGAGTTTTCTTGTATAATTTGTAATGCTCTTTCACTATTTTTTCGACCCGAACGTAGAATATAATCTTTAGGAGAAAAACATTCATCTGTTTTGGTTTCTTGTCTAGTTTTCGGGGATTTAGGAGAAATCAACGATTGAGCTACACAAACTTCCTTTGCATTATCTCCAATGCAGTAGCCTTGTTCTATGTTTGGACTAGGATTGCTTGTAAAACTATGACTTTGGGGTAAAGAAGATGCTCTTTCTACTTCTGTTTTTATTAATTTTTCATTGGTGTTTACATGAATAGTCAATGAGTCTGGCTTTCTAGGCAACCTAGAATGTCGCTTCGTTGGTCTTCTATTAGGAATATCAGAATTATTGGGATCCGTCACACGCGCACCAAAAAATTCCGGACTATGTTCGAAGTATTTGTCGATTTTTAATTGTATTGGAGGTTCATCTTCGCTTACAATAATGCTATCAGCACCAGGACTTCTTGGTGGGCTATCAACATCTGATATATTTTTATCCGATAAATCTATGTCTGGAACGAAGTTTGGGTATATTGTAAAACTGTCTATTAAATCAGGAGGTCTTGACGTTGTGTTTACCTTAGAAATAGAAGTATGCTTAAAGTTAGACTCAAAATTAAAATCATAAGGAGATTTGTATTCAATGTTACAGTCACATGGAGATAGATCAATAGGACTTAATTCGGTAAAATTTTTAGAAGCTTTTATAAGATTCATAGGCCTAACAGTGTCACTGAATTTTAAAGTATCATCACATTTAACTTCAGTATTTTTTTGTAGTATGTCGCATTTTTCGGATGACATTAAAGAAGAATAAGGAGGCATATTTTTATATGGACTTATAGGTTTGTATATTTCACTTTCGCCTCTTAAAATCAGACTATCTTTTAATTTACTTTCGAATCCATCAATATAAGTGCGTAGTGGTTCACCTGCAGCAGATTCTAAATAGTCACTGATATCTTTAACTGGTTTTTCTGGAGATATTATTTTAGAACCAATATCAGGTGTATTTTTTATTCTTGCTTCTTTAACCACGGGTGATGTTACGGTTAATGGAAGTTTATTTTCTTTGAAAATTGGAACAGGAGAAATCTTTTTATCATGATGTTTTTTTGTTACTTTTTCATTGTCATCATCGACTAATTCTGATTCTGAATCGCTAGCTTTTTCGTTATCATCGCAAAGACTAGTATCAGTACTAGATGCTGTGCGAGATGAATATGAAGAAGTTTCACTTGAGCTACGTGACCTCAAAGAAGCAATCATTTCACTGGCTTCCAATTCAGATACGATAATTCCATCTCCTGCCTCATCAGAATCAATTGAAGCTTTTCTATTTTTGTCTTTAGGGTTTTCCTTTTTTACATCTTTCCATTTCAATGAATTTCTTCTACTAAGTGACTTACGACATTGTTCTTCTTTCCAACTGATAGTGTCATTTGAACGGCCTCGAGGACGTAATTCAGTTTTTTCTCGAGGTGATATTGGTTGTCGGGACGGTGGAACTGCCCCTGGTGGAGGCCCAAGTCTGCGCCCTCGTGAACTAACTATTGCACTTTTCCCTAATAATAAATTATTTACCGTAAGAGAAGTGGGCGATGTCGGAACACCAACTGAAATTTTTAATAAAATATTTTATTAATTTCGTAATTTTATTTATATCTATAAAACAATTATATACATATATATAGCGAGTGTTAAAATAAGATGAATATAAAGCTGATATTTATTTAACTCATGTCAATTGTGCAGACTAAAATAGAATCCTTCTTAATTTCAGAAATTTTTATACTTATCAATCTATTTTTAAGAGTTCTAAATCGTTCGTCGTGAAATATGCCTATGTATTAATTAATTTACTAATATACCTATCGTAGTTCCTCAAATGTGGTAAATTATTAATTTTAACTTAATCGTTATAGCATTATATTATATTTATTCGGTAATAAGTAATGAATTACCTGCTGCATGTCGGGCACAAGCAGCTGCTAAAATAACATGGGCTTGCCTTTGCCGTTCTCTTAAACGAGCATATTGACGTTTTAAAGCTCCAATATCTAATGAAAGTCTGTCACCAGCACCCAAACGATTTTCACGTCTAGGTACGACCTGTAATGAGTAACTTGAATTTATAAACAATTTTATTACACACATGAAAAATAATAGTTTTTTCTATCTCTAACTGAGAATCAACTATAGCAAGGCTGTCGACTACAAAAGCTATAAATTTAATATTAGGTAAATGCAAATGCAATTTGATACATTTTACAAATTTGAGAAACAAAATACAAAGTTAAGTCGCAATATTGTATGAATAACTAATTACATACATGTATTAAATTTCTTTTGCCAGTATAGTTTTTCTTAGAATTTTGTATAACTGTTAATAGTTACAACGTTATGTTTATTATATATGTACTTATACTTATCTCCGCATAAATAAATAAAATTCCTAAACATAATGTCTTTGTTAGTTTAATTATTAAAGACTAAGTAAAATCACACTGAAATTTTCTTATGTCTAGGAAACAATATATTATAGTTTAAGTTTTATTACCGTAGCTAATGCCATTTTATTCCCATCATCACTTGAATCACCCTCATCTTCAGAATAAAATAAACGGAGTCCTCGTTTAGTCATTGAATGCATCTGAAAATAGATAAGAAGCTAGTAATCGAGTGATCTTACAATACGTAATAGACTATTATTTTAAGATAGCGCTGTATATATATTCCACTATCTATGGTTTTAAAATTGAGGAATAACAATAATTCTCTAGGGCCTTATACCTACCGCAGAATGTAAAGGCGGCTGATATACTGGTGGTACATTAGGAGGAGTTGGTGGAGCTACTCTATATCTATGTAGGTTCCGAAGTCGTGGTAACTCTGGTACAGATCCAAATGTCACCACTTTTGCAACAAGACCATCACCAGCTGCCCACACTGCACTGGCGCCGCCGCCCATACAACTGTAGAATTCGTCTGCTGAGCGCGCAGATAATATACGGCTGAAATTTTTAATTGTGTTTATTTTTAGCTTCATCATCTTCAATGACATCGAAATTGTTTATTGCTTTGCAAAAACAAGTTATTATTTTATAGTTAAAAAATTTAATTTCCATATTCCATGCTATTCTATGTAATTTAATTGAGGTAGTTGATAACTAACGACGACGGTTTATATGTCCAAGGGACTGACCCTTAGACAGATAAACCATTATAAGTTGCAGAATAGAAATAACAATAATGAATTGTAGTCTGCAGTAAACGACAATTTTACATAGTAATGAATTGTAAGAATTATTGATGATCAAATGGACAGTACATATCTACGGAGGATACTTACTCTTGCAACATGTCCCAAATTGCGAGTGCTGTGAGCAATAAAACCTCATTTCCGTCTAGTAAGATCAGATCCCAAATACGCAACAATGATTCCCGCGGTAGCCAAGTAGCGTACAGAGTGAGAAACCACTGCATGGTGAATACATCTGGCAGAGGAGGTTCTACACCTCCACCTATAACGCAAATAAACAAATATTAGATAGACAGCGTAAACAAATATGGCTAAGTAACAAATAACAATAATGACATAACACTGTAATAAATTAATAGTCTAGTCTAGACGCGATGTGTGTGATAAAACTTTAGAACTGTTTCATAATAAGAAGAGGATATACACCATCCACAAATAGAGACACAAATTTCATGCTTTTTTGCAACGAATGCTCACCATCTGATATCCTTTGTAAATGGTCCATATGATTTGCAAGTCGAGGTAAACGTATTCTTAATAAATCTCTAAATGCAGCCATATCCGCGGACAGTCCACGAAGATCATCTGCGAAATAGCCTTCGGGTAACACGGCTTCTACCAAGTATATCATGACCTACGACAAAATTAAAGTATATATTAGATTACAAAATCATTTAAAATAATATACAAAACAGGTAAATTTTATACCTTTAAAGAATCAGATTCGGATTTTTCCATAACCTCCAGTATTATTGCTGCTAACATATTGAAGCCTTGACAGTAACCTACGTCTTTATTCCATCTGTAAAAGTGCAATTCCAGTCTCAATATTAAGCTTATATAAAATTCATGAAACAATAGTAAAGATTATTTAATACTTTTAAAAACGAACCTTGCATATGCTAACAATACCCTGCGGAGCATGGCTTGATTTTCTCGTCCTTCTGTGCCACAAAATAGAGAGCAACCAGTTCGATGTAAATCCTAAGAAAAAAAACAACTTAATCGCCAGTATGAATCTCTGTTGTAATACAGAATTTAATGTAATATTGTTTTATACATCTATAATTAAAATGTACATAATAAATACATATATAATAGAAAATGACTAAAATTTAAATCTATTGTAACAAGATACACTATGTGTGTAAGTAAATTAGAAATGGAGTATCTAAATAAGCTCGTTATTTAATAATTTGGTAAAAATAATTTAATTTATTATTAAAACTGGATGTTTTGGAGACTTGAATTTCTTATTACGTTTTAGTTCGGTTATAATTAGCACCTTGAGAATTTGAGCTCCCAGTTCAGTGTCATCGGGTTGAGCAGTGCCGCGAAATGAAGCCCGTTCCGCTGTCGGCCAGTCGACACCTCTTGCAGTCAAATGACGTTCTGCTAATGTCAGCCATAACTGGATATCAAAATATTTTGACGCATAATATTAAATAAATATTTCAAACTTATTCTAAATTTGTTTTTATTGGTATTGAAAAAGATATCGGGTGAGGTTTGAAATTTGAATGTTAACTTGTTTACCAGAATTTAATTTAAGAATCTCTATGTTTACGATGTTAGTAAGAAGAAATAAGAATATAATAATATATAAGAAATCTGATGTATAAGTTATGTTACTGTAAAGTTTCATCAAATTCCGTTCAGTAATATTTGCGTGAAAGAGTAACAAACAAACATCCATCCATCAATCTTGGATAGATCCATATTTTAATTAAAATATCATCGGATTATTCAATTCATTTCAAAAGTTTTTCATAGACATCCAAGATAGTTGACATGCAAAAAGCTATATAACGTATAAAATATTGTAGTACATTTAACAAGGCTTTTGCAAAATATACCTGTAAAGGTAAGACGTTAGCGTTGTAAATTATAGATAGCTATTATTCAATAAAACTATTCTAATATAGGTACTATAAATTTATAAATGAAACTAGTAATGGTTTTAAATATTTTGTAAAATAGCTGAGTATTCTGACAATTACATGTAAATAAAGACAAAAGATGTGCACATGCATTACAAACTCATTGTTGTAATATATATTATGAGTATTGAGTACCTTCTTTCGAAAATGTAGCGGAACGCCGGCAGGCAGGCGGGCGACAAGCCGCATAGCATGCAGCCATTCAGCGTATCCGCCCTCGCCGGGGCCTTCGCCCCCGTCGTTTGGACACACGCCAAACCGCGCGCCACTCTCGCCCGCTAAAGAAAATACGTCTTTTTACTACATATGTATGACAAAGTTTAGGAAGGTATCAGATTTCTTGACGATGTATGAAATATTTTTTACATTAATTTTGTAAAGGATTAACCATTACATAATAAATATCTACGTAACTTTAATTTATAAATCATCGCAGATGTGGATTGGAATAAGAAGAACAGCCGAATGTTGTAAAATAACGTTCTATATGTGCTATTCGTGAGGGCTAAGGTTACTTCCAATAATTGCAAATATCTATCTGTATATTATAAATAATATGTGTAGACAGCAAACCGTATTTGAATATAAAAAGAAATGAATTGTCTATTATTATTTCTATAAAAGTCTTGCCAATATTTTACATCTTAACTATTATAAACTCATTCATATATATAAGAACAGATAGCCAGAAATAACCTAAAGTCAACGTAATTTATGAATATAATCTACAGATATTTTCAAAGATATTAATTACAACCGATGATATTTACATCACAAATTAATCGGGATAACTTCCTATCGAAGAAACACGATCATTAACATATTAGATTATTACCTCGGAATAAATTAAATTAAGATGTTAGTTTGTTGAAATAAGTAATGTAACAAAGGAATTTGTATAACTATATTTTTCCTCACTATTTAAAGTTTATAAGAATATCTAATTCAAATCTTCATTGGATTGCGAAAGAAAAATACTTATAATAAGTTCAGGTACGAAATAAGGAAACAAGAAATACCTACCTAAATAGTAGGCACTGAAAATTATGTTCATTGCACATTAGCTCAATCAGACTATTATTTTACAGTTTACTACACACCTGTGCCAGCCCTGGATGACGCTGCTAAGTTTCGGAGGGAGTTCAAAATAGCGCTCATCTGTCCAGCACGCTGTACTCATATGATAATGAACGCATACCGTAAAAATTGCACCAGCCAATGTGTTAACAACCTATGTAACCAATTCGCTGCAGTGTTACTGCGGACTGGTGAGTGCGTGCATCCTTGGGTTACGAATGCAGCCCGTTATTAGCATATCGAGAGGGTAAAACACTCAGTATCATTGAAAACTCAAAGCACAAATATGAATTATTATATGCCATATCTCGATGGCATTTGAGACTGCGTAGTCGGCCAGCTGATACGATGTTTACTGGGATTGTCGCGAAATGGAACGGAGGGTTCCTTCGCCTTTTACTACGGCACTGCATAGAAATTTGGATTGCGTCGACATCTAGACACTTTACATACAGAAAATCGACCATAGTCACGATAAAATGTCGTTGAAACGTTTCGTGGTGAAAGCTTATGGACATGCGCAGAGGATACCTGGGTTGTCTGTGTGTGTTATATATATCGATTTAGCGCCATTGTGTACGTCAGTATCGGATACGAATAGACGAGAATAGCCACCTTTGACTATTTTCCTTTAGTGCGGATAAAGTTATTTTGACCCCTTATGAATGAAATCATTTGATTATAATATGTAATGATACATTCTTACAAATCACACAATTTTCTACTTTATTACAAATCAAATGTTAAGATAGACAGTAAACGATTAGCGCCTGGAATATTAATGGTTAAATTAATTCTATTTTCAAATTTAATTAATACACAGTGCTGAGATAATAGAAATAGCTTATCCACAATTTTAATAAAAGTAAGCCTCAGGCTATATATAAAAGGCTTGATATATAAATATAACTTTAATTAGAGCAATATACCTACTGTAATCTAGATAATATAATTCAATGTATGTATATGAACTGACTCATATATATATGAAATAAAAAATATTTTTTAATTCAAATATAATAATCAATATTATGCCTATATTATGAAAACAGTTTTTGAAAACCCATGTACTGAACTCGAATCCCTGACTCCTTTAAGAAGAAATTTATTGAGCTCTTTCTTGGTTTGTATTTTACTTTGTACAGGTATTCCAGGCAAAGTATATATCAATATTCAATATACTAAATATTTGATAAAATTTATACCGATAAGATTTGTATATAACATTTTCTTACTGATGTGTCGAAGCAAAACAGTGAATGCAGCACATAACCTCTTCTGTTGTCGTCGAAGTCGGTCTCTGACTCGGACGCTCCTTGCCAAACGTTCACCAGTTATTTTCAATCTATTTTCCCATTCCTCGGTTTGTTCTTTAAGTTCATATATATCTGCAAATAAATAATTATAAAAACATAATATAGTCAAAATACTTACGGTATAAAGATTACGGTTATGATGAGAAACAAGCTGAGGGCCTATTTTATGGAAAGTGATACCAGAACAAAGTCACGGATATCGCAGAACAGAACACAATTTTTTTTCTCTGTACTTCATATTTTCACAGACAGACTATAGTTACAGATTTTAGAATTCTACATATCTAGAAAAATAATACCCAATACTATTTACTCTGCACCAATAAGCATACGCAAAGCATCTGAATCATTCTTTTAAATAGTGGTTTACGGTAATGATGATATCTTGATAATTATTTACCTAATGATTCTAGATAATTGCGTTCGATGGCATCAGTTTGGTCAGTACAAGAGGTCACGGATGCAGCTGACGTTGATCTGGAATTATAACATTTGTTAATTTGAAAAAATGTTATACCTAACCATATATTTTATATTTTGTTACAGCATAAAATATTACCCTTGGCTATAATCGACAATGCTATCGTTACTCCAGTTTTGTTGGTCACCGTATAACTCACTCAGCAAATCTTCCACTAGCTTTTTTACATTCTGCTTCTGTAATATTTGTTTAAATATTTTATAATTAGTGAAGTGAAACATTAACGCAGACAATAAAAATATACCTATAAGAATAAAATAACGTATGTATGTTAGAGTTATGTTCTGAGGAACTGTTCGTTGAAGCTTCACGAAGCAACTCTCTATCACTGAGGACATCATTAAATACATGTCTTAGAATCTAAAGTATTAGCAAAACTTATAGTCTCTGATAACTTTAGCACTGGAATATGCTCCCTAGCAAATTGATCATTGTCACCAGTACTTTGTTCGTGACAACCATACTACAGTTAATGTGGCTATTACTATTATTCGTATACTAATTAAATATATACAATAACTATCATAAATACATTAAATGAGTGACAAATTAGTATTACAATATCTCTAAATCTGCATGCGATGGTGTGAAATTCTATGATAGTATATATATCTAGGTATAAATTGTTAGAGCTCGAATAAATCAAACTGGTGGATTTCTAATATTTTCTGAAAGATTTTCGGATGAGAACTAAAGAGGTAGATTTTAGAGGTATGCTGAAAACAATTGTTTATATGAGTACGTCATTATCACCCATCAGCCGCCAAGTCCTACAACCGAAACACAACTTACAATACAAGCAGCATTGTTAGTTGTGTTTCGGTTGTAGGGATTAGGCAGTTACATACTGGATTAGAGGCATGACATGTTAGTCCTATGGAATGACAATATATGAGCGATATCACGGTATGTCCGTACTTTGTGTATATAAGTGACGGTTATCACCCATTTACCTTCAGCTTGTTTGTCATTTTAATTGCATAAAAAAATAAGTGGACGGCGTTTCTACAAGTATATAAAAAACAAATTATATTGAGTATTTTACCTGCGAATAGTCTTTATTTAACAGTGGTGGATGTGGTGGTGGTAATTTCGGCGGTTTCTTTATATCTTTTAATTGTGGTACTTTTATTGCGTTCTTCTTTTTCACAGGTCTCGGTCCAGAATTTAACGTAGTAAAATCCAATTCAAATTTCACTACTTTTAAATTTATTGGTTGATGTATACTTATCGTTTCCATTTATGTTTTGATTCTATCGTTATTATTTATACAATAAAATTATAGGTTATTGGAATTACAGGTTATTAAGTTTTCTGGTATTCAATCTCACTACAATGTGACATGCTTTTTGACACACAAAAATATTTTGATTAGTTTTATAAATTTGTAATAATTTATGAATTATTATAAATTTATAAATTTATTTGACGTCACTAGATTTAAAAAGTTTTAAAGCATCACGAATGGCCTCTTGCTTGTGGTGTTAAAATTAAAGTGTTTTGATTTATATAGGAGTAAAAATAAACTGACTGGGATTATTGACGAATGAACGAATATGCGTGGTAGTGTACAGTAGCAGCATGGCTTGTGATAGTCACCCACTCGTTTGTTGTCGGTTGTCGTCCTGATACTCTTGATAAGGACTAATATATTCACTCGAATGCATGCCCAATGAGCTAAGCCTCGACGGGTATTATACGCAGAACAATTTATTTTTATTAAATAAAGAGTCACTAGAAAGTTTTTAGATCTTAAGGATTATTGATAGTAAATCGTAGGATTTAAATTATGTCTATATGTATGGGAATTTTCCTTACGATAGCTAGGCTATTATTATGTGGAATTGACTATTTAATTTAAAAAATAAAATACAAACAGCAATCATCAGTAGTCATGTCTATATTTTATTTTAATATAAAAACTTTTTATTTATTACAATATAATATCATAATGATTAGTATTATTATAAATTATAATATCATATTGATTAGATTTTGATTCCACAGAACCAGTAGTACTTAGTACTAATTCCGGCATCGTTACAGCGATAGCGATTGTAGAAATGAAAATAAGTTCTTATTGTTACTGAATTTATATTTTTAATTTATTACTAGCTACTCGCCCCAGCTTCGCCCAGGTATATATGTATTATATATATAAAACGTCCTCTGCTATCACTCTATCTATAAAAAAAAAACCGCTTCAAAATTCGTTGTGTAGTTTTAAAGATTTAAGCGACAGCGACTTTATTTTATACTATTTAATGATATGCATTACACTATACAGAGGTATATTATTATATACATATACATATACATATTTTTTATTTTCAGATATTTTTTATCTAAAAAACAATATAATCTCATTTGTATGATGAAGACATGTAACGACAAATATTGCATTAACGTCAATCGTCGATACTAAAAATAAATAATGTATAGTAATATATTATATAGTGTAATATATAGACGCTAACAGAACATAATACATAATATTCTACCTAATTACAATAACGGTGTATAGTAATGACACGTAACAGCTTGTAATTTAACCGATGGCACCAGGCTATCCATATGGTAAAATGAATGTTTTTTGAAAAAGAAATGTTTTAACTAAAAATATATATAAAAAATTGTTAATAACACGCAAGTGAGCGTTGATCCTTACGTTAATAATATGAATATAAATAGATAAAGTTACAAGTTGGTGAATTTAATTATTCCACCACATATGTCTCACATACAGAACTCGCCAGAAGTTTTTTAACGTTTAAATGTCTATTTTTTTCATGGATGATAATGGAATGATGCACCCGCCTGCGCTAACAGTTTACGCTGGCGGGGAGCAGTGGAGGATGATAAGATGAGCAGGAGGTCAGGTCAGTTAGACCTTAGTGACAAATTTACCAAGAATTTATCACAATGGTTTCCAGGGAAACCGCGTGGAGGTCAATCTGACATGGTACATTGCTAGCAATAAGATCATCAGTCCACATTACTAACAAACCCCTTTCCCCCTATAAATGTCTATTATTATTACCGTTTACCGAAGTAAAACTTTGTAGTCGTCTGCGTGAGCTTGTCTAACGTATTTCAGCTGCCAAGCAGCTTACTTGGTATGTAAAGATGTGTTTTTGTTGAAGATTGAGATAAGGCAATAAAATTACAGTATGAAATCTTAGTCTTTGTGGTCGTCACACGATGACGTGATCCGCCATCGTCCGCGGAATTTGCATATTGTTTTTTTTAAAACACTTTGTTATATATATAACTAGTTGTTCCCGCGACTTCGTCCGCATAGAATTTATTTTTTTCTAAAGTGAAAGTGACCTAAGTTACTCCTTAATACACCAGCTACCTGCCAAAGTCCCGTCAAAATCGGTCCAGTCGTTTCAGAGATTAGCCGGAACAAACAGACAGACAAAAATTGTAAAAAATGTATATGCATGTAGTAAAAAGCGGTTATTTCAGTATTACAAACAGACATTCCAATTTTACTTATATGTATAGATAATGTTAAAGTTTGCTTAGTTTTTCTGTTTCTATGGTAATAACGATCCATTGTCAAGGAGATATTGTATGTTTGTTACAAGTTGAGGGATATCGTAGTTCCTTATTTCCTTTTTAATTTTATTTCCACACAATGAGCAACAGCCAAGAGGCAAAAGAACAAAAAACACAACCAGGATTTTGTTCCGCTACCTGTGTAGATAGAGCTAGCCTTCAAAAAGAAATCATGCAACCTGAACAGAAGACTTCAGATGTGTTCATTACTTGCAATCTACCTAAAAGATTTGATCACCCACGTACGTAATCGATTCTCTACAGAGTACAGTGAATAAAACTTATTTTAAATTAGTCATAATGCCAAATAAAATTTAATACCTAGTTTTATTATATTTATTATACTCGTATTTACTTATGTAGGCGTAAATAGAGCCTTAGAAGATTGTTGTCAATGTGTAGTGAATATTATACTCAACCACACGAATGAATGAACTTCTTTTAATTTTTCTTTTTCTGATGCAGTCATGAATATTTTACATTAAAAAGTAGTAAATTTTAAATATGTAGTACTCGTACTTCAGTTTGCTGATTTGTTTTTTCAACATTTTATCCATTGTGCGTCCTGTTGGTGCCTATAAATGTTTTCAAAGAAAAAGGCTATAAATAAAAAAAACATTGCTTTAAAACCGCTGTCGCTGAGCAAAACATTATAGTTTGTATATTCTCAGTCAGTATTATAAAAATACAGAAATTGAAGACAGAAATTTGTAACTACTTTTATATTATAAGCTATCTCTATATTATTTTTATTATATATATTCACTGTATATAGAGATTGATATTGTCTAAAGTCATAAATCAGAAGAAATGCTAACTTTATACAGCAAGACTTTTTCGATTACACAATTAGATGTAGATTGTTTCTCACATACCTTTTTGTTAAAAAGACGTGTGTAAAAAGATAGATATAAAAAGATTTGGAATATAAGTTTTCGTCAATTTATCCTATATGATGATGTAACTGATGTACGTTTATTCAAGATGTATAATGCATTTTTATTCCAAGACCACAGATAACTAGTCTCTGATCAGCAAACAAATTAACATAACATAGAATGCACACTAATTATTTGCAAACTTACCTAACGGGGTCGATGAACTTGTTGGTTGCTGTATTATGCGGGTTGTAGAGCAGGTTCAAATCAATAAAGGAAGACTTGATGTTATCCAATGAATAGATTAATTGTGAATCACATTTGTGTACTTACATAGTTTCTGTTGAGACTGTTACATTAATTTATTAAATTTCTTGCACAATCCTGGTGAGTGCCATTTACCAGGATTATAAATCCTTGAAAGGTGCTGATGGTATTTATTAATAGTTACAGAATATACTGCATTTAGTTATATTAACAATTATTTAGATTTTGAAGCGTCATATGAAAAGGAGTTAATTGTACTCAAAGTTATAATACTGCTTGAATAAATTTCGGCACTTGGTCAAAAAGTAAAAATCAAGTAAATTCTAATTACATTAATATCTAGTACCTAAATCGTAAGGTAGGTATATTTGAGTGATTTAGTTAATAAATTTACTATAATAAAACAGCGACATACCATACATATGTATATAATGGTTTCGGGGTTATCAAGTTCAGAATTAGTCTGCATATGTCTGGATACGATTTATTCATATAAATTGCATATTCCTTGCATTAAACATAAAGAAAAAAACTCTGGTATAAATATTGTAATTGCATCATGCATTTAGGTCTTCTGGAACATTATAAATGAACTGAGTCATGTCCATATATGTGCACAGGATTATTTGATAGTCATGCGTTTGTTTACATTATTTTGTCTAAAAATTTATATGATCTTATTTATGATAATATGTTTGTATTTAACTCTATAAATAAGTACCTACGGATGCTGAATTAATCATACAAAATGCGTCATACGATGTTATCAATATACGGTGACGTAATTCTATAATTTGATTACAGATTGGTTTAATGGGTACGGGTGTCAAGTAAGCAAACAACATCCATTTTATAGAACGTCTGCTAGTGTATATGGATGGTATCCACCTGGTAAGTGTTGTTATTGTATTTGTAATCATGCTTCGATGTGCTAACTGTCTTGATTTCATGTTAATTTTATCATCCTCCACTGGTGCCCCGCCAGTGGCGCAGCGCGTAGCGCAACGTAGCGGTACACCCGCTACGTCATAAATTATAATTAAGTCTAAGTCATAAATTCAAAAAACTTTCAATAAAGATAAATGCTTTCATGTAATTGAAAAGTCAGGTGGGTGTTGAAAAGCACGAACGTTTCGCAGTAGCCCATACCTACATGCCTGAGGTAACATCTTTTCAGGGCACTTTCTTTTAATTCCGCAGCAACAAAACCTTTGGCACAGGTTTAATAGTACCCAATAAAAAACATTCACTAAGTTGAAATGCGAATAGGGACAAACAGTTAAAACATTGGTAGTAAGTATTGTAAATCAAATCAAATTTAAATCTGTACTTTTTCATAATGCCACAGTTTTGTCACAAGCATCTAATGAATAACTTTAGCTATTATCAGGAAAGTAATAAATATGGACAGGTATAGCATACAATTTTTTTCTTAATAAAATGATTGACCCATTCCCATATTTATAGATTTAGGTCAGCAATGTTGTTAATAAATTTGTCAGTTGTAATAGATACGAAAGATAGTAAATATCTATTTTATACAAAGTAATATAATAAAAATATAAATCACTGCTGTCTATATCATCATAACTACATAGTATAAAACGGAGTCGCGGTCTGTCCCTACGTATGCTTAAATCTTTAAAACTAAACGGATTTTTAATAGAGAGATATATAGAGAGAGTGATTCTAGAAGAAGGTTTATATATATAGTACATGTACATATGTGCAAAGCCGGGGCGAGCAGCTAGTGGAAGATAAAGCAACAGAACCCAAAAAAATTTTGATGGAATATTTGTCTGTGTGTTTTTGCGCGCCAATATCTTGGTTCTGGTTTTTACCAATGTATTGTGTTATATCTAAACTATTGTTATATTATTGTTGTTCCGAATACGGTTGGTTGCAGACTCATCTAGTCCATAATAGATACTTACAATTAGGATGATTTCTCATTCCTATTAAAAACATACAGTTTCAAGTAGAGTATCACGAGGAAGCTCTGAATTCAAGAACATGATTTGCGATATATCGATATTGCAACAATCTCGATTTGTAATCCAAGTAAGTTCTATTACAATCGATAGGATTTATTCTCACTTTGGTTCCTAATTTTTTCTTAATTGGCGTTACGGCGTGACGGGATGTAAACTTAAGTTTTTATTAATGTGATGTGCATTTAGAATATTATAATCGAAAATAGAATTTAAGATTTTTATTCATATATATATATTGATTATATATCACAATTTTTAGTATTTCCAACCGTAGTTGAATGAATATTAACTATAAAGTATGAATTATATTAAGCAATATTTTTGATAATATTGTAGGCTTACATTCGGTACCGACTGTGTTTTTCCCCAAGAATCAAGAATTTTCGAATCATTTATCGCTGTCGGGTATGTATCGAAATTACTCACTCAATACCAAGCTGGACCCTCAAACTTACAAATAAATACATAGAAATATCTAAGCTTAAACAATGTTTAATTATTCTTTTTCGTATTTTTTATACGTACATTACGTCAGTGTTTTGAAGATTCAAATATCCTCATCGTTACTTCACAATACATTTATGAGAATATCATGTATACACGGAAGAATTTAGAGAGTTTTAAAAAACTTAAAGACTGTACAAATAGAAACTTACGCAATAAAAATAAGCTAATTTTACCTAAATGCCGTCTGCACAAAGTCAGTAATTCATTCTATGGTAATTGCGTAAGATTTTATAATAAACTGCCAGAATCTGCACTAAATCTGTCAGAGAGGCAGATCAAATCTTATATTAAACAATTTTTGTGTAAAAAGCCTATTACAAGATAGACGAATTCATAGATGACAACATATCAAGTAAATAATTAGTTTATTAGCATACAACGTTATAATTTATTCATCTCATTGCTTTCTTGATTTAATTAGTTTAGAAATATGAAAGCGTAGCGTTTTTGTATTGATTACCGCATGCATTCTTATGTGAAATGTGAATACTATAACCATCAGATGGCAATTGTGAGTAGCTATGACGTGGTCTGGTGTTTTGAGTAGTCATGCTCACTAAAATGTTCAGACTTGTGGCGGCGTGGTGGGCCGGGTCATTGGGCTCTCTAAAATATGGTCGAGCGCAGTGGTGACTGGCTCATCCGTCATACTCGTAAACGGGTGCTACTTGTGTGGACTGGTCTGCTCTAATCACTATGACTTATTTTCTCTTATTAATTGTTTAACCAGTGTGTTGAATGTTTTTTCTATTTTATTATTTCATTGAATTAGTGCTAATCGGTAGTTTGTATTCACACACTCAAACTTAAATTGTAAGTAAGAAAAAAATTATTTAAAAGAGCAACACACAAGTTTCTTGCTTGTTCTTCTTGTGATGAGACTGCATTCCGAATGAGCGGTAGATTAAAAAATAAATGTTATGACTATTCAAAAGTGCTTCAATATAAGTTTATTTGAATAAATGATTTCTATTCTATTCTATACATATCATGTACCTATTTGACATTTAATGTACATAGTGATATAGTTATTATAGTCAATTTTTTCGAGTACCTATACTAATTAATAAGTAATTTATTTGCACGTGTATTGTATCATTATCATATGTATATCTTCATAATAGGTACGATGGTAAAGTTAGTGTAAGAAAATAAAATATTGAAATTTATAAAACTTTTACTTAATAGGAAGAATACTTGGATCTTGAATTAGAATGTATGGGGATTAATACTTACTATAATTATGTGTCATTTCTTTAGTTGAGAGGAGAATCAGCCCTAGTTTTATATGAGTGGAAATTTTAGTGTATTAATATAAAACTTATGGCTATAATAAAAATAAAGTGTTTTGAGATGAATGCGCATCTGAACGAGGCGGTAGTCATAGTATGACATACTATGACTACCGCCTTGAATTGAAATATAACTATATATAAACAAATGGCCTTGTTGATATGCGCGCTACAGATTAATTGTTATTTAATTGTTTAATGAACAGTGTTTAAAGTAGATATTAATATATTTTACATGTGCAATATAAACATATTTTGCATTTGTTACTTCTATTTTTATTAAAAATAACAATTGTCATTTATTGATTTACTTTTAAGGAAAACAGATTATAATAAATTTGTTTTTTTGTATTTGTCAAGATTAATAAATGTTACTTTGCAATCGCTATTTTGGTTTATTCTATTCACAACAACCATTTATTTTCCACTAGCTGTTACCCGTGACTTTATATGTTTTTTTTATATAAAGGATTTCTTACTCTTTTTGAATAACGCTTAAAGGGTTCCATGAGTGGCAAATGATGGCGTGACGCCTGTAATTCTATTCATGTCTAAAGATGAAGATATCACCTATCATCAGGTGGGCTGTAAACTTGTTTGTCATTCCAAAAAATTCACGAGCAAGCGTAACGTAATTATTTAATTTCTAATTATGTTTCATTTTTATAATACATTTTTTATTTATATTTATAAATTTTTCTTCAAACGATAAATAACTTTGGTAGTAGTATTTAAGCTGAATAGTATAAAAGTGTTATGATGCCATTTATAATATGTTAATATCTAGAGCAATAGTTTCTACTGCAGGGATAGGTAGAAAAGTCGTTGGTAGTGCAACAAGTCAAAGCTTGAGGAAATGGCTTTGTTTATAATTGTATGTAATATTATCATATCTGTGGTAATAGGGACTAATTATAAAATTAGCAAGCCTTGCTATTAACATTATCAAGTTGAACTCCACGCTATTCCTCCCCATCGAAATAACGATTACGGTATTCCATTACTTTACATATAAAAAATGTTCATAACTACAATTGCCAGGCATGCATTGATTTTTGTAATAATTTCTCCCATCTAAATATTTTGGGTTTACAGGAATCCATTCAGTTCCAAGTGTATTCTTCCCAGCCGGTCAGACATTTACAAACCATCTTGCTGCAGCTGGGATGTACAGAAATTATAGTCTTAATACTGGTATGGATCCTACCGGTTACTAATAATAAACATTAGAAGGTGAAGGCAGCTACATTTCGCTTATTTATACATTTTCTTTATAAATGTAGCAATGTTGCAAATGTCTATTATATCGATCTAGGAAAATTCCGCGATGTGTATTGCTATATAAAATTGTGTGTGTGTTGATTAATCTATCGAAATTTTGTATGTCATTTACTCAGTACTGTGTAATCCGTTAGGTTGTTTACAATGATCTGATGTAATGAAATAAACAGCAATATTATATGTCTATATGTACTTATACATGTGTTATTATTAAAAATAAGTGTAGATAAATAATTATTGTGTACACGTGTTCTTACGCAATATTTAACATTTCTTCAAAAGTTTTGTTTAAAAGAGCAACACTCAAGTTTCTTATGAGTTCTTCTTGCGATGAACCAGGTTTCTGAATGAGTGGTAGTTTAAAAAAAATAAGTATAAATATTCAAAAGAATTTACATTTGTTTTTATATACCTATATTATTTTTATTCTAATGGGAACTGAAAGAGTCTGCCTGGTCTACTTGTACTGTCTGAAAAAGTATTTAGAACTGGTTGGATTTTTTTTATTAAAATGACAAACAATAAACGTTCTTCATCCACCCAAAAGAAAATCTTAACTGTATATAAGTACAGATTTTAAATCCTCTGCAGACATCATAAATTGCACAGTGACTATAGTATTCGTAAATATTGGGGAAAGGGTATTTTTAATAACAGGGAGTGGCTCCTTGCTAGCAATGTTAGTACTATGATATATCGACATAGTTGTCAGGTCGGCATGGATAACATCCTGCTAAATTCCTAGTGAAATATCACTATGGGCTAACTGAACTGATATTATTCATCCGTACACAATAAATGTATATTTAAGTATGATTGATGCTCGGCTCTATCTGATAAAGAAAATGGTGGGATAAAAATAAAATCTCTAGTATTTCGGTAGTTACTTACCAAAAGAGGTATTATATTATTATTATATAGATTAACATGCATTCAAATTCCAATAACATATTCCTTTCGCAGACACTGTTGTCACAGTTACTGTACCGTGATCCACTTAGTATATAACTATTATTAATCATCACTAGAAAATGACTTGTAGTTTTAGCTGTCATAACTACGTATATGACTGATGATTATATTATTCCTAGATTATATCTTATGGATTGTGTTGAGCTTGGGTATACATGAACAATAACTGTGACAAACCGTGTCAGCCGTATTGCAAGAATAAACCACGATAAAAGGTCATCGATATAACGTACGTAGTTCTGTTATAAATTTTATTATAATAATAGTTTTATCGTGATGAATCTTGAAAACACTTACATATTCGTCAATTATGAGTATATAATTGTATAACTTGTTTAGCAACAACAACAACAGCTTTATATTAACTTTAATATTCATAATAATTATTATCTTAATAGTTAACAAACAGAATAATTTTATACTTACTTAATACATTAAACAAAGTTAACTGAATCAGTTAAAACGTATTCTGTATTATTAAATTAATTCATCATTTACTACAAAATTTACAAAATTGAACTAAACAATTAATAACTAGGTATATTTTATATTAATGTCAGATTTATAATTGCGCATTTTATATAGACACTTATCGTATCGTTAATGAATTACAAATAGTTCTATCCTGGCTATTAATATAAAGATATTCCGTGTCAAAATCTAGCTACAGGTGCAATATAATTACAATCTAAGCATTACATACCATTGTTCTCTTTGGAGGTGTGTCACGGCGCCAAGGCCTCAACAACACCAGTTAATCTAATATTCTTATAATTTCATAATATTAATATTAAGTGAGACAACAGTGTCATCAACAGTACATTCATTGTATCCATGTTGTAGGTTTTTCGGAGGCTCATTACAGAGGCTTATGAAAATAATCTTCAGAGTCCAATTGCCTATCTCAATGAGAATCTTAAATTATTAAATTACGTATAGCTATTATTCGTTGTAAAATCTACGGTAAGAAAAGGGCTTTGGGGGATATATTTATTGAATATTGTATTATAATATAAATGTCTTTATTTTTGTAGATTATTATGTTAACAAATTTATGCGTATTATATTTTGACTACACATTTATAAAGTATCTACTTTGCATTAGCTAAAGAACGAATCATTACTATAATAGCTTAATTTAAAAGTCACTAATAAGATATGAAAGCGCAGTTTACTTGAAATGGATAACATTGATTCTTTCTGATATGAAGAATCATCAGACTTGTTGACTCCAATATTGACCACTCAACAATTTGTTACCTATAATGTTATAATATATATATATATTGCGAAGACGAATGCTTGAAATCACTACATTTATTAAGAGCATTAACAGTAATAATAAAATAAGTAAATAAATATGAAATGCAATTATAAACAATATTAACTTACTACTCGGATGAGCATAAACGTGTAACAAGAAGTGCTTAATACTATCTAGTAGATTTAACTACGATTATTGTATATAAAATGTGGATCAACACTTGCATTCAACAATATTGTCCTAAATAGCATTGCTCACATCTCACATACCAATAGTTTAGATATTAAAACTACGACAATACCAAAGGAAAGTTCCAGTATCTTATAAAATAAATTCGTCGATGGTAATTAGAATATAATCTTAATATGTCCAAATCTACTTATTGCCACAAAATATTATTTGTCTTCAATAATTAAATATCAATGATAAAAATGAGTTGACTTTACAACAAACATTTATGAAGTTTCCATCCTTAGTGACCTCATACGAAAGTGCAGCGAGTGTAGAAGGAGTTTGAGAAACTGTGAGAGAGAAACACTACAATGCACGGCGCACACGGCCGTGTGACCAACGGGTTCGATCACAATGCAGCTCAGTTGATTCGTATTTTCATATTTATAAACTTACTGTAAAAAATCTATAGTTATTTTACATTAAATCTATGCTTATCATTTTGTTTAAAAAGTTGCGCTTCGTACACTCGGTTCGAGGGGTAGTCCCTTCAAAACAGGTGCTATTGGAAACGTCATATTTTGAAATTGAGTATTATGATGCAAACTGCTTCATCAAAAGCAAAAATAGAGTTTATTTGCACATGAACTATATAAGTAATTAAGTGTATTTTTATATCAAATAAATAAGCCATACTTTCTTGTTTCGGACAAGAGACGTCTAGTAATGTGACACTATTTAAAGTTATATTGGTCTTTAATATCGTTTCTGTAACAGTCGCATACGTTAAGATAATACACTGTCTGTTGTCCGAACAAAAATTATGAAGATATTACATGTCACCGAAGATTCCGGCAAATGTTTTTCGCAGATTTTTCATTGTATCTTCTGCGTCCTCTGTGAGGGCAGCACTAAGAGAACCCTGACGAGCGAAACCTCCGCGTCCGGAGGCAGATCCGGTGCCTGGAGCCCCGGCAGTGGCAGTGGCGGCCGGGTTGCTCGTAGTGCTGGGTGCCGCCGATGCAGACGATACCGTTGACGATTGGGAAGCTGAATATTATAAATAATATTTACAATTAAGTTTATATAGTGATATTAAATATACGACTGAATCTAAAATGTCAAGAAAAATAGTAGATTATTTATAATTTACCACTTATAGTTTATACTTAGGTAATTTACATAATTTAATAATACAAATCTACGTTAATTTGATTACAAATCCTTCCCTGCCAAGTCATTCTCTGGAACTTCTTGCTATTCCCCATTCGATCGGCACAATCACATGCAATTAAAAATCTTATTAACTCTCTCTGTAATGTAAGTACCTATTATTATAATTATTATATAAGTATACATTTCCTCTTGTTCTCTTCCAATATGTACTGTTTGTATAGTACATATTAGTATGTAAGTTTATAAATTTATACGTGTGTTTTAAATATAGCATCTAGTGTGTACTTTACTTGGTTGTCTGAATGAGATTGTTTATAGCTTAATAAAACTTCTAATGGAAACTATTCATCTAATACAATGCAACACACAAATACTTTTTTAAATTCTTTATTTGTTGTGTGTGGGCAATAAACAGTTATTATTATTTTTATTGATAATAATAAGAATATCTTATATCTTTCTTTGAACTTTATCACAACGTACCCTGCGAGTCGCGCCTGGTGAGCGGTGGCGGCGGTGGCTGAGTAGGCTCGGCTGGTATAGGCGGCAGCGGACGGTCGATGCTGGCGGCGGAAGCAAGTGGTGCGGGCGGCGGTGCGCTTGGTGGTCCAGAACCCGGCAGCGAAACGGATCGCTCCTCAGGTGAAGCAGCTGCTGAGCTGTTTGTCACGGATGATCGCGATGTCGTCTTGGTGATACCGGGTCGACACACCGACTACAATTATGGATATTATTAAAGTATTAATTTGATATTCAAATGCTCACTGTACCAAAATATCTGGTTACTTTTTATTTTGAGGAAGTGAATAATTAACTATAAAATAATTATAAATTTGTACAATTGAAAACTATAAAATTGTTCCATATGTCATGTATACTGTGTAGTAGCTAGAATATGTACAACCGTGATGATACCCATGATAGCCTTGTAAAAAAATTAAATTTGAATAGTAATTTAGACTATTATACAATAACACAATATGTTTAAAAATATGACTGCTATAGCGCAAAACATGCCTTCCTGACGGAAAAATTATATACTACCACTGTGCTTTAGGGGTTTAATATTTTTGCAATTATCTTATGTACATATTTTTTTTTGTCACATATGTTGTTTCATAATCGGGCTGATTAGTCCGGATTATGTAAAAGGAACATTATAGGTGTAAAATATATATCAAATACATTACAGTTATATATATTTCGTTCACGTGTTCTTTCTATGATAGTTACCTGCATACGCTGCAGTACAAGTTCAGCGAGATATCGCCTATCTTCTTCTTGAGAATCGCCCATGAACGACGTGGCCGAGTCGTTCAGTTCTATGATGTGTTCGCGGCCATCTTTGCCCACTACAAGTTCCAAGGCGCATACTTCCAAGCCACCGAAGATTTCGCTCACCTAACACAATACAATTAGAAATATATTAAAGAATGTATATATTGGTAGCTATATAATGTTTTTAGAATGTATTTTATAGAATAATAATATTAATAAAGTATATTGAACTAGAAAGTTAAAAAAAATTGTAGTTTGTGGAAGATTCTTAACCAAGAAAAATTTTCAAATAACTGTGTACTGTATAACACTAAACTTCTGACGGGTCAGATGATTGGTAGATAATAATAGTGCGTGCCATACAGGGGTTAGATGACTGGATAAGGTAAAAATCTGATACATTTTATTTTTAAAATAAGTCGACATTATTGTGATGGCTTTTCATTCCGTGTTTCTTACCTCGTCTATCCACATCTTATATCTGTCGTTCATACCGATAGCTTCCAACATGGCAGAGCCTTGATTGGTCTTCCAATTTCCTGATATAGATTTACGCCTGGAAAAAGGTATTTCATGTAATAATTTTACTGATTATGTTAATTGCTTTAACTAAAATAATGTAGTTCCGTAACGCCTTACGTGTACACATGAATGAAATTGACTAATAGTAATAATTAAAGTTTCGTAGGCGTTTAACCATTTAAAATTTATGAATGTATGGATGTTTGTATTTAATAAATCGGATATACGTACTAGGCACTTGTTGGCAATTTAGCCATCAACCTTTTAGACCAATTAATGAATAATTTATCTCAATTATGTGTCTTCCTTATGCTATTATTCACCTATTTCCAATTTTACAACAATAATACAATAAGTATGAAGTCTTAGCAACTCACATGAAAGCTTTGTAGTTAGTACCAATTTTTTGTATATGAATATCATACTTCGCATCTATATAAGGTTCAACAGTACAATAAGTACCCAACATCGCCACTACTCCTGCTATATCCTGAAATAAAAAATAATGTATGATTATCGATTTCTTATTCATTCGTCTGTATGCAAATACATTTATTAAGTAATAATTACATAAAGCGTAAGATATACAATAAGTGTTCCAAGAACACTGTTCCATATCAACGTTATGTTGTAACCAGTAGATTATTTATATTAATAAATATGTAGTACCTAAGTGATGAAATTAAACAGATGTTTATATAATTTATCTGAAATAAACTGATTTGAAGTTACCTGGAAGTCGGTCAAAGAGTCCACTTTCACCTTGGCTACGCCACTATGTGCGTGTCCTATCTTGATCACAACTGGGAACTTCGGTGCTGTGACCTGAAACAAAAGTTGACCTTTATTAATGATTGACTTTGATGTAGTGTTATTATCTGAACAACTTAATATATGTGAAGCTTATAATGTTGCCTGTATTTGCTTTTGAAGTCAGTATGTACTCGTATACTAATTTTAAAAGCAAATACAGGCGGGTGATAAAATAATGAACCGGTAAAACATAAAAAAATATTTTCTATTTTATGTATTACAAGTTCATTATTTTCATATTTCACTACCAACACAATAAATACCCCTACTTTTCCTTTAATACAAACACAATAAATACCCTTACTTTTACTTTATTGTGCAATATTATTCAATGTTATTTTATTTTTTGCAAAAATTAATAAAATTACTATAGTTTTTAAAATAATCCAGTCAATCTCTATCAATTACTCTCAGTTTATTCCTTAAACAGAAACATGTGAATTCTGATATAGTTTTGTTAAAGACTTTTTTCATACCGTATATTTCTTTACGTGTGCAATAACCAATAAAGAAGCGCAGTTAACCAATGACGCATAGCAGTGTTGTATATATGCCAAATATTTCAAAATTGTAATCTGCATAGGTAAATATATAGACTATACAAAGTTACAGGTGTATATTGAAAACGGTAAACAAGTAGATGGCACACACATCCACGCATATGGATGGCACATGATACACTAGGTAGGTCAAGACACAGATAACACAGATAAACGTAGTAGTATGTATTCTGCACCTCAAGGTGCACTATACATTCGACTCCGGTTAGAATAAATGAACTAGTGTATATAGAGAGGTATATTCGTTAGTAGTTGTATCACCTAAAATATATTTTCAAATTTATTAGAAACTGCAAACACAGCTTTGTATATTCGTGTTTTAACTTCTGGTTGATATTTCAAAATAGATCTACTTATCAAGGAGACTATTGTATAGATAAATGTTGGGATATAAACTTATTAACATAGGTACTAATTTTCCTGTTAATGTTAGATCATTTATTCATCTATTAGGTAAATAAATATAAGTTTAGCACTAAATCTTAGAATATATTTTATTTCTTAGAAAATAAATAAATAAGCGAACTTCGTAATAATGTGATTTCAGACCGAACATTGTTAATTTCATAGCTTCCTCTTAATGTAAGTAGGTACTTGTGTATACACAAGCAAGTCTCACTATATAAATGTAAATGTAGATTCGTTATAAAAATTTAATATAAAAATATCTCCCCTATTTGTATTTCATGGTGTTAGTTAACTTTATGTTATTCGATAAGAATCTTAATAGTTGCGCAGCACGGTAAATGTGATTTTAAATAATTATGCAAACAACATATATGACTATTATTTTAACGGTAATAAAATAATAGTTTAACTAAATCTAAATAACCCTTACAGTTAAGCATAGGTGTCATCTACAGGATTTTTTATTTTAGGTTATGTTTATAGTTCTGGGCAGACCATATTAAAATAGCATTTTATTGTCAATTTTCTTTCTGTCACACTTGCACTGGTTTATTTGTGTCTTTTTAATCGTATGGAAAACTCTTCGTCATTTCAATCCACCCGGCGAAAGAGGCTAGAATAGAGTGTATATCAAGTTTAACCCCTAAAAAACCACATAATAACAAGACTCCAATTTCGAAGTCACGGAGTCGCGTTAGCACTGTACTAAGATTTTGGCCCCCTATAACAAAATTACCACCAGTGCCGTGCAGGAGGGCATAATTCTTGACTTTGAAACTTGACTTCTTGTGAAATTTAACATGCCAAAATACAATCTACTTCAAAAATTAATATAGAGTCGTTAAAATAATAATATTATACGACTTCTTGAGAATACTTATGTTCACCTCAGAAAGTTAGTAAGAAATTGGCACGCCTTCAATAAACAATCATTTTCTAAATGTGGTTCCTTTTGTTAATCTAAACGACACAGTACACGTATATGGAAAATGCATATCACCAATTGAATTTACACAAATGGCAAAGATATATTTATTTTTGCATATTTGTATCCAGATATATGCTACGAATTTATCTGATTCTCTGCTGTGGAATTACAACAAATGACATACATCTATACCTTTTTAGACCTTTATGCTGTTCCTCTGGAAGCCATCGTAATAAATTTGCCTCGATAGTCTAACTAACTTGACCTCATGCTCATCGTATCATTTTCCACTGGCATCCTGCCAGCGTAAATCGTTATCGCAGATAAAAGCACCATTCCATAATCAGCTTTAAAAAATCTATATACGATTTACATCGTTCTCTTAAGCAGACCAAAGTTTAAAATTTTCAAAACATTTTCAATAAAATCGATTGAGGGAAAGTACTATAAAATTCTACACTCTATATGATATTAATGTAAGTCTTTATTTGTCACTGATAAATTAAATACAAAAAGTAAACTTTGCGTAAATATTTAAAAAAAAATGCGGATTTATCGCTTAAAGCAATTTTTGACATAAACCCTGGATAATGTATAAATTGCTGATATTAAAATTTATAAAAATTATACAATTTCTTTTCTAAAGTGACTTGACATTTTAAAACAATTATTATATTATACATATAAATAATTTCAAAATACCGACATCACGACATTATCACATCACTTATGTATTATTTTGTATACAATTGAACATATTAGTATAGTTCCTAAACAACAAAATTATTTCCTACACAAAAAGTTGAACTCCCGTATAATATCATAAAAATTGTTTAAAGGTCCAATACAAATTATGTACTGGGGACTGTACAAGGGAGTAAATACTTATCAATTGCAGAAAAAACTATAAATATTATTTAAACATACATACATAAAGTACTGTTGAACTTAGGGTATAACTTTACCTTTTGGTAGTAAGATAAAAATAATTAAAAAATTATATAGTAGGTATGCCCTAGTGAAAACTACTATTAATAAATCGTACCGTACGCGGAAGTTTAAAAGTAAGTATTACAAATGCCGACATTATGTATTGCATACAGGTAGGTCATGTTTAAATTTCCCATGGGGACGAAACATAGCGAGTTTAGGGTGATAGAGGATATGAACAGTTAGTACATAATAAATTTGAGTCATTATTGATTATGGGTCAGTAACGTCATTACATTACAACCGTGTTTCTATGAAACTCGATGCGCCGGCGCCGGTCGGTTGTGGTGGAGGCGGCAGAGTTTTCGTAGGCGGCACAGAATCAAGTGTTTACAACCATAAAGACGCCGCGTAGGTATATTATGTTCATGACGCAGAATCGCTAGAAAGACCACCATGTATTTGTATTTCTATTTATGGTTTGCGTTCTGATATGACAACTTGTGACTGGGGTACAAACAGTCGCATTCTCATGAGTTTCGTCATGAAAACCCATTGCAGTTTGCGTTTCAAATCTGCGTCAGTTTTACTACGGTTCCTAAATTTATTAAGTTATTGACTCATAAATACACCAAGTGACGTCATCCTAGTACTTTCAGGAATGATATGTGTAAATTTAGAAACTTCACAATGAGAATATTATATAAATACATATATATGTGTGTGCATTTGCTGTTCAAAATGTTCAATTTAACAGAACATAAGCACTAAAAGGAATATAGTCTAAGGAACTATTTGCACTATAACACTACCCGTTATCTACAGATTAATCGGCAAGATAGCTTAGTGGAAACTACAGGAGCATTCAATTCAAATATCAATGCAGTTGCTGACAATAGGTCTTAATGATTATAAACAAGAAATAATATCACACCACCAGTCTCGATGGTGTATTTATTGTTCTCAAAGGACATGACAATTGTCGTTTATCACTTTAATTGCCGCCTTTGTAGTCGCACGTTATCTGCGTTGGTTCGTAAGTGATAATAAATCACAGCGTGCGGTTCTAAGGATCTACTTTAAATTATTCAATTAACCTGCATGTTATTCAGTGATAATCGATGAACAAGTTATTATCGTATACGCGGAGTAAATATATATTAAATTCGCTTCGTATACATATATTTTATTACATAACAATATTCAGACAAAAATATGGAGATTATAGAACAACGTTCAGTTTCTAGGTCAGAAGTGTACTAAGCTCTGTACCATTTAGTAACATTGAACTAAAAATCTGTTTTTCTCAGTTAGACATTGAGTCTAAAAAAACGTTATTAACGTTTAAAATATATTGCTATCAAATAAAAATCACAAATATAATGTGGTAAAATCTGAGCATGTGTGTGTCTGTGTATGTGTGTGTGTGTGTGTGTGTGTGTGTGTGTGTGTGTGTGTGTGTGTGTGTGTGTGTGTGTGTGTGTGTGTGTATGTGTGCGTATGTGCTGTTATATTTACCACAATGATAACAGTTAACAAAATAAATCTCGAGTAACTCATCTGGGATTACCAGCCTCAGCATATTCAAGTACTTATTTATATTTTATTTACAATAATATTAATTAGTGTATAAATAAACCATACGCATTAACTATTGTACCATTGTTCCTTATCATTGTATTATGTTTGGTAGGTACCTACAAAACGTAATGTTACGTAAACGTTATTATCGTCCTGACATATCCCATCGCCTCGTTCTTGGCTACGTATCTGCTTTAGGAACATGTTTCGGATAGTAATGTTATTTCAGGAATATGATACGTAATCTTTCATTTATCCTGATCCGTCCATGTAATAAGGATTCCGTACATATTTTTTAGAATACGATATAAGCAGACGAAATTGTATTTTATTTATAACGCTTTATTGTGCCTTTAATATTATATCATATATATACACATGATATAAACATATATACATAACATACATATAAAATAAATGTACTATAATATAATATAATATTAAAGAAATATCTAACTACGTAGTATACTACTATCTTAATATTTTGTAATGTAAAGGGTTTTAAACTTATACATGCATCATAGATATCGTTCAAGGTTAAAAAATGTAGACATGAACGAGATTTACATATTTATTTTGGAAATTAGCACTTAAATGCACTGATATTATTGTGTATTCATCTATCAAGTGATAATAACCTCGCTAATTAAGGCGGCGCCAGTATTTAATGAATGATATACGTATATACCGATTATTCAATGTATTAAAGACTACTTATTAATCCACCAGATTAGGAATAAAGTATGGAGCGTGTTATAGACGCGATACGCAGTTCTACTGAAAACAACTGAAGAGCAGATCCTGCACGCGCTGAAGAATGAACGTGGCCGCAGTATCTCAATTTCGATATAATAGTTTGACAGTTTTAATTGGAATATTGTTGTATGGACTACAGTACTTAATACTAACAGATAACTGATGTACATAAAGGCATTTCATATTTATTCTACTTACATTTTTGGAATATAGAGTCTAATCGTCTGTATTACATTGTATATGTTACATGTTTCTGTATATGGGAAATACATATAGTGTTTATTCTTGCAATGAAGAAGTTTTTTGTCTGATTTTTATGTCACATGACAGTATATAAAATAAGTCACAGTTTTCCACTAATCCTATTTTACTGTGCTCGGCCTATTGGAACTAAATAATAGTATTTATACATTATTTATTAAATAGCTTTTGTTTATAATATAATTGTTGCTTCATTTTAATTTGTATGGTTTGTCGATACCATTGTTAAATAGTTACAATTATGTATATAATATTTTATTTACTATTATATATATAATATTTTATTTACTTGTCAAATGATTCAGAATCAAATTGTTTTTTCCCTCTAGTGACTGTTACATTTTGCTTTACCGTCACGTAGAATATTGTAGTTCTTTATTTCTACATGTAAATACAAAATGGTCGAGTTATTTTATATCAGAACAAGTAAGTAGGGATATTAAGTATTCTTGACATTAACGATGTTAGACTTCATAGTGAAGAGTTTTTCTTAATCAATATTTGACGAGAGTCCCTAGGTTGGATTGCGGATTAAATTCAGAAGGTGTCAAGGTTTACCGTTGCATGTTACGCCTATTATAGCATTTTTTTAAATAGTTTATAGTAAAAATGTATAGCAATTTTTTTACATTTTTTTTATAGAAACTTGTGTATATATATTATTGTATATATTATGATACTCATATAATATAATATAATTGAACGAAATAATTACATAGCACGTTGCATAGCACGTATGATTTCATACCTAAATTAAAGAATTCTTAAAGACAAAAGAGGAAATATCGCAACAGCATGTTTTGACCTATATTGATTTATGGCCACGAGAAAATTAATTGAAAATCATGTATAGCAATTTAGATATATTAATTTTTTTTTTATAAAAATTGACATTATAATGTGCATATATATATTTTTGTATAATAATTTTTAAACATATATAATACATTCAAAACGAGATACTACTGGTATTATAAATGTTCTACAGAAAGATATACCTCAGTAATGGATGTAATATCTTTCTTACCTGTGGTAATGGTAATTGACGAAGAGTAATGTTAGAATGATATAGAGTGAAAAAAAACCAGCCAACATTTGCATACCCTTATATTTATTTATGTAGTTTTATGAAAGTAGAATTTATATAAGTCATCTGTATTTTTCACGGATATACACTATGTCTCACCTGTTTCGCTAGTGAGGCGTATTTAATATACATACTTCTCGTTTGTTTGAAGCTAACCCTTAAGGGTTAGCTTAAAAGAAACATAGCAAAGCATGCTAAAGCAAGCTGTCTAGTTACTGATAGGTAAGTTATAGGGTGCAAAGACATCTTGGTACTCTGAAATATTAACATGTCTTGCCTCGGGCATCACTATTATCACGTGATGGCCGTAGTATGGTTCTTATACTTCAGAAACTGATGCCGCGTGTCATCTGGTGGCAATCAGGTTGTATGCCATAGTCGGGCTCTAGAAGGATTATATATTATTTTCAAGCCATTATCTCATATACATTTCAGCAGTCTCGCTATCTAATACCCACATGGTAATAATTTAAGCCGGTTTTGTTATATTCTAGATTAATTTGAATGTTTCTCATACTTCTGGGATAAGTCATTATTATCAATTAATGTTGTAAGGTAGACTTCGTATCAAAGGTTTTCACTAAATTACTAAATAACTTTACGAATTAATGTCATGTGAGCACATTAATACAGATATAATACGAGTATAAATAAACAGGATTGGACGAGAATTTAGTAGTATCTAAGTACCCCTAATATTTGTTTAATTAAAATAATGAGCCCGTAAATATAATAAATAAAGTCTGTAATACATAAATTTGCGGTCAATGTTACATATTTAGCCTTGCCCTATTAAACTTATTATGATGTAATAAGACCTAAGCTCTGCATCATAATAATAAATTAAATAATTAAGTATCCTTATTGCAATTGAGCCGTGAAATGATACTCAGTATGAGTATTATATACTTACTGTGCAGAACCTGATCTCGATGATTAGCATAATTCTGTACAATTTTCATTTCAGGATGATTCACAGTGTTCAAGCATTGATAACGTAATATCTACGTTTGAACAATGTGTAATACTAAATATTACTGTAATATTAAATTTACAATATTTACAGTTGGGTAACGTCATTAATGTCGGGAAATACCGTTGCCTCAGAGAACAGTGTCTTGTGTCTACACTCTGCTCTCAGTGCCATAAATAAAGCGTTTCTGGAGAATCGAAAGGACCGAATATATACTCTACAGAACAGATCAAATTCAGAGCCTCACTGCAAATATTCCACCATTGCTCTGCACTAGTGCATTCATTGCTCAACTGTATTGAATAAATTGGTATATTACACCTGGCCAGTCTATTGTTCGATGTAATAAAAAGTGAACAGCCAGTTTATCTCTTTAAACAACTAAATTTCTCTTCACGTATGTATGAATACAGATTCATTTGTTCGAAATTATCATTTCAAGTACACAGAACTGTGGTATTTACTGGCAGCTTCCGCTACCAAGCAACAAAATGTTGGAACAACATCCCGCCACCATTTAGGTATCTGACTACCGTACACAGTTTTAAAAAACATCACAAAGAATACTTATTAGAAAAACAAATTTTAGGCATTCCACAGAAATTTCTTGGCTAGCGGTTGCAATCTCACGTAATGATTTTTAATAAAAAAAAATTCTATGTTACTCTTATTAATATTATCTTTTTTTCTTTTTGTTGATCCTTGGTAAGGATCAGTTAAAATTATATAAAATTATACTCTGAACTATTTACATTATTTTTATTATACACACACCGCACAGACAATCACCAATAATATTGCTCCTTTTTATTTTATATTTATTTTAATTATTATTTTCACGTACCCTCAAATGGGTTAATGCTGAAAATCAATGTTTTGTTCCCTGAACTATGTTCCACGCTGAGCTTTGACCTTTTTGTATTGCTACAGATCACACATAATAACACAATTTTATAAATCTTATGTTGTATTATGTATTTATATTCTTATGAACATGTTATGTGTGATTAGTAACAAACAAATAAACGATATATCTATCTATCTATCTATATTAGACTGTGGTCATACTATTTCATACCTACTCTTGCTCATGTTACTTGGCGGACACATACTCGTACCTACCTAGATAATATCAGTTGTGTGTGACTTTGGTAATTTTAAGAGGTTTACATACGCCACTAAAACAAGGACAATATAGGATTAATAGTAGTGGCGGTGACATCGATCCAGCGGGTACGCTATAAAAATCAACCCTGATTTCGCTGCTTTCGCTTGCTCAAGGGATTAATTTAGGAAAGTCCCTACCAATACTCTGATTTTAGGGTTGGGATATGCTATACGTAATAGGTAGTTAGTGAGTGAGAGGATTGTTAGTAATGGGAACTAGTGGCTCCATAGCTAGCTCTGTACTATGTCAAGTGGACTCTGCTGGAAATCATTGTTATTAATTCTTACTCTATTTACTGCTTTCTTTTCTTTACTTGTACACATTATATGAAAGATATTTACAGTACATTACCATCCTGATATTAATAAAAAACTACTTATTTTCTTGTTTCTAAGTGATGTAATAATGTCACCAATAGATAGGTTTTATTAATAAAAATAATCAATATACTGCATATTAGTTTGTAATTATAAAAATATTGATACACTACTACTTACTAACTTACTTGCAAAGTAATGCAACTTATTTAAAAATGCATTGCATCAGTGTTGAAAGAAATTATAGCAGGCAAGCCGAAATGCTTGGTGACATCAGTTGTCATTTCTAAATGTGATGAATCATGAGCTTTTACGGGCGATGCACCATAAGCGTGGTTCCTGTGAGCATCGTATTAGCACAGAAATCCGAAGCCACGTGTGGTTCATGGTGGAAAAATGGCACCAGTGGGCGCATAATAACTGGTTCGAACGCAAACACTCACTCAGTGAGCGATTGTCTGCATAAGAGTACGCTTGTCGTCTCTACATTAACCGAACATTGCGCGTAACCATACACGATAAATTAATTACGATCGATATTTTAAAAAGTTGTTATTGAAATCAGGCATGTACTGGTGTTAGTTGCAGTGTAAGTGCTACAATACTGAGAAGCGAACATAGAGAGAAAAGTTAAAAATCTTCGAGTACAGGTGCATTTGTTTAATAGTTGTTATTTTAGCTGCATTATGCATGTTGGTTAGTTCTTATTATATCACTATTATTTTTTTAAATATCGATAAAAATAATATCCTATTATTATTTCGTTTTCTAGTAAAAATAAAAAATAGTGAAAGTTCGTAAATATGTTGGGATGACTACATGTATGGATATTTGTTTTTCAATCCTATTTTAATGACTAAATATCTATAATATGTAGATAGAGTTCTTAGATAATACATAGGTTAGGTATAGTATAGTAGGCTATAAATATTAGACCACAAATCAATTAAATGCAACTGTAAATAATTATGGAATATATATTTAATTAATATTTATTATCAACATTAGTAACTCTGTCACAATAAATACATATTGTTTATGTATATATGTATTTATTGTGAAAGAGTTGTTACTTTCATAATCTGCGTATTGTATCTCTTTTTAAATCTTCATGGATTCTTTTCGTACCTATTTCAGATAAGTTAAGACATAACCTTTACAAAGTTGTTAAACATAGGTATTGGATCATTTGTTGACTGCATGTATGTATAGCTAACCAAGCAAACGTGACACATTTGGTAAACATTATTAGTGTTTATTTAGCATGGTCTTGATATACGATTATTTTATTAACTTCTGACATATCTATTTAGATATAGAAATATAGTTGGTATCTACATATTTTTGATCAATCCTTTTTAAGAATGATTATATAGATTACATATTATTTTTAGACAAACACAAAATAGATATGGGTGCAAAATAATTGCTAGTTACTGGTTCCTTTTAAATAAAACACATACCTATTTATCTATTATACAATATTACTATTAAAATTGCTTTCTGGGAATAGAATTTTGAAACTATCGTTTAGTTATTACCTAATATATTATCGGACTTAGCACGTGCCGGTGTCTAAATTTAGACAAATAATAATACATTTTCTACTATCTATATTAATGATTAGAATGAAGTGTTATATTTATAAACATGACTCCAATTGGACTAAAGTGATTGGGTGCGAAACCGAGGATGTGCTGGTGGCAGCGTGGAGGAAGTTTGCCATTACTTGCGTACCCACTCTATTGATTAATGAAATGACTTTATTGCATAATAGCAGCTCAGACTATTTGCTTTGATGTGAATAGAACATTGTACTCTTGTTGTAGTAACAACTTGAAAAAAGTTTTCAATTTGTTACTATTTATTGTAAATATTTATTCCTACTATATCCAAAAGATTTTCAATATTTTGTTCCGTATACTGACGATAAAAAAAATATGGGAAGAGAAATATTACATATACATTACATTTTATTAACTACGAAATAAAATGAAGTTTAATTGATCTCCTTAGTTGAGTCAACAAAAAAGATTTTTTTTAACCACGAGTTATCAAGGAACTACCTATAATATTTAGAATCTTAGTTGAGGTATTATAATTATAGAATATAATATTATAAAAGTAATTATTACTTCTATACTCCTCTTGTATAAACTCATCCAATGTTGAAGAGAACATCAAAATAAGTAAAATTTCTATTATATTTGATACTGTAATAAAACTAATTACTACCTACTAACTAATAAAAATGCAATTTACATGATGTTTTTATCTTTTGAAGTAAGAAATATAATCATAATAACTTAAAAAATGTCCAATATATAAAGTGACAAATGCGCATTTATATGGTAATATCAGATCTAATTTATAAGCGTACATCTTGTCTCTGTATAAAATATATTCCGCTCAGTCATTATTAATAAATATGAAATTCTATTAATATCATCATAACAATATTTACCTGGCTCTAAACTTAATGAATTTTTTAAATTTATTTTATTAGATATATTTATTAAACGAACCGGATGTGATTGAGTGAAGTCAAAATTATTTATATTTTGATTAAACATTTATATTTTAAAGAATTAATTATTTTCTACCTTTTGAAATGTTATCTACTATGTTAAAAACTATTACAACTAACGAAAATAATTGTAAGTAGTCTCTACAATGTGTTTTTTCACACTAACTATTATGATCTATAATTCGTAATCTGATAGATTACATTTTTCAAGATTTAAATGACATTATATTCTTGGAATAACATAGTACCGGAACATAGACTATATTTAATTCTCAAAACAAGTTTCGTTATCCCCAATTATGAATTCGTCATACATACGTTATAGATTAAATTATAAATCGGTGTAAATTGATTATGAGATTCAAAATCAGTAAAACACTTTACATTTTGTTATGAATTAGAACTACTTAGACTTCATTTCAAATTTCCAATATACTTTTGTTACTTTTTTATAATAATCTTTTATTATCAAAGAATATACATATGGAATAAAGATAAAGGGATTTATTGACAATATATTATAGATGAAAAGATCGATAATGGATAAAAAATATTAGAAGTAATATATTAGAAAGTTATGCCAAGAGGTAAGGGCTGTGGTGTTAAACAATGACCCCCTAGTTGACCCTGCTCGCGGAAGAAGTTAATCATGTACCCGGCCCGAGGTACTCACACCGGCTTTGTAACTATGAGTTATGTTGATAACTACGCCTCTCGATACTTTAACTCTCCAAATATCAAGTGATAATAAATACATATTTTTTGAACGCTATTTACACGTGACTCATAAATACATACATATTTTATTAATTAAACAAACGTGTGTTTTTTTATAAAAACAATAATGATCATTATTGACAAATGTAAATACTAACGGAATTATTATTATATTCGAATGTTTTGATATAAAAATATCTATTTTTAGAATTTCAAAAAAGCAACTTTTAATTTTTATATTATTAAAATTCTATTATATCTATAATAAATATTTTATATTATTAAGTTTCTTGAAAATATAATCTTATCTGTGATCATAATAAAAGAATTTATAAATGGGCGTCGAGCGCAGAACGACCAAGAAATAGCTATGTGCTCATTGCACTTTACCATTAATTGACTCAGTGAGTAGATATAGGAATTCTGCGGCGTAATATCCAGCCTCCACTCCATCTCGTTGACCCAATGTCGTGGGCTCATGGGCCAAGTTCACGTTGGTCTCGGGACTGAGAATCAGACGGAGATTCTTGTCTGTGCAATGTTGCAACGTGAAAGCGGCATTAACATCGGAAATGGTTTATGATTAAGATAACAGAGAGATTTTGGAAATTCAATAAAAAGTCAATAAAAATATTATCTCAATTATTCTTAATACTGCGCTGGCCAAAGCCGGTATTTTATCTGTTGATTTCCCGATTTTTAGTATGCAGCCAAACAGGTTAAGGCAAATTTTTGATACACTGAATTTCATAGCTATAGTAATGTTGATTTAGTAAAGAAAAATTCACTGTGGTAGGAGTGTTATCGCGCGCGTAGGTCGTTCAAACCGCAAGTGCAAGCATAGCTCAAGTTACATCCTCACATTGCAACGCTGGAATGAAAACAATGTGACCATGTATAGAATGCAGGTGACAAAAGCCGCTGCTCTTTGCATTTCACTGACATCAATTTAAACATCCACAAAGGCGCGTTATGCAACCTTATATTTACCTATCAAAAGAATATAATTTTCTTCTCGTATTCCTACGCTATGAGAAAATATTACAATTTATGTTCGATGGCGTTTAATCAAGTCAGTAACAATTTTGTAATTACGTCGCTGAAACACTTACCAGTGATGAAAATTAATTGATCGCAAGATCAGAAGGATAGGTTTAATATAATTGTATATAATATATACAAAAGAAAGGTTATTATAGAAGAATTTATACGTGCAACCTATATATTCGCCTATCTCTAAAATATTTCTCAATTTTTTTCTCATATACGACAGAACTACTCTTAATACTACAAAGTAATTATAAGAAACCACAATACTGTCAATGATATACCAAATAATTGACAGAGATCCCGATTGTATGTAGTTCGCACGCTAGTAATAATCCTGCGGCGCCAGGTCATCTCTACCGTTTATCAGAGAAAGCCGACGATTGTGTTCGCCCACATAATCTGACAATTTATATGTAGGTAGGTCGGGACGTGGGGCGCCAACTAATCTACTGTATAAAAATCTCTGAAATAACTTTTTGGCTACCATATTTTAATTTTATATTCTTATATAAAAAAATGTTCTTTCGTATTTCATTTCCATAAACAATATACCTATATAATATTTATTTCGAAATTTAATATTAAAGAAAACTAAAAAAATACGTATATTTTATATACATTGTTATATTCATATTAAAATATATATATAAAAAAAAATATGCGGCAACATAAAAAAATATTCAAAAGATTGAATGCTGCAAAAAAATTTTGGAACATATGCTTTTGATGTAAGTATGTACTTTATGCATTTTAAAACCTATGTATCTGTCCAGTTCAAGGCTATTTTCACGCGACACCTGCTTGTAAGATAGCGTATTTATATTTACCACCTCTATACCGATCTATTGTTACGGTGCTGTTTCCTAATAATAATGGATTTAATGTCCATTACTAAAAAGTAAGCTGTGAATCTGATTATTGAGAATCTGGTTATCGTTTCATAAAAGGAAACCAGCTGCCCTTCAAAGGATATTATTTATGGCATCATGAAACTTTGTGCGTACGTAACTTAGTTTCGTGATGTCCAATGTCAAAGAGTGATCTATGGTGCTATTAAATATGTTTATCATAATACGCACAAACATTAAAGCGATTATAATGATTGCCTTTGAGATGAAGTTTTCTTTCAATTTGATTCAATGAAATACAAGTACTAATATACTGACATCGCAAAAACTAATAGAAGACTAAAATCTATTATTTTGTCATTTAAATTTTTATCTACATAATAATGTTTTGATAAAATAAGTAAATAACTTATAACTTATTCAAAGTAATTATTTATTAATATTTCAAAATAATATAGAATTATATCTACTCGTATTTTTAAAGGAGTGCAATATTCTTAGCATAAGT